TATTATACCGTTTCCAAATTCCGAATAAACTAATCGAACAATTTCAAAATCTTATGTTAATGATTTTTCAATCAAGTTTAGTGAATGTCAATTTCCGGATCATAAATATTTCAATCAGTAAAAACAATACAAATCGAAGAAATTAAAATACCAAAAAAACTATGACGGCATTCCTTGTTGGGTAATAATATAAGTTTATACATGTAATAAATAAAATTTAATGAAGGACACTAGAATCTGAACTCTACCCTCTGGCATTTATATAATCCATAAAAACTCAAGAACAATATAACACACAAAAGAAAAAAAAAACAATACACTCTTTGTCTTGGACATGGCCATTCTCTGCTTGCACATTGGATTTTCATTATGTCGTCAAAATGTACAAAAAGAGTTTTTGCATTATGATTTGTCACAGTAAATATGGAGAAAAACATAAAATAAGACATAGCAACGGAAAGACATCTTCCGCCTATTTCCTCAAAATTTGTCTCTCTATGAGGTAGTAAGAGTTTTAGATACCTAGAACTAATACTTCTCTTAACATGAATGTTTAGTGCCCACTCTTCATATTACCAAAAACAAGCCTATTATATAAGATTATATGCGTTAAAGGTCTCTTTATAGTTAACTTCCTTAGTAGGTACTGATGACAACATTCAGACCGAGGTATACATGTCCGAACTCTATAACCATTATATAATAGTGCTCCAACAACTTTTTCGATATAATAGTGAGAATTCTAACACATCAATAGACAAAAATAATCTTATGACTTATAGAGAGGTTTACATCAAATAAAATACAATGGACCTATATAAGAAATAAGATATAAAAATTAAGAAAGATCACACCGCAACTGTTCTTTCTTTACCACTCAAAACCCGTGCCTCTCAGAGTAACAACTGGTCATCATAGTAATGAACACCAGCACATACCGCGTAAACAAAAATTACTAATATTTATTGCTGCCATTTGACCCATTAGCAATTACAACTTGTTTCGACCATTCAATACTTTGATCTGCTTCATAAAAAATGAAGTTTCCTTTTCTCAAGTACATCACAACATAATACTCGTCAAACTGGAATTCTATGATATTTTACTTCGCTATATTAGTAGCCCTTGCGCTCACAGTAAAAGAAAACAAGAAATTAGATAGATAGTAACAAATCAATATGATTAAGTAATTAGTAATTGATGAAATAACTGTAAAGTTAAAAGATAATTAATAACTACCAATCCAACTTCAATCACAAGTAGACCAAGGATTTGAACAAGATAATGTACATTACCACACTAAAAATGTATGGTGAAACATCTGGTTGACAAATAATAGAGAATAATTATAGTAAATAATCAAGCGTCACACAAAAATATAGAGCAATATAAATCAGTAAATGAAAAAATAAGATAATCATATCTAATGTTAATAAATAAACTCAGTACCTTTGGATGTGAAGGGTATGGCATAAATTTCCTATAGTCTTTAGACTTTATTTGCTAAATGATCTCTCAAATTTTTCACGACGACCCACATGAAAAACAATTCACAGTATAATAACAGATAAACTCAAAAGATATTTATACTGTCCAATATAATACTCATCCAAACAAGATAGATATATAACAACTATCAGTTAAAAAAAACAAATGACAAGAAAATCAAAGAGAACAAAAAAGCAAAAAAATTTGCAACGAAATTAAATACCTCAAATTCATACTTTGTTTGTGCGTGTCACGAAATAGCACAGATTGGAGTGTCTCGCCACCAGAGGTCATTAAGAGGGGCTAGATCACATGGCGAGCGGCGTCAAGCTGGATCATCGTATTGCTTAGGCATGCGGCGTTCTAAAGGCATGAGAGAAGAGGAGGGAGGAACTGGACAAGGTCTTCGGTTTGTGTCTTTCAAACCATCATTACCACGAGTCAATGTATAGTACAAATTCTTTCCAACACGAAAGAATGGGGACGAGGTATGCAAATGGCAAAGAGGTAGTGAGAAGATAAAAGTACAAGACAGAAGAAAAAGACACGAAAAGCGACTATGTGCAACCATTATATAATTTTTGCTTCGCTTATTTTATGGACTTGAATATTATCAATGCCTCATTTAAATAATTTTGAGTATATGCAAAAGAAGGTCTCTAAAATGGTCAGGCTAAAGAACTGTATATTAGTTGATACCACAATTAAAACTGAGTCCGAAGATTATACAGTATCAACTTGCCTTACCTTTTTAAAATTAATAAAATATTTTTTTAACTTCTGTCGAGAAAATAGTTTTTTCCGTTTTTTACTTAGTTCATATTAAATAATTTGGCGACTTTGTAAAACTGTCGAGTTCCGCAAATAATAATATCGGTTCGCATTTTTTATATGATATATTACTCCTCTTATAATTAAAATTTCGAAGCCGCGCCAATTTTTTGCGACGAAAAATACATGGTATGTCGCAAATTGGTCCAGACAAAAAAATCGATCGCAAAATTTTTCGGTTCGACAATTTATTCTATTAAAAATTTTTTTATAACTTTATTATTATATTTATAACTAAAAATAATATAATCATCGCATGGGATATTTTTAGCATGAGCTTAATATCATATTTAGCCGTATTACTGATATTTTGTCCATTAGGTCTGCAAATAACTGTGTTATTTTCGCAAATTGGCGACCTTTTATTTTCCAATTTCTCTGAGATAATAACATGCTTTCAGTGTGCATGCCTTTGTAGTCCGGTTGCAAAAATCGTCCGCCCCGTTACAATTACAGGGAGCATCCCGTTTCTCTCTTTCTCGCGGGAATTTTTAGCGCTACAATTAGCGACTGTTTGTCCATAGGTCGCAAATCGGTCGCAAAATTGCGACCGATTGTAGTCGGTTGCAAAAATCGATCGCAAATCGGCGTTTTTTTTGTAGTGCAAGAAGCACCGGACTCTCATATGGAGAATACTGTTTACTACCTGAGTAAGTGCATACTGGCAACAGAATTGAAGTATAGTAAGATCGAACAACTATGCTTAGCTCTGGCATGGGTATGCACCAAGCTCTAACATTATCTTTGCTCCTACACCACTCATGCAATTGCTGACTAGAGCCCCTTGAAATTCCTTATGGACAGGCTGGTTCTAGACAATAAGATGGCAAAGTGGGCCACTATCTTTACAGCATTTGATTTGAGGTTTGTTGCAAAGAAAAGGCTATCAAAGGCAGTGTGATAGCAGATCACTTAGCAGCATCCCCCAGGGATGCCGAAATAGAATACGTCAGATTTCCAGATGAGGTCATACTCCTGATCCAAGCAGACCAATGGAAGATGTATTTCAATGGGGCTGCTAACTATCAGGGTTGCAGTGCTGGTGTAGTTATAGTAACTCCAGATGGGAAGCGATTGCCCTTCAGCATTAAGTTGGCATTTCAGATCATTAATAATGAAGCAGAGTATGAAGCATGTATCGTCGGACTTGAAGCAGCCTTGAGTATTCAGATTAAGCGCCTAACAATCTATGGGGACTCCATCCTGATAGTCTCCCAAGCACTAAAGAAGTGGAAGATCAAAGAGCAGCGTTTGCTCCCATATCTTCGACACCTCGATCATTTGGCTCAGTAGTTCAAAGATTTGTCATTTCATTACTTGCCTCGGGCAAAAAATCAGTTCGCCGATGCACTAGCCACTCTTGCCTCCATGGTTGATGCCAACCCCAACATGGTTATCAAGCCTTTGAATGTTCAGATTCATCAACAGCCAACCTATTGCTACAATCTCCAGCTTGCCAATGGCAATCTTTGTTCTGGGATATTCAGACTTGGTTAGAAAAGGAAGAATACCCTGAAGAAGCCTCTAAATATGACAAGAGGACTCTCTGGGAGTTATTAAAAGGCTATCTCTACAAGGATGCTATTTTGTTTAAGCGAACATGGAACCAAGCACATTCAAGTGCATAACTAAAGAAGAAGCTCAACGGATAATGGAATGGGTGCATGGCGGAGAAGAAGGCCCTCACAAGCGAAAGAAGTCTCAAACGGAGTGTAATTGGAGAGATGGGTGCATGGCGGAGAAGAAGGCCCCTCCACAGTGAATGGAAATGGCTCTAAATCACCCATAAAGAATCATCGCAATCATGGGGTTATTATTGGCTTCACCACGCGAGTCAGACTTGCACAAAGTTTATTCAGAAATGTCATCATAAATGCTAGATTTAATGTCCAATATATCTTTTTCTTTCGCCAATTGTTGACCATAGTTCTTGTCCAAACTCCGATTGCATTCGAGGCAGGAAGGAGCACTACACAGCCCCTCTCCTTACAATTCTGTCTGTTAATATTATCTTGTTCCCAACATACGCGACCACCGTGAGATACCACATTGGTAGTTCATAAGCGACAGATTGTTGTCCCTACTCTTAGGTGACTCATACGGAATTTTCCTGCATTCACCCAAAGCTCCACTTTAAATACCTTGACTTAACAGGTCTGTCTTTTGCCAACAATCGTAACGCCCCGCTTCCTATCATGTCCTATAAAGAAAAAAAGCCTTCTAGTACGCGAAAAGATTATAGACTGCCTGCTTCGAAGAGTTACAAGGATAGATGTCCAATCATAGAAACGAAACCATCTATACTAAATAGCTGCCACGGTGATAGTGAGGAAATTTACCGACATATTGCCTCCATTTCGAGACGTCAAATTACTGTCCATTAGTACGCTATATACTGCGGTGTGCTTATACCATTCCTTTTCTCCTCACAGAGCAAGACGGCATTTCTCACCACTCTCTATCAAGTCTCCCAGGAAAAAGGAAAGAGAGCAGAACAAACTAACCTAAGATACAGCAAATCCAGAGCAAAAAATAACCAATTTAATAGCCTAAAAGAGCAAATATAACACGTGGCGTGGCCCCAATACCTTTATAGCGAGACCCTTGAATTGAGTGCTTGTGAGAAACGCGGTAGTTTCATGACAGAGAACTTTGGGGACCTTTTTAGATTAAGTTAGTCATCCAACAACAAAAAAAAAAAAAAAAAAAAAAAAAACTGTCTTGAACTTCTCGAACATATTTCATTAGGTAACAAAATTTGATGATTTCCAGAAAAAAAAAAAAAAACATAGCCGGAAACTCTCTTTTCTCAAATGTCTATGAGGTATTAGTTGTCTCTATCTTCTTATGATTTGGCCACCACCGCCTTTAATTTATTCTGAATCTTTTTTATTCTTGGCTTCCCCGTCTGTCCACTCTTCCTTTTGTGCTCCTCTCTTTCGTATGGATCCACATCTTCATATTTGATTGGTTTAATAATCAGCCCTTGTTTTTTCACCACCTGCCCAGAGTACATTCAAGGTAAGAAACAGCACATGCGTAAACAAAATACTATAGCATTGCATTAGCAAACATGTTTGCTTCAACACTATTGTTCATTCCCATAATATTGTAACGGAATTAATTTTCTTCCTTAGCTGTCCAGAAAAGAAAACAAGAATTAGATGAACAAATATGTGATTGTTGTGAATCTGTGGTAAGCCACTCACTTCAGGCCGATTGAGAGCTCCAATTGCTGTTGCAGGATTGAATTCAGGCCCAATAGGCATACGGATGCTCTGTTCAAAAACTTCTTTTGATGTGAAAGGGTATGGCAATGTTTTTGTATGCAATTTTTCAGCCTGAAACATCCAGATAAAGATAATCAGATTTATTAACCATCAGAAGTTAACACTATTTGACAGAAAAAAAGAACAGCAATTGCAACTTCAAAATGTGTTGCTGAGCAGTTGCCCATATTAAGCTAATAACCTGGATCATTTACTTTAACATGAGAAGAAGAAATCAATCTTTGGTCTTCAACATCATTCCACAGTAATAATCATTTTCCACACAAATGGCAGTTCAAATCAGTAGTTATCACAAACAACCTTAACATTTATTTTTCTTTTTAGGACTGATTTCATTATTTATAATTGAAATGCAAAGATCTAAATTCAGTAAAGCTGTTAAGTGATACACAGCCAAAATACAATCTAACTTGCTTACCTTTTTATCCAATTTCTCTGAGATAATAACATGTTTCAGATGTGCATCCTTCCGTTTCTTAAGAGCATCTTCCCTTTTCTTCTTTGCAATTTCATGCTCTTCCACCATCCAGGAAGGCAAGCCTTTCTTCTTCTGTATACTTGTCCACTGGCCCCAACCTGGTAGTAAGACAGGTTTCTCAGGTTCAGGATTTTCCTCATCCAAAAGCTCCTCTTTATCCTTGCTAAATTCTTCTTCCACATCGTCACCAGCAAAAGCTTCGCGAATAAGCTCTGCTTGAGAAGGAAGTTCATAAGAACTTCTAGCGCCTGAAGATAAAATCCCATCCACCATCTGTCCTTCGCTATCTGTATCACTTTCCTCGCCCATTACCTTCCAGTCCCAGAAAGGAGGACAAAAATATAAGAAACAGCAAATCACAACAAAATAAATAAATAAAGAGCATATAAAGGTGGCCATACCTTTTCGTCTTGATTGTGCTTAACAGGTTCAACAAACTTTGGGGACCTTTTAATATTAGTATCCACTTTAGTTTCGCTTTTCATCTGCTAATTACAGGCATAGTCAAATATGCGCACAACCAATTCTTCATTTCTGAGAATGAACGTAAGAAAAGAAATGAAGGCTTAACCTTTTTCCAAGTGTCTGATACGAACATCGAAACTTCATATGTTGTCTTGGGACCAGCTTCTCCAACAATATCATCATAACTCTGTGAACCATAAAACATGAAATTTTGAGTATGTGAACATATAGAAGACTTTAAGGCAGCAGGCCAGAAAGAAACCACAAAATCTCATTACCTTAAACACAGAATCCCGTCGAGTCTCAGAATCCTCACCAAGTAAAACAGAATTAGCATTAACATCCTTTTGCACGTCTTTTGTTCTGGCCAAGCCAAGATCATCATCTTCTCTCTCCCCGAGTTCCTCTTCACTGTCACTATTCGCATAACTATTGTCTGATTTGATCTTATTATTTTTTTCTATAGCCTGCATTCCAGATGCACCAAACACTCTTCTGCCACTCACAGTGCCTGCTTTTGTATTTTCTAGCCCAGCTGCACCTTCCAGTTGATTCAGTGATGATTCATACTCTTGAAGAGCAAGCTTAGCTTCTTCAGCTGCTTCTTCCTTCTTTTTCTTCAATCCACGCATCTAAGGCAAGCAAATCAAAAGGGAAAAATATCGTTGAGATGTATGTACAAAATCCAAAAGCAAATTATATTCCTTTAAATTTGGCAAAACTAAATAACATAATATACACAAATTTACAAGAAAAAACTTGGCACATATTACCATGAAAGGTAAAGAAAGCACTCCTGAATTTGGCACTTCATCATCCTCTTCCAATACCCTTAGTGTCTTCTCTTTTGCTTTTGTTAACATCTTTGATGGCCCATCATGGTCAGAACCAGCAGAATCTTCATCTTCTTCCTCATTGCTGCTGTCATCACTGCTACTTTCCTTCATAGATTTCATTTTTCTAGTCAAAAGAGCATGCTGGTGGAGTTGTTCAGCTATAGCGGCTTTAGTGCCTTCATCTTGGACACTTAAACCACGATCTAAAATACGCCTTGCCCACTTTGAACGGTTTTTGTGCTTCAAAGTCATGCGTTCCTACATCAAACATAATGGATTAAGAATAAATTTTGCAGTCACTAATTATCTTTTGCCTATTAAAAAGACAGGAATACAATTTATCTTTAGAATGCAATATGTTTGAAAATTATATTATAAATTGTTAATCACCTCTGCCCGTTTGAACTCTTGCTTCATTGCTTGTTCCTTAGCTGCTTCCGGATCCATATGCATTTCATCTGATGACACTTTCAATCTATCTTTTTTCAGCATTCGATGATAAACTTTGGATTTTATCTTTTTGATGCGTTTCATTTTCACTTCGTGACGGAAAAGAAGGCTGCGCATTTTAGCAATATGATTCCATTTGTCTTTGACATCTTCAGCAGAGATCTGCGAAGAATCATTAACACAAGAAACATTCAATGAATTTTTTTGAAGGCAAAAAGAAAAAGATCATAAAGCTAGACAGGAAGATCTGATGCCACACATTAGTAAGGCACATGGCACAAACAAGGTGAGGACAGATATGGCAACAAGTTTACTGAAACAGAGAAAATAGAAATCAATATATATCCGCGGAAAATCATGAAACTGAAAAATTTTGATTTGCAATTCATTGGAGTTTTGAATAATGAACTATTATTACCAAGAACATAAAAGAATTTTACTATGCAGTCCCCCAACATCAACTAACACTTGTGTGCTCCAGTTATTAAATTTCCATTTTAATAATATGCAGCATCCTTGGACACTCAGATCTTAGTTTGCAAATTTTCTGGAAGATGATCTATTTAGCACTTCATAAAAGAATCTTAGATGATAATGCCTAAATTCCTATATTTATCATTTTGTCACCTCATCCTTCTCACTATGCTGTTAACAACGATTTGATTCCCATAAGGACTAAGTATCTCCCTCCAACAATTAATAATCAAGCAGTGTTCAGATTACCATCTAACTGCAAGTATCTTCTCACAAACCTCCATCCAGAATCTCTTTACATTACCAACTTTTTGCCCTCCTACCCTTGGCATGCAGGAATGCTCTATGCACCAAGAATCACAGAGTATATTTGCATATTTAGAAGTATCACAGTCACGATTTCCAAATAATATTCTAAATATATTTAACATATATATGAGGTATGAAACTGCAATGGCCCATCAAACAACAAGAAACCAACAAGATGCAAGACGCATGCACAGTTTCTTTTGCCATTGCGCCCCCCCCCCCCCCCAAAAAAAACCCACAAGATGCAAGACGCATGGCACAGTTTTCTTTTGCGCGCATTTTGTCGTGTCAGGCCGCGTCAAAACACACACGTTGGCGCGGTTAGTTTTTCTCCAGAGACTCTTCCTGAGGTTCCGCTTGAAGGAAAAACAGCTATTAGTCCCGCACCCATCCAACCTTAGGTTAACACAAAAACAGAAAAAAATCATATAAAAAAAAAATGCCTGCAGTGGGGACAATAACAAAAGGGTCCATAGGTGGCTAAAGACGAAAAGGCGAGTTTTGTTTCTGGTTATTTTATTTGTCGTATTAAATAAACCATAAAGTAATGGTAACAAATTGTCTTTTTTATTGCAATAGGAAATAAAGAATTAAAACGATAGCCTCAAAATTTGCACAAAATAAAAAAAATGTATGCAAGTATGGTGGGCGAACTTATTCAAATTAGCATGAGATGAAATCCCTCCAAATAAACATCTGGCAAGATTTTTAGCTGAACTGGACGCAAGGTAATAATGGAACTTAGGGAACCTATAGCTCTCCTCATTAGCCTATATGTATAACTTTCAAGAAGTCTGGTTCTCACGTTCGGTCAATTTAATTCCTTATTCTTTATTTTAGATTGAGTCTTCTCATAACCTTTATTGTTCATTCAAGAAAGTAAGACTAATGACCATGCATATATCTTTTTTCACTTACTGCTAATAGAATACTTCTATGTATCTCATTAGTTAGGATTCAAATTCAGAACGGGTCATGTATTGCCCCCCATGTCAGTTGTACAAAACCCAATTCCGTATCTCTCTGTCAAAAATAAATGTGCTAGGTGTTTGTAGCCCTCTTTCAGTAATTTTCTTATTATCAATGTCTATTAGACTTAATAGTTGGCTAGCGAAATCTTAATATAGATGTAAAACGATCCTCTTTACTATGTAGATTTAATGTGTTCTATGTTTTTGAAAGTGAGTACGTAGGAAGCTGCCTTCCTCTGACCCCAAACGATTAGCAGATCTGTCCGGATACATTTCCCTCTACTGGAACAGACGCGAGACAGGTCATGGAGAATACGCATGAAGACCAAAGTCTTTTTTCCTGGACCCATCTGCTGATGGTGTTCTCTTACTGGTACGGTTGGCATACGTGAAGCTCGTCCAGTTGGCACATTTTCCTGAAGACTTCCCAAAGAGGTCATCTAATCAAAATTTGTAAATAGTTCATTGCTGCTTTGAGCCGTGACGGCCCACTAGAATTAGTTTTGCCGACTCATACGCAGCTATCAAGAGAATATCCTGTATCAAACAGCCAGGATTTGGCCGGGATGGTAATTCCGTTAGAGAATGGGACTTTGTTCTATCCAGACTCAGGTAGTTTCAATGCCTCGGATATGAGAAATTTCTTCTTCTTCTTCTTCTTGTCTGGAGAAATAAATATTTATCAATTTGTGTACTTATATGCTAATAAGTATAAATATCTTGCAATATTGTTTACTTAAATTAGAGGATGGAAAGATCGATAAATTTAGTAAATAAATTAAGGCAATTTTGATCTGAGACTTCGGTGGCTAGCTTTTTATTAGAGGAGAGACAGTTGATTTTTCAGTTAGCATGGACATATATGTTTCAATTTCTTATCAGGAGGTCATCAGTCCGACTATCTCTATGAAATACAGTACATCCCCTCAGCAGAATAACTGGTTCTTAATATAAACTTTTTAATTAGAGTAGATTTTGGACGCCAAAGATGAATAAGAGCAATCACAAGACTAGTGCTTGATGATCCGCGCAGCATGTCTCTCTAAGTGAGTTAATACCCAGCAATTAGTGCATGTTCTTGTTTAAAATTTGTAATGAGTGTCATCCTCACTTTACAGCATAACTTACAAACAAGCCAATTAACACTCAGGCAAAATATGGTTCTGTGAGAGGCTCACAATATACAAATAAAAAGAAACCCTCTAGTTGGTCATTCTAAGATGATTTCCTTTCTGCATAAAATCAATCCTATAAAATGTCCTTCTCCCGATACAGAATGCCAACCTAATCCTCTTGTAATGTAAATGAACCACTTAGAATTATAGTTGTGTCCTAATTTAATTAAGATTTTAGGAAAGTTTATTTTATCAATAAATTTTTGATAAATGCTTTTTGAAATGACCTTTGAATACATTTGTGATTAGCATCAACTCATATTTGGTTGGTGCTTTATTCAATTACCATCTGTCAGAGGTCTTGTTTTCTGATTCTCGGGTATTTCTCGAATTAGTCACTTATTAACCTTCCGGATCTGCTGCAATATGAGTAAAAGAAGTGTCGAAGTTAATTATGTATTTTTAATTGAGTGTATTATGTGGATTGTGAGTGCTCGATTAACATTATCGTCCTAAGATAACGTATATAGATATCCTTGAGAGTAGAAATCCGGCGACATGACATTGCAGGATCTTTGTATTAACCTATATTATATTGTTCGTTCATTTAGATGCCTGTAATCTGGAAGCGGGTGAACTTAGATTGAGAAGAATATGATAAGTTGGCTCTTTATGGTGAGTTGTTAAGTAATGTGCATTGAACTCGTTAAGAAAGAGAGGACTATTCAAACCATTGACATCGATATATATGCAGTGATTGCTTTTACGATCAATGACAGAAATTTTTGATTGAGAGGTTATAAGATTCAAAGAAAGGGTTTCTTTAAAAAAAAAAAAAAAAAAAATCCTCGCTACATCATTGCTACTTGCAGTTTTCTTTTTTAGTTTATTGATCAGCTAAAATGAAAAAAAAAAAAAAGTAGCATGTGTGAACTACATATGACGAATTCCAAAAACACTGAATTTAGTGAACCAAGAAATAACTGCAGCCTCCATACCTTATTTAACTCAAGAAGTCTGGCACCATCTTCTTTATGAGCTTCCATAACCTTGTCATCATAAACTAATGAAGCCATCTTCTTCTCAAACTCTGTTCTAGGTTCAAATTCAGAAGCTATTGCCCCCACAGTTGAAAAACCCAATTCCGTATCTCTGTCAAAAATAATGGTAGGAGCCTCTCTATTTCTTTTAACTAAGGGCTCCCACTTTGTAATATCCTTCTTTGATTGTTCATAAGCTGCCTTCCTCTCCAACATATCTCGAACATCCTTTGAAAGAGGAGCATGGAGAGGAGCAGTCTTTTTCTCCATCTGATGGGTTCTCTTACGTAGTTGGCTATACGCAGGCTTTCCCTGAAGACTTCCCAGAAGATCTTCAATTGTAATGCGGCCATCACCATCTAGAATATCACGAGTTGGGTTATATTCAGACTCAGGATATGCCTCGGATATGACGAAATTCTTCTTCTTCTTCTTCTTGTCTGAAAAAATTATAGACTTAAAGCAAGTAATGCTATTAACTAAAATTAGAAAGGAAATTGAAATGCAATTTCTACTGCCTACTTTAGGGAATGATTTACATGGACAAATATGTTTCAATTTTTAGAGTCATCATCCTAAATATCTCAAGTAGAATATAAACTTTATTAGAGTAGAATTTTGGAGAGAAAGATCACAAAGCTAATCCCACCTAGTTAAACATGCATCTGTAAATGAAAGCATCTCATACAGCATAACTAACGCCAATCAGCACAAATGCGATACCTTCAAAAGCCTCAGTTGGCATTCCAGTGATTCCTTGCAACATCCTTAAATGCCTTTCATCATCTTCCTCTTGAAAATCATTATTAAGTTGGTCTAAGTTTTTCCTTTTAACTTTTGAATCCTTAAACTTGTTAGCATCACCATTGTTCTTATCATTACCATCGTCATCGTCATCATCCGATTGCACATTCTCATCCTGCATGAGAATTCAAATATATATTATGAATATTTGATAAAATTAGATAACATAATTGTAGATGCTACAATGTTAACATACAAGCACGTCGAGAGTACAAATATAGAAAAAAATGTTCCTTTATTATACAACTAAGAGACTTTACCAAATAACTTTACCATCTGACAAATTATGGATATCAATTCCAAACGGTTTATGCAGTACAAAATGTGTATATCAGGTATAATCTACCTGAAATCTTATTTGAAACCATTTCCAGTTGGAACACACAGTATGTCAATTGACAAAGAAACTGTGGCTCTACAAGTTATATAACTTAAAAAAGATTTTCCGAATCCATCCAACGAGATTGGTGAAGATAAATCCAAATTCCACCTACACATTCTTTCACCTTGCAAAGGCTTAACTAAATTTCCGTTTTACTTATCTGAATTTTCACCAAATTGTTCGATAAAACTAGGATACAGCCCATTGCACTATCAGGGCGACAAAAGCGCCTTGAACGTGTCCATACCCACCAAAATAACATCCTTGAAATTTGAACTGGTTTTTCCAATTTGGATCTAGCTATTAAGTTGCAATTAAACTAAATATAAATAATGGCGGGAGATAATTAACTCTGAAACAAGGTACAGAGTAAGGAATAGAGCAAAAAACCTTGAATTTCTCAGGCAATTGGTACTCGTAGTTCTCGACAGGATCATAACGGCGGTTCTTCTTCGACTCTTCTTCAGCCACCTCTTCCTCGTACTCATAGAAGTCGTTTACCTCATCAGAGAGTATATCTTCGTCTTCTTCGCCGTTAAATTGGTTATCAGGATTTATGCGGTCGAGCTCCTTTCGCAGCGCGTTAGGCAAACGAGGACCGGTCTTCCTCTTCTTTCCTTTATCGTCTTTCTTATTCTTGTTGCTCAATGACTTGCCATTGAACTTTTTGTTAGTCTTTGTTGCCTTCTGCTTCATCTCGTCTCTCACTTTTCTCTTCTTGTCCGCCATGGCCGCCGAATGGAGGACAGCCACGCTTTCGAGGGGCGAAATGGGAGCTTTGCTTAAGAACTGGAAGCCTTGGACGGTTACTCTCAGACCCAATTATATATGGATTCGATTAATGGGTCGGACATCGTAGCTGTGATTAATCCTAATACAATCTCAGGTCCAAGTTTATTCATTGCGTCCGGCCCAATTGCAACCTGTAAGATAAATACACGCATTAGAATGAATTTAATCGAAAAGAAAATTTCAGAATTAGATTTTTTTTTTTTTGAGAAGACAGAATTAGATTTTTGCGGTGTAAGATTCAATAATTCTCAAATTTTACCCAGTACTATTTTATGAATTCTAATTAGAGTCAAATTCAAAAATAAATACTAATATATATTTTAGTCAAGTGTAATTAATACTAAATTACGTGATTATACAGGGGCGTTAGAACATGTACACTAGCCCACTTTCACAATTTGATTGAGGTTAGGCATTTATGTGATTCACGCGCAGTTTATATTAGTAAGTTCAAGTACAAGATAATATTTGCCAAGATTAGTACTAAAGACCTGTTCATGAATTAAACCAATTATCATAAAAAATTGTTAAAATTAATTTTTATTTATCATTTTTTTTAATGAATGCTTGGAAATATTTTGATTTAATATATTTTTTATTTATTTGATCCATGAATGACTCTATATACCAGATCTAAGTATGTCATTCTCGTAAGCATATAATTAAGTTTATCTTTGTGCATGAATCCTTTATACTATGTGCCAAAATCAAAGAACACATGTGCATAGATATAGTGTTCTCATTTCATAATTGGATTTCAATCAACAGAAGCACAAAGCCTCTGCATGCACAGGAGAGGGAAAGCAGATAAAATGTATGTATATTATTACATTTACCTGGAAGAACATATAAAACGATATATTGCAGCACTTAGAAGTTTGCAAGGAGTTAAACAAGGTGAGAAGGCCATGTTGGAGAAGGGGAGCACGTGCAAAGAGGAGGGTTTAATTTGTTTTGCACGTGCCCTGCTTCTCCAACAAGAACTACTCCACCATTAAAGCAGTTTCTCCAATGTGTGTTTTGAAAAGGATAATGAGAGTGAAGAAGGTGATGTATTTATAGGGAAAAGCAGAGTGACGAGATAAAGAAAGAGTCATTTAAAGCCAAGAAAAAAGCAATGAGTGAAATGGATTTGCAAGGCATTCGATCCATTCCATGCAATAATTAGTAGGCTGCCAAGAAATTCAAAGTAGAGATATCCAAGGAAGGGAGAAACAGAGTCATGTCTGCCTTAAATTCACAAAAGCAACAATCCCTACCCTTAAATTTTGTTCTCTCTGCAGGACGTGGATGATCCGATCAAATTGCATGAGACAAAACAAATAGTAAAAAAAAAAAAAAAAGGGCTCTGCAGGACCGTAGGATGATCACGATCAAATTGCAATGAGAAAAACAATTAGTGAAAAAAAAAAAAAAAGGGTTAAAAAAAAAAAAAAAAAAGGGTTGGTTTAAGACTGTGAGCATGCAATATATATAAAAAAATCTTGGCCTTTGGATGAAGAATTGAATTCTGTGACTAAGGGTCCCACAAGCGGGGTTACAATTACATTGTTTTCTTTTCTTATGGGAATTGAACAAATTTTGTGGGAGGAAGTTTAAAGTTTGAGCTTGTAAAAGGAAGAGGAGAAGAATAATGTAAGAGTGCACGAAGGGTTTGCGTGTTGGGCCAAAGGGTTTTGAGTACATGTATGTGAGTGAGCATTTGAGAGAGAAGCTGGGTGCCTCCCTAGGTAGATATGATTCCCTATATGGAGTAGGCACCAGCTTTTTTCCCCCCAGAATTTATGGTGGGTTTCATATAGGTAGACTCCTCCAACATTTACACTGTTTTTACTTCTAATTAGCCGAGCAAGTTATTAACTAATGCTTTCTTATCGGTGTTAGTATATACTTTGTGCATAGAGTCTAATATTATAAACATGGGATGATACTAGTCAATACAATGTCATTGAAGTATAGGGTCATGATGGAACTCTTGCAAAGTTATTTTATTTCAGCGAATAATATAATTATTGTTGAAATATAAAAATATAGAATTTAAGGATGTCACGAGATAAATCGTGTAAACTTCAAGGCAAATCTATGCATTTAACGGATGAACATCTTATTCTCTTTTCATCAATTTAATTAGCCGGATAATTTAGGTAATTAGAGGATAAAATTCTTGTCTGTCCCCAATTAATATTGAAGCAACAGAACAGTGAGAAGAAAGAAAAAGGAGGTGATCAAAGGAAGGAAAGGCACTAGATATGGAAAAAAGCCCTGACACTTAAGGTGAAAGCAGGGGGGAGGGGGGAAATACATTAAAGACAAGGTAAGGTGGGAGATATAAATAAATCAGCTATAAAAGAGGCCGTTTTAAAATAGATGGAATTGGTGTCACCCTTAAATCACCATTTTTGTCTTGTGGAGGAAGAACATAGATTCTGGCATGAGGTCATCATCAAATCTAGAGATATAATATAAATGCTAGCGTGTCCACCCAGCTTTCCAAGTGTTGCAGTAAATGCTTTATTTGGTCACACACTCATATCTATTCATATGCTTTTGAAACTCACTCATCCTCTCAACTGGCTAAATTCCACTGCACTCGATGCATCTTTGACTCTTCCTTGGAAAAAAGGAAGCAACAAAGCGAAACTTGGTGACGTCCCTTAGAAGACCTAATAGGAATCCACTTTGTTTTCAATTAAAAGCTGGGCATATGGGAACATCCATTTCAATATCAATACAAAAATGCATAATTCCTTCTTGAATTTTTTGAAGCAAATTATGTGATTTTCTTGATAATCAGGACATCTTCTCTTTGGCAGAAGAAATTGTTGTTTTTTTTTTTTTTAAAATCCACTTGCTATAATCCCCTCGATAGGCCTGCTTTTCCTACGCTTGCGTGAGGTTGCAAATGAGTAAAAAACCATCCAGTTTAATGTTCATTGTTTATGGCTTATTCAGTGAAGAGTTGGACTTGCTGTTAACTCATTTGAAATTGGAGTTCAACAAAGAGAATCTCTGGCCATACTGGAGGTGAGTGCTTTGTGTTCATTTTTCTACTCTTCAACCAGCAAAGGTTACGTGTTATATTCAGTTACCTTACTAACTCATTTTCCTACAGCATCATCTTTATTATAGGATGCATATGACAACCTCTTTCCCATCCTTCACCCCTAACCCTAACAATTTTTTTTAAAAAGAGAATATCTTATGTACAGTATAAATACAGCATGCTGCTGTATTACAATGGAAACAACATTTCCTGGGTACAGCTCATTGAATTCTCTTATTCTACCCGAAATCTACAACTGTAAGACCTCCAATCTTAGATTCAGTATGGAAGAGACATATTGAAGTTAGTAATTCTTGTATTTGAAATTCACTTGAACCACATAACGCATCCTAATCTGATCCACATTGTAGACTATGTACTCGTTGTATAGTAAAGCACCCTGCGAGAAGTATTCAGAAAATAACTTTTAACTTCCTTATAAATCAAAGTCACTAATTAAAAGTTGAAAAGGGATCCAAGCTTTGTTTTAATACGTGTTTGTAATACCACCTTATGGCCTTCTTGCTGTTTGGCTTTCCCAAGAGGAACAGTGACACCATCCTCAAGTGCCTTGGCACATGAGAGATCTGGAGCAGTTGAGCCGACTCCTTTTGTGCTGCGGTAATTAGATTTGCAGTTATGTGAGAAAGCAAATCATGAAAGATAATTGTGTTCTCTCTCCAAATAGCACTAAACAAAAAGCAAATCATATTTTAGCATACACCATTTTCACCTCAACAAGAAAAGGCAACAACCAATATTTGGTGATAAATTTGGAGGGTTTAAAGGTGAGCATACAAAGATATTCAAATCCAGTAATATAGAAATACTTTAAAATTTTACAGGGGTGTATTGAATTAAGATTGTGTTAAATTTTAAAAGAATTATTAAATTTGATGGAATTCAATGATTTTCTAAGATTTCTACATATTCCACTAGAATTTTAAATAGAGTTTTAAGGAAGTAGTAGGACTTTTTTTATAGATTTTGATTGACTTTGATGGAATTATAATGATTTTTATATATCCAATCAAAATTAATTTTAGAACCTAATTGAACAAATTAAAAGATTTTAAAGCCAAATGAAAACTGAAAAACAATGAGGGACTAAAAAGCAAAATGCATAATCTTCTCTAAAATTATTTTTTTTCTTCGGAATTATCGCTGCCGACATCATGACTATATATACTATTCTGATATTAAAATTCGATATAGATGAAATTGAAACAGTAGCTCTGCTTTTTCTTTCATTTTGATATTTTCCTATTTCTTTTCTTTGAACTCCAAAGGGATCCAAGTCTTTGTTTTAATACGTGTTTGTAGATACACCTTATTTTCGGGTTCTTGTGTTTGTCTTCCAAAAGACGGGAAAAACGAGTGACACAATCTCAAGGGGTGGGCTTGGACAATGAGAGGATTAGGAGCAGTTGGCGACTCCTTTATGATTGCTGCGGTAATTCAGATTTGACAGTTACTCGTGAGGAGAAGCAAAGTCATGGGAAGGGAGATAATTGTGTTCTTCTCACGAAATAGCCTAAAACAAAAGCAAATCATATTTTAAAGCATTACACCATTTCTCCCAACCAAGAAAGGCAACAGAACCATATTGGTGGTAATTTGAGAGGGTTTAAAAAGGTGAGATTTCCGGACAAAGATAATTCCCACTCATCAGTAATATGAGAAATTTAACTTTAAATTTTATCAGGGGTGTAGGGTCTGAATTAAGAAATTGATGGGTGTAAAAGAGTTTAAGACATTATTAATTTGATGGAACTCTGGAACTGAAATAATTTCTATTAGATTTTCCATTACACTATTCCCACTTAGAATCAGCTTTAAATAGAAGTTTTTAAGGGAAGATTAAAGGAACTTGTTTACTTTGTGAATAGATTATTTGATTGACTGGTCATGATCGGCATTAATCATGACTTTTTATGATATCCAGATCGAAAATTCAAATTGGTAATATAGAACTACATTTGAAAACGAACTATGGTAGGAGACAAGATCTCTAAAGAAAAGTGAAGAAACTGAGAAAAGCCATATGAGGACTAAAAACGCGCGCGCAAAAATGCGCAATAATTGGTGCGTGTAAAAATGTCATTTTTTTTTTTTTTTCTTCGGAATTATCGCTGCTCGACAATCATGACTATCTGCGTACCTCATTACTGATCACCCTATAAAATTCGATAGATATTAAAATTCGATATAGATGAAATTGAAACAGTAGCTCTGCTTTTTCTTTCATTTTGATATTTTCCTATTTCTTTTCTTTGAACTCCGAAAAAATCTGTCAATATTTCTGATTAAATCTTCTTATTCCTAGTTATTCTATAGGAATAAATAGCTATTCCCTTCCTCCATAGAAAAAGAAGTCATAACATAAGACACAGAAATCTTTTTTGATTCAGATCAATTTGTATTGATATTTATACTTATATAAGATTTATAAGATTTATATATATATAATAAGATTGATGTATCTATTAGATCATGGCTTCATGTACCAAATATTTTCACATACAATATTTTTGATTTATATATATATAATAAGATTGATGTATCTATTAGATCATGGCTTCATGTACCAAATATTTTCACATACAATATTTTTTTCCGACAATATGATGTAGAAGTAGAATAAGGATGAGAAAAATACTTTCATTTAAAGTTTTCTATTTATTTAATATTGTTTATATTGAATTTAATAATAGGAAAAGTCATTCTCTTTCTTCTTTTCTGATGACAGATATAAATATAAAGTAAATAAAAAACAATATTGGAGCCTGCAATGGCCAGCATCGTCGGTGGCCATCCCGCTCCCGTTAACCGCTATATTAAACGGATTTGGCAGTGGATACTTTATCCATTATTAGTAAAAAATGTATTTTAAATAAATCCGAAATTTGGATAGTTAAATATTCATGAGACCTTACCCGTTTAAGAGATACTTAAATAGGTATTTAAACGGATTTAGAATGGATACAGATAATAAAATTTTAAACGGATATCTATACAGTTAGTTTCAAATTCGCAGGTACCCGCTTCGCTTTCTATCTATTAAGGGATGTATTGAATTAAGACGGCTAGATTTTAAAAGATTATTGAAATCTTTGAGTTGGAGAATGGATTTGTTAATGACTCATTTATTCATACATAACACATATAAAATCCAACGAAATCAATAATTTTATAGAAACTTTCTAAATCGGCAATTTTTAAAATACCATCAAATTTTTATGAACTTTTAAAAAATCACAATTAAATATCATCAGATTTTTATAGATTTTATAAGAGTCTGAATTAAATACCATAAAATTTTAATGAATTCTAAAAGAATCTAGACTGAATACCATTAAAATTTTAAAATCTTTTAAAATTTAAAAGACTCCAATACACCTTTCTTAGTATTTCAACAATTCTACCAAGCAAATTAACTTCATTTCAGCAACCAGACAAGAACGAAGGAAATGTTCCACCAAAGAGTATTGAAACTAACCTTAGCTTCCCCTGCGGCAACTTATCAGCATCATAATTTGCATATAACTGCTCAGCCATATCCCCAAGCGCAACCTAAGAAGCACACAATTCAGCAGTTCTGTGAGAAACATTCAACTACAAGAAAGCTATGCATGTGCACGGTGCACCAATAGGGTTGAACAAGTAAGTCATAATAAAATCCATTTATAACCAGAAGAACAAATGCTAATTGATCTAAAACCTATACAAGCCCATCCTCTAGAAAGGCAGATAATTCCAAAATCTTCCCCAGAAAATTTACAGTTCGTGCAATTAAACAAAATATATCAATGGTAGAGAAAGTTATACTGCAAGCTCTAGCAGCCAACAATACATAACACATTTAATCTATGCATACGATTATCTGAAAATACTCTTAAGGCAGTTGGTTAACATAACTATACCTCACACAACAGTAAAACACCGGCTGAAGCAGCAGCTGTAGCATAGCAGTAATTTGCACTTTTTGAGAACATATCAGCAAAATAAACCCCCTTCCCAAACATGTAGCCTGTTACAGGTGCTTCTGGGGGTGCAATGCGCAAGCCTAGTAGTTTGTCAACAAAGAAGTTGCACTTTGCAGTTATTGAAGGGGAATTCATCTTAGACTTGCACGCATGAGCAAGCATGCAAGCACTTACACAGTGCAAGCAAAGGCACAGCATAAATTTGTCGGACTTTCAAAAAAAAGAAAAAAAAAAAAAAGAGCTCAGAAATATAACCTTGGGACAGAATGCCGGCCCAGTTCGTGAGGCGAGAACCATGCCATAAAAGCATTCTGTTTTTCACAGTCGAGAACTGCTCACAGGATTTAAAAGCAATTAAATTATGACACGTTATAAATGATAAGAGTAAGATTTAACTGGGTGCCATCCACAATGACAGAATCAATTCATGATAGTTGCAACTTATGTCAATAAAAGATCACCTTCTTGAAGCGTTGAGCTTCACCTTCTCTAAAGATCTCGAATATTTGAACAATATCAACAGTATATTGTGAGTGTGTTTTTGCATGTGTGTTCTGCATATACGTTGCAATCTGACCATAGAAAACAATGGAAATCAAACTAATGGCACAATTTCATACTTCAATGCCCTAATAGCACCTTCTTCCCGTCCCAAACCCCAAAAATACACGTTAAACTTTTTTTTTTTTTTAAAAAAAAAAGGAAAGGAAAAAAGTACCAAAAAAGAAAAGAAAAGAAAAGAAAAACCAATAAATGCTTTAGTTTTTTTAAGCTACTCAGAATACCATAGAAAATTCTTCAGAATCAACCTCAAGCGGTATCAGTTCACAGTGGAGGCGATTATAATGACAATACAGGTGATCTTCCTATAATAATAACATAAACTTAAATTAATACAAAAATAGGACAAGTAAAGTTTTGAAAGATTCTAAAGAACAGCAACAATTTGCAAGCATAGATAACTATTGACAAACTAGATCAAGACAGAATTACCTGCATTCCTGGTTCATCCTCTAACAACTTTGTCGCAACCTCAATCTCACCCAGGGCTTCAACCTTCAATAAAATACAAGGAGATCAGTGATATCTCTCCTAAATTAATGCAACTCAATTAACAACCATACATAATTTTGCTAATGCACTTTTTAACCAAAAAGAACATGTGCAGGATGATATCAACAAAACCCTTCATGATGATTTCATTAAGGCACACTATAGAATAACTTAGACCCACTTAGCCAAATCATACTCAAAAGAAACAAACAATTTTTTCCCTTTTCTGGTTAGTTATAGAAACAGAGATATTGAATTAAGGAAAAAGTGAATTACCATTTCTAATTTGTGTTTTAACTTCTGAGGAGTGTCAATGACAAAATCACCTGCCATAATCATTATTTTCAATAGAATACTTGCATAGAACAGAAAATATAGTACTGCCAGTCGCTATGTTCTGAAGGTTTCTCAGTTTCTGAAAGGCAGAGAGATATACAGAGAAAGAGAGGACTTACGCATTTTTTTAAAACCGAAGTCATGGGGAATAACAGTATAGAACTCACTGCAATGAAAATTTTCTATTAAAAATCAAAATTTCAGAAACTTCTTTAAGGCCATAGCCGCACAATCCAGCAGAGTCCACACAGTGTCAAATAGTCCGCTTATTCTTACCCGCTCAATTGCTCTAGTTGTGGCTTATTTGCTGTGCCAATTACATTGGCAATTCTCTTGAGGACTTCATAGCCCTGTGAATTTAAAGAACACTGAATCATTGGGTGACTAATGAAGAAGAAAAAGAACTAAGAAGATATGGTATCAAGGTCTGTGAAACTGTACACTAACATTGTAACTACCAATTATATTATATGCCAATAATGTCTAAAAGAATCCCAAGTGTCTTACAAGCTACAAGATAAAAATTTCAGAGCAAGTAATAGCATAACAGCTATAAGATCTATATATAGGACAGCATATCCAGTGCTCTAACTTCCCAAGCAAGAAACACCATTAATGAAAATTGCATCTCAGATCTTCAGTTTTGCAGTCAATATTTGCACAAAGAAGTGGCATCAAAATCAAAATCTACATCCCAAGCCTCTCTAGCATGTAAATGGAACCCTAAAGTGCAAAGTTTGCATGAATTTATTAGGAACAGCTATTTAAAGAATTTATCCTGATGTCATTCTCATTATAAGTAAAAGCGTGTCAGATATATGGCTGATTGTTGAATTGTACTTTGTGCAACTTCTGACTTAGCCCGGTGGTGGATGGATCTCTCAACTTGGGCATAACCCAAGTACAAAACCCCCAATCCCCACATATATAAACAAAAAAGAAATCTGAATTTTCTTTTAGAATCCATGAGTACTGAGTTAGATTCTGTCAATCATTATCATCACTTCAAACATACCTTCAATATTGTTGACTTGCTCAGCTTACCAAGTGGCAGTTTATCAGCATTATATCCTAAAAGGCAATATGCAAAACTACATGAATGAACTACTGGTGACAATGTCTAGAAGTAAAGAAACAGCTGGCATATATAATAAAGGGAATATAAATTAAATAAAGAACCATCCATGGAATACTAAGGTTTATACAAGCAAACTGAACATAATTGCACCTGCATGTTTGAATCATTTTAATGATGGGAGAACTAACCTATTTCCATCATTTGCTTCCTCATCATGCTCACATTGCATATAAGAGAGATAAATTTTGCAATACGTTGTTCAAGTTTTGTTTCCCGAGGTTGCATTGCAGAACTAGAGTCAAAACCTTCTTTGACCTGATAACAGTAATTGTATCTGAAAAACTGTGAGATCAGATTCAATAATTGGGTGGAATCTAAAACGTCCACAAACCACCCTTCCAATCAACTTGTTAAATTGGATACATTTCCCTCTTCATCAGTCCACAATGGAAAACTTGGATTCTTTTTATTTCAAAATCAAGAATTACAACAAAATATCACAAGCACTTGGAATTTTGAAAATATACAAAGTACGAAGACAACTCACCACTGGTTCTTTTCCCTTTTCACTGTAGTCCATTTCTAACCAGGTATAGCACTTGGGATGACATTTGAACTCCTTTCTTTCGGACCAGTTGTTCTTTGTCTTAGCATAAAACTTCTGTTCAAATTCATAAAGTGCAGTATCTCGAGAAGTGTAGGGACCAAATGTTTTATCTTGACCCCTTACTCCAACCCTTCCCCATCTATTGTAGACCATGAATCTACCACCATCATCAGATTCTGCAGAAATAATATAAATTAATTCCAATGTAATGTGAAGCAGTTCGTTAGGTACAGAACAACAATTTAAAATGGAAGTCCTGTTGTCAATATGAGAGCAACTCCAATATTCAATATCATATCTGACTTCCACATAAATTAAGGTGCTGCAATTTAAAGAAGTGAGAACTTACCTAGAAGTTGAATGACATAGAAGTTGTTATTGTTATTCCCAACATTTGTCTGATTCAGCATTGCATCGTACACATCATCGCCCTGAACCATCATTAAAGACGATTAAAAAAAATCAAGGTAGGAAGGGGACAATCCAGTGGTGACAAAATCTGATAACAACTCAATGACACAAACATATGCTGTTGTTAACCTGTTATTACTTTAAAAAAAAAAAAAAAAAAAAACGTGTATCTAAGGTCTTACTCAAATGACACATAACATAATGCGTGTTAACCTGTTTACTTTTAAAAAAAATTAAAAAAAAAAAAAAAAAAAAAACAAGATGCTATTTGTTATGATTCAGTCCTCCAAAACTACAACTAATGGATTACAAGTAGCTATAAGAAAAGAAAGACTTGCCAGTTGGAAAACATGATATTCTGACTTTATCTGATCTGAAAGATATTGATCCAGCACAGCGGCGCCCTTCTTGGTCGCAGTTACAATTTTCTGTTTCTTATTGACAGCCTCCTCTTCTTTAACTGCAACCATACTAACAATCATAACCAAAATACCCAAAACAATGAAATATCAGAAACACCTAAAGATAAAAGAAACAAACGCACATATAATATCTTCGATTTTCTATTGGAAAACATCAGGATTGTAAAAAATGAGAAAACGAAAAGAGTGTAGAAAGAAAGCAAAGTTCAATTGTACCTTGAAGAGTGTCTAAAGAACTGTCATTGTCCGGCAAACCATTGCAAAGCCTCTCTATTAATTTCTTTTTGGTCCCGGTGGTGGAAACCCCTAGAAACTTCGCTTGTTCGCGTAATTGCTTAATATTCATTTCCTGGAATTTATCAGTGGCCTTAATTTTCTCTGCTCCGTTAGAAACTCCGTCTTGAGTGTCCCTGTCTCTTTTCCTGCCACCACTAGCTTCGACCGTGTCCGTCGATTGCTTGTTTTCCTGCGCCATAGCTGATTCTAGTCTCCGAAACTGCAAAATAAATCAGACAAACTAGAATTAAAATACTGCATAAATAAATTTGAAAAATATGCTGCGAGTCAGAGGCAGACCAGAGAGGGTTTGGTTCCGGTGGTGTCAAGTCCGCGTTTAGCCAGTTCAGCTCGACGTTCGTCGACTTTGAGCTTGTTTGCCATTTTTACTGAATCAAAAAGAAATGTAAAGAGAGTGAAGAGCGAACACAGCTTGGCTCAGATTTTCGTTTCCGCCAGAAGAGGGTTTTTAAAGAGGGTGGGAAATGGTGAGTTCAGCTGAAAGAAACGTCGTCGTATTGCTTGAATGGCCGTATTTTATTATTTGTTAATTTATTTTTTGTGACATTTTTAAGAAGCTTTTTGAGCACGATTTGGCGCCATGTGTCTTGACTTTCTCTCTGATTTGGGCCGGTTACCTCTGCGTCAAACTGAGCTTCGAACTATTCCCGAACAACTCGGTCCATTGACCATGTTTTTTTAATAGAAAAATATAATTTCTATTACCAGGTTCGGAAGAAAGAGCTTCTATGAATCCATTAAGGTTTAAACCTGGTACGACTCTAGTTTTAAATACAGAGATGAAGCAATAGGAGATTATAAGATGTTTTTTTCTTTCTGCTAAATGAATATATAATAAATTAATTATATACTAATTATTTTAATTATTGGAATACTGAAAGCTAATTTGAATATCATCACATTTTAAACCAACAAATAATAATGTTGTAAGAAATAAGAATACGGTCCTTACCTTTCGATATAAGCTCCTGATTTTGATAAGAAATGGTATTATTGATACCTTTGCAGATGATAAATTGTTGATTTTGACAAACCCTGCTTATTAAAGAGTTAATTTAAGTACAGAAAAATTTACCTCTCTTGTATGTAGCTGTAAACTCTTTATGTAAATAGTAATTAATAAAGAAAAAAAATCTGCACATGAATGTATAAAATTAAATTTGAATTTTTGACTGTTTTACATATTCATTTCTATAATTTTTCACCTTCAAATACAATAACAAGCGAAAAATTTCAATCAATCGTTAAATTTAAATTTAACGATTCAAATTGTATAATCACGATAAATAACAAGATGAATTCAATTTAATAAAAGTGAAAAAAATTGGTGATAAAGGAAATTATTTTGACTACTACCTAGAGACAGTACCTTTTCACTTAGTGATAAAGGAAATTATTTTGACTACTACCTAGAGACAGTACCTTTTCACTTACTGGCTCTTTGTCTGGAGAGTGCTAGAATTGGAGATTCCACCGCCAAACCTTAAAATCGCCGGGAAAGAAGCAAAGAGTTGCATTTCTTTTGTTTATGACTTAAACTTGCCAGAAGACAGAACTGAATAGCTGAATTTTCACCTCACTGTCATTAGATTATTGACACAACTTTCATCCTTTGTTTTTCCTTCCTTTTTCTATTATATATTATTATTCAACCAACCACTTCTGCCTCTAACCCGTCAAACACTAATTAAATATAAATGATGATCATTTGTCTCTTGTTAGATTACATATCCACGTTTTCACATAATTAAATTTTATCCATTATCTTTTTTTTTTTTTTTTACTATTAGATAAGGGATTTGAATTTGTATATTTTATCCAGCCATTTTTACCATTAGATTATGTTTTAGAGTGCGGAATTTTTCTTTGTATTTCAATTAAGCAGATTATGATTTCTTATTTTAAAAAAAAAAAAAAAGATTATAATTTAAATATAAAATTCCTAATTTTGGAAATCTAGAAACAAGCTCACAACTATAAGCTAAACCTAAACGGTTCTTTTCCGAGCCGAGCACAAACTGGAAAACTAGCACGACATCGTTTCAGCTGCAAAGCAAAATGGACTGAAAAGTTCAAATCCAACTGTTCCACAGGCCTGAAGTGTAAAGGCTGGTCGCATGGTTTGGGTTTGGGCCAGACAAAGCATGTTTGGATATTTTCGCCATATTGGAGTAAGTAATTTGTGAAATCACAAGTTGAGCGAGAAAACAGAAATGGCGGAAAGGCAATCGCTGGATCAGCAGCAACCGCGACAGATAGACCCCCCGCAGCTGCAATCACCATCGCAGCAGCAACAGCCTGCCAGAGAAGACATGCTCGAGTGCGTGACGGCGTTAGAGACTGCTTTGCTTCCGTGCTTACCCGCCAGAGAGCTCCAAGCCATTGATCGCTCTCCCCATCCCTCTCATCAGAGTCGGTAACCTAGTCCTTCTCCTTCTTTATTTTTTCTCTTTTCTGAATTATCATTAGATGTCAGTACTGGTGATTTGATAATTAGGTCAAATCAGATTAATAGAGTGATTTTTTAAAATAACTTATTAAAAAGTGTGTAGATTACTGTAACTCGTATGATTCTTATTGTTTTAGTTATCTTTTTAGAGGAAAAATGGGCGTGGTTAGGTATGAATATTTGTAGGATTGTATGATGGGCATATTTCTAGTATATTCTATTGTTAAATGTCGTCCTTTATAGTGTTTAAAGTGAATATCTCCATGAAAGCTTGCTCCTCGTTCGTCTTTGATATGTTGTTTTTAGTAAATTCATGGATAATAATTATCTTATGAGTCTAGATTAAAAACATATACTAATGACACATATATCATTTTAGATTGTTGTCTCTTGCAGCTGTACTTGATGATACTCACAGTTTTCGTCCCCATTTGTTAACAAAACTTGTGGGTGCTTCAAACAATTAAGCGCGCATTAACTGGGTATGTAGAAATGCAGGGATAGTATTGTAAATGCTCTCGATGAAATTGAGCTAATCATGTCCCATAGCTTTCGTGCCTTTCATTCCAACTCAAGCCTGTTAAAAATTGACTCCATACCTTCATTATTTTGCATATTTTTCAAGAGAACTATTAGGGGAACAGCTGAAAAAGAAGTGTCTGAGAGCAGATAAAAAGAAGCATTCAACGATTCTTCGATCTATGTCATATTAACCGATTCACCAACATTATTTCTTCAATAGTTGAATCTCCTTCATGGTACTCTTATTTTAGATTCTAAGTGCATCAAGATTTTTCGTCATTTCTTATATGGTGGCTTCTTTATCAGCCTTTTTATGACATTACATGTATGTGTCTTTTCGACTAACCAGATAATTTCAATAGTGTGGCTTGACGAGTGTTATATGGATTATATTACTACATTTGGATTGCGAAAAGTCCTTGCCTTTTGTAAATGAAAACTAAATAATAACACATGCTGAAAGAGGTGTACTATGTGATTCTTTCAGTTGATGTCGAGAGGCATGCGAGGGATTTCATGGAGGCTGCCAAGAAACTTCAACTCTATTTTATTGGTCTCCAACGTGAAGATCAACCAACTGTAGCTGAAACACTGAGAAAGGTAAACCATATATCGCTCACAAATTGCAATACATACGACATAATTTTCTTTGAATATTCTACAGTTTCGTTCAGACATTGGCCAAGTCACACTGTGTTGGGTGCATTTTTTGCATATTAACAGGAGATTGCTGTGATGGAAGAAGAATTGAAGATAAAGGATGAGATTATCAAGAAGCAAGAGAGACTGATCCAAGGATGGAGGAAGGAATTGAAAGACCAACTGGATAAACACAAAACTGAATTGGAGAGGGTGTAATGGGAGAGTAGTAGGCCTATAACTAACGATAACAGATCATGGCTGATAACATTCATTTAAACTAATTGTTTTTTGCTTGTGGCATTATTTTTTATTTGCTGCTTGTATAAAAATATTTGTAGAATTAAAAAGGCTATGAATCATGAGTTTGTACGCAATGGCGCCTGCAGGATCATCAATCTGTTCGGCTATCAGATTATGATTGTAATGATGCTGGTGATACTTTATCTGCTAGCACTGATGCAAATGAGACTACAGAGGGACTTGTCTTTCCATGTCCACTTATTTCCTTTTCTGCGACATTTGCTCAATCATTGCTGGGTGTCATATGGATTTTGAATAAGAAAATTGTATCGCTAATAATTGGATCTTGTTTACGATCACACATTTTAAGCAGTCAACAAACGCCACACCGATGATTAGGTTAACTGGGTTTTTAGCAAGTCGGAGTAGAAATTTTAGACAGGTCTAACGTTTATGGTTCTGGAGGGATATAATACGATTGATCAGTGGAAGACAGCATTTCCCTTGTTTGCAGGGGTGAAAAAATGATAGGTAGAACCTACTCTTTCACAAGGTTAGGAAGATAAATACACATTAATTCGTCAATTTACTATGCTGATCAATTTTAGAAGTGAATATAGAAATGAAGAGAGTTTTAGCTAAGATGATACACCACAACTCCTAAGCCTCCTTGTCAACTCAAAACAACAGACACACAAAGTAGTTACAAACTTAAACATTATAGTTTGAAGTTACTGATTGTAGTTTCTCCTATGAATAGCAAAAATCAGAAGCACCTTCAACTATTTCTTGGCATAGGTAATTAACATTGGATTTTGTTGTATCTTCAGACCCTGGAGTCCATGCATTGCAACTGTTGACTGCATCTCATCTCCGTACTCTACAAAGGCAATCCCTGGCTTTGTTTCCACCATCCTAACCTCCTTAAAACCAGTGTACTGCTGGAAAAACATTTGCAGCATCATTGGTGTTGTCTCATTGGGCAGATTTTGAATAAATAGTATGTTATTTGGAGGCGCTGGGGCCTCAGGAACCATAGATTTTGCACCACCTGGATAGGGTATTTGTGATAGCTGCACCAATTCGATAAGAGATAAGAATCATCATACTAAGTAATTTTCAGGACAAAGAAAAACGACAAATGCAAACTCCTAAGCTTCATTATGATTCAGAAAACAGGCAAAACTATTTTTAGTGCACAGAAGTGAAACTCCTCTAATTCTTAGAACTCTATGAAGGTGAATAATGAAAGTTCTTGTTCCTCTGAAAATTTCCATAAATTTTGAAAGATAATCAAGGTGAATGACTTTTTAGGTTGCAATTAAATCAATTTTTTTTCATAGAGATAAGAGTTTTCTTTGCAACTTAAAAATGATTTCTCTAGCCTCTTAAAGTTCATTCTGTTTAAATGTTTCCATATATCTGTACTGACATCATAATCATTAATTATTTAATAGAGAAATCTTGATCAAGGCACCCAGCTCTAATACCCATACCAAATACTCGGAAAGAATCTGGAAATTGTATTATTCCAAAGCCAGCAGGGAACATGCTTACCGGAGGTGTTGCACCATAGGGACCAGCATAACCAGCAGCCAGGCCCATCCCGACTTGATTAGCATCATGCTGCTCTTTCTTCTTTTTTCCTCCTGAATAAGTTAAACAATAACCACAAGGCACAAATTTTAGAAACAAGGAAACCTATCTACTACATCAGGAAAATAAATAACAGAACAGCCAATAAAATGTGGCACAAGCTGAACTAATATCAAGCCTATGAATCTACTCTTCCTCACCAGTATGTTAAAACTTAAAAACAATAGCTGTAACATTGTTGCTTCTGGTTTATGATACCGCCACCAAATGAATATATAATAGAACTTAAAATTCCTAATATACAAGCTTACTGTATATAAAGGGCCATGAATTCACCTTTTTCCTCATGCCTCTTTCTCTTTTCTCTTGGAACAAATGTACCATCAGCCTTTGCAATGATATCTGATTTTGTTTTTGCATATTGTATTCTCTGCAATAAATACATATTGGCATGAATATGAAGCAAGAGAGAGGGGTTTATACTCTACAATGGTTTATTCGAGGTATTAGAAGATGCTGACTAGACATGTGCATGAGCGTATAATAAAAAAACTTAACCCAATTAATTATACAAAAGAAGGCCCAAATGAAATGTTACTATCATGTTAACAATTAGTCCAAGTTCAGAAATGGTCTTTGAGTGAAAAAGAATATATAAATACATTAATTCAAAGATTTCTAAGTATACCTGAAAAATCCTAATTCATAGTTCTTTAACCGTTAGGTCCACTTTTAATTGAGCACAAAGTGAAAAATTAACTTAGTCTAACATATGGTTTGATCACTTCTCAGTTTCATAGATTAGGTCATAGGATCAAACCTCATTTTTTAGAGTTTGAGTTAGAACCCTTGACATGCCTTAACTGTATTTTCTTGTCATCCACAAACAAATAGAAATTGATGTTACTTTGTCCAATCTCCCCATGTATGTGTGTGAAATACGAATGCACCAAAATGCCCTAAACTTACAAAAGTTATTCCACTAAAGAATTACCTGCTCCATGTACTTACATCAAAGATAACTTTTATTTTTATAGATGTTTATCTGATGGAAGATTAATCGCAAGAAAGTTACCAATTTTTTTGAATATATATATATATATATATACTGCCTCCATGTAACTATACATCAAAGATAACTTTATTTATTAGATGAATTTATCCTGATTGGAAGATTATCGCAAGAAAGTTACGCCATTTTTTTGAAATATATAGCATATAGTATTTTATATTATATATATAGCAGCCCTGTATGGAAGCAGAGATATATATATATATATATATGACAGAGTGAAACAACACACCCTTTTATCTAGAGGATCAAACTCTGTTAGTCTTTTGACTTTAACATACAGGCAGCACCCAACCAAAGGACATTCAGAGAAACTCTTATTCCTCCCCAGAAATCTGAGGCAGAAATAATTCATTTGGGTTTTCTTATCATATACCAAATTACTTAAGTCAACAAATTAACAAATTTTCCATCAGTAACTTCAATAACTTAATTAAATTTATAACTAATAGCCAAAAAGGTTAAATCCAAATAATACACAAGCAGACACTACCAGATGCCACAGTTCCAAAAATATTAATTGCAAATTTGTTGAAACTATATCAAGAAATTGGGACTTAGCAGAGAGGTTTGAACTTCAACTGAAGAAAAATAATTCTTTAACAAAGAAAAAAAAAAAAAAAAAAAAAAAAAAAATTAAAAAAAAAAAAGGACAATAGCACTAACCATGGGGCTTGGTCATAAAAACGGGAAAAGGCTCATTTGCCTGCATAGCATTGTTAGGCTGGTTTTGATTGAGACATCCTCTCTGGGAACAACCGCCAGCTTGCCCCTTTTATGTTTCAGCGTGCTTGAATGCTAAAAAAAAAAAAAAAAAAAAAAAAAAGGACAAAGCATACCATGGGCTTGTCATAAAACGGGAAAGCCTGCATTTGCCTCATAGCATTGTTAGCTGATTGAACATCCTCGAAAACAACCCAAGCTTGCCCTTTATGTTTCAGCGTCTTGAATGCTAATATCTCCAATATCTTCCCGAATTGCGAGAAAACCGCGTGCAACGATTTCTTCAATTCTAAAGCAGCAATTTTAAATCAAACATTATCTCATACAGTCAAACGACAGTAAACAAATCGATGTCACTAAAAAGCATGAGAGGTAATTACCGTCGAGTTTAATTTTCTCATTGAGGTTGTTGATGTAAATGGTATTGTTCGGAGAGATATCTGCGCCTGCGTTCACATTATTCACATCCGCTACATTCTTTTGCTCTAGTAACGCCATGATTGCGGACTCGAGCTAAACGCCGGGTTCTTTATCGGATGGTGGCAAACCAAAGGGGTTTTAGCGATCTTCCGAGGGATTTTGGCTGCAAAATAGTGGCCGGATAAAAGCCCTAATTGACAGAAGAAGAAGAAGGGAAGACATCCAGATAGGTGAATACTGGATTTTGGATTTTCATATGTATGTTGGGCTAATAGAGTTTTGTTGGGCTTTTTTTTTTTTTTTTGAACCGTATTGGTCGTCACTCACTTGTGCTGCGCTTGGTCTACACTTGCCGTAATCCCTCTCCTTCTCCACTCTAAAAATATAATCAAGAAATTATTTATATTAGTAGAAATGGTGTATCTATCTGAAATTATGGCAAATGATGCAAAAATATGTATTTTTTGACATTGTACTTAATTAAAATAATTAATTAACAAATACATTTTTTGGTCAAAATATATATAGAAGCATTTTTTATAATGTAATAAAAAAAATTAACATTCTTTTGTATATACCTTATAATCATTTTTCAGTTGCAATTGGACAATAATAGCAACATAAATTATTTCTGAAAAATTTTCCTCAAAAATACGGTACTCCAATATAAATTAGGGGTACTAAATTATTATTTTTATTGTTTTATTCAAATAATAATAACTTAATGATACCCAATACCATTTTTGCACGCTCAAATGTAGATTATATTTGTTAATTAACAGAAAAATTGTCTCTACACTCTATAGTCAAAAGTACAAATTTAAAAAAAAAATATTTAGGGGTGAAATTCTATATATGGTGAATTTGAGAGAATCGTTATTAATTATTAAAAACAAAAAGAAAAACGCATTTTTATTAATTATTAATTGTATATAAATACAAACACATAATCTGACTATCTATATAGAAAATGTACAAACATGCATTATTATTTATAAGTTTTGAATCCTTTTCGTTAGTTCTTACACATATAATGTTTGCTTTTATTGCAGACTGTCTCCCTCGTTCTGACATAAGTAATTCCTCACTACCAATTTTTTTTATATTTTCTATGCGCCCAACAGAGAAAAAAAAAAAAAAAACAAAGGTTTGAGATTGAGATGGGTAACGGTAACAGTGAACTGTAAAGCTGCAAAGCCAAGTTGGTGATGGATATGAAATGAATCCATCCAGCTGAGCTAGCTGGCCTTATCAATTGCATCGTTACTTGAAACCATTCACTGCTAACAACAACACAGACATATGCCAAAGTAAACAAAACAAGAAAATTAGTAAAGTTGGAAATTAAATATATGCTGATCTCAAATAAATCAAATATTATTATGTAATTAAAAAATTATCATATAAAATTAAAAGAATGAGTATTTTAACAACCCAACATGACATGACAACAAAGCAAAGGAATTCTGTTGCCAACTTGTCTTTTAAACAAATACAATAATAATCATAGCTAAATTAGAATTTAAGTGCTCACTTTTTCAAACTATACAGGAACATAGTATAATAAGAAACCTGAAAAAACAAAAAAAAAAAAAAAAAAAAAAAAAAAAAAATGAAAGGAATTACACAGCTACAGTACATTATACATCTGGATGCTGAAGGGCGTAAAACAAGCAGCCATGTTAGTATACTACCGAATAAAAAAAAAAAAAAAAAAAAAAAAAAAAAAGAAAGATACACAGCTACATACATTATACATCTGGATGCTGAAAGCGAAACAAGCCAGCCTGTAGTATACTACCGAATTAGACAACGCTCAGTTTTAAAATTCAAGAAAGAGGGCTCAACTTGTTCCTTGACTCTTGACTTGCTTGGAACTCTCTTAGACCTTTCACGAGCCTAATGGTCAGATCATACAGAAGCCGCCTATTTCATTCAACCAATTCGTGCCACGTGGATGTCTTATTTCATCTTACTGGTGCTCTTTCAATCATTAACCTTTTCTTCCAGACACCGCACTCACGACGACCTTTCCTCGTTTAAAGGTTCTTGTTCATCCAATGCTTTGATATTTTTTTTTTTTTCATTTTGAATCTTTCATACAAGACAAAGTCTGTGAGCTCACGCTTTCTCTTTCTCAATCGTGCGATCATTTTTTTTATTCTGTAATCACCGTTGATTAAGCAGAACAAGTCAAAAAAGTTACTATGCAATGACGACCACGTGGAAAGCAAAGAGAGGGTCCGATACGTAAATCCGCAAGCAACTCGGCTTCTCTCCTTCTATAAAAGCCCATGAGCCCTTGCAACATAAACCATAAGAAGCTTTCCTAGAGGAAGAAAGAGCCTACACATTCTGAAAGCGGAGCAGAGGTTTCCTTAGCTGCTGTGGAAAGGTTTTCTTAGAGAAGAAGAAAAAGTTTCTCAGCAGCTTGAAAATTTCTCAAAAAACTGTAAAAACCTCTCTCAGTTTTTCTATTTCAATCGCAATGGCTCGCTCTTTCTCAAACGCAAAGGTTCTTTCTGCTTTGATCACCAAAGCAATCAACAGCCGAGGATTTTCAGCTGCTGCGCCACAAGCCGGAGCTGCTGCAAGAAGTGGCGTTGTGGTCAAGAAAACGAGAGAGGAGATGGCTCGATCCACCGAGAAGACCTCTTGGGTTCCAGATCCCCGTACCGGATGCTACAGACCGGAGAACGTCGCAGAGGAGATTGATGCGGCCGAATTAAGAGCTATGCTTCTGAAGAAAAACTGAATTTGACTGCCAATAGATTTTTCCTATCAATGAAGGATGGAAGCGAGGTAGTCTTCAATTCGACTGCCAAGAATCGGCCATGCAGGCCTTGAGTTTCTTGTGCTTTACTAGCTGAATAGCTGTGGGCTGTGGTGGCTGCTCTGTCCTCTCTGTTTTTAGGGACAATAAGAAGAATGTTTACGTAGTAATTTTCCTTTCTATATAAATGGAAATAATTTATGAATTCATGTTTTCTATATTCTAAATTTTAAATTCGAATATGTTAAGATGGAAGGTTATGGCATCTAATAATTATGGCAAAATTAGTATTTAAGCTCATAATAAAAAATATTACTCTCTCCCTGTACTTCTCATTTTCATTTGTGGTTTTAAGAAAATGAATAAATATTAATTAATCAATGAGTATTGTGTACAATTTTTTACAATATCTATCTTACTGTATAACTTTTCTTTCTTTCTCAATAATTTTAATGGTGCATCTTAATTTTAGTTATTAATTAATTGATAAAGAACGTCGATTTTAAGCAATTAAGTGACGGAAATAACTTTTTTTTTAAAAAATATATATAATGAATAATTTAGTCAAATTAAAAAATTATTTTATTTTAATTTAAGTAATTTTAATTAACATTTCTAAAATAATTTAGTATAACAAAATAAAAAACATTAATATATATTACTCAAAATATAAATAGTTTAAGATTTTATAACAAAATCAACGGTAACTTATGAATATAATTAAATAAAAGTAAAATTTGAAAACTATTTTTTATTATTTCTTAATGTACACCGACAATTCTAAAATGTTTTTTATTTTAGGACAAGAGGAAATCATTTCTAATATCACATCTGATAATATTGTAAATTAAATAAGCAAATAATATTAAACTAACAAATAAATTCAACCTGAATTTTTGTTACATAAAATAAAATTAAGAATGTTTTTTTATTATCAATTAAAATTTAGACACAGCAAAGTGCAACTCGTAAGTTGAACAAGGAGAAGTGAAACTAGCCTAGTGCTTGCTCGAATTACCATTGACCCAATTAATGTCGATGGCTGATGTCACGTTATTGAGGTCATCCGCGGCAGCCGGCTGTAAAGCACTTGCTAGAGCACCGACGTCGGCTTTAACTTGTTCAAAGCCGCTTGCTAAATGTTAATCACATATTATTGCTAAATAGTGGTTAAACTGTTACTATTTATAAGATGGTTTTCCAATTTATTTTTCTTTACTATTATTATTATTATTATTCCCTATGTAGTCTTCTTTTCCTTTTTCGTGAAGCAAGTAAATCTAAATTTAGGTGGAAAAGAAATTAAAAGAGAACGGCCATAAACATATTTAAGGAAAGAATAGCACGTGGCAAGCAAAGAGTGGTCCGGAAAACGATTTTGACGGGGTCTAATTAACCCTAGGATACCTGCGGATACTGGTTTTTCCACCTCCCTCTATATAACGCTATCGAGCCCTCCGCTCCCAGACCAACAAGAAGCTTTCATAGAGGGAGGAGGAGTCTATAGACTGTAAAGACTTTTCCTTTAGCTACTGCGGAAAGGATTCTTTGAACAGAAGAGAAAAGTTTCCGCAGTAGTTTTGATAATATCTAGCTTTAAATATTATCTCTCCGTATTTGAATCGCAAAATGGCTCGCTCTTTCTCCAACGCTAAGGTTGTTTCTGCTTTGGTCACCAAAGCAATTAACAGACGAGGATTTTCTGGGGCAGCAGCGCCAACTGCAGCACCACAAGGAGCTGCTGCCAGAAGCGGCGCAATGGTAAAGAAATCAGGAGAGCAGACGGTTGGATCCACCGATAAGATTTCCTGGGTTCCAGATCCCCGTACCGGATGCTATAGACCGGAGAACGTCAACGAGGAGATTGATGCCGCCGAGTTAAGGGCTACGCTTTTGAAGAGGCACTGAACAAACAAATTTATGCTACTTTTCTAGGCAAAAAAAAAAAAAAAAGGGGGGGGGGGGAAAAAAAAGGGTGGGGGGGCTGGGGCTGGGGCTTGGGGTAAACGCGTAAAGAAGGAAGCGTCCGGGCCGGCCTAGGGTTCTTCGCGCGCGTAATTTATAATATTTGTTGTCGCTCTTCTTTCGGTCTCTGTTTCTGGGGGGACAAGTTTTCTTCTTTATAAAATTTGTTTGAACTTTACTATTTTTTTCCAATTCAGATTTTGGTTATCATGTTCTCTTTCTTTTCTTTTCCAAGTCACTAAATTCAATTGCTGCTCTGGTGGGGGGGCTGGGGCTGGGGCTGGGGTAAAACGCGTAAAGAAGGAAGCGGCCGGGCCGGCCTAGGGTTCTTTCGCGCGCGTAAATTTATAATATTTGTTGTCGCTCTTCTTTCGTCTCTGTTTCTGGGGACAAGTTTTCTTCTTATAAAATTTGAATTACTAATTTTTCAATTCAGATTGGTTATCATGTTCTCTTTCTTTTTCTTTTCCAAGTCACTAAATTCAATTGCTGCTCTTTGGTCTTTGTTACAGAATCCCAATTATTATTATTAGAAAGATATAAATGTGAACATATAAGGAAGAAGGGTCGATACTAATTTATAATTATTTTGTAAAAAAATCTTATAAAGTAATATTTGAATAAATTATACATTAAAGTGGAAGAGACGTGTGAATGTAGATGGATAGATGCGGTGAACTGTTAAAGAAAAGTAAAATACGCAACGCAAGTTGGGCACTTGGAAGAGTCGGGTCAGCGTCAGCTGTATATACTTGGTTGTGAATTGCCCTAATTGACTCGTTCAGGATTAAAAATAAAAACTCAATTTCAATGCTAACTCTCTTCTAGACGTATCGTTTTTTTTTTTCCTTCAGAACAATCTGAAAATGACATGATCTAGTATTTTAAACAAAAATGTAATTTAGGCGTTTTTGGGTTTTGCATTATCTAATAATGGGACAAAAGAAAGGATTTTTTTTATCGAAAAAAATAAAGTTATAATCATTGGCAAGTTATTTGAATAACAATAAAACATTGATTGAGAGGCCTAAATACAAAATACAACCACAGATTGATTGTTGTTATACCTGACCCCGCAAAAATATATAAATAAATAATAAATGGGTTGATTTTTATATTTAAAATCAATTTTAACAAAATAATGTAGAAAAATCTATTAATCTGTGTCTGATAGAAAATGCTCTGGGTTCTCCATTAGCTTTCGCACCAACCATTGTCAATTTCAGTTTTGTGACAGAGGATAACACTGACAAGCAAATTTAAGATTTATTTTCCACATGTTATCGAAATTCAAGAAAACAAAAAATAATACCACAATTTTTCCGCTCCACATCCAATTAAGTTAGATTTTACTTTTAGCCTGTGGCTGAAGACGCAGATACAAAGGAGACAGTTTGATCACTCACCCAGCAGCATATTCCAGGCGGCAAAAGAATTCATGAGAATAGAGGAAATTGGAATAACATTGAGAGCGATGAAGATGCTAATCTTTAGAATGCTCGATCAGCAAACGTCGTGAGAAAACAAACAAAATTTGGCATTTCCAGGAAAAGTGACATCTTTTTGCGTGCATGGTGAAAAAAGAATGAAAGAAACGAACGTGTTTTGACTGCAAACCAGAGAAGTAATAGAAAGAAAGAAAGAAAGAACAAAAAAATGTGTTCTGGATAAATTGACTCGAAAGCAGTATAAGGATGACAAGCAAAAGAATTGGATAAATTAATTCCATCTCAACCAGTATCAGCAGCAATTTCCTAATGATGTTATTCAAAAACATCCCTACTTTGGCTTGGTATCCTTCACAACACCATGTCGTAGTAAAAGAAGATAAACTCCAGCATAAAATAGCAGATGCTACTAATTGAATGGCCAAAATGGTCCCTCACAAAGATGGAACAAGTTCCAATTTCCCTATCCCAACAAAGTTCCCCACAAAAGATCTCACTGGCAAAACAAAATCTTCTCTCAGGTTCACAATAATAGGTGAAGGTAAACAAATGGTATTTATTCTAGTTCTTTGTTCAGACAACAGGGAAGGGGTGTACTCTCAGCCAAAATCCCTGGTTTGAATAAGAGATCACAGAAACTTTAACAATTGCACCGACCTAAATCCAGCCATCAAATTTTATGCCAGCCCAGCGTCCAATAGCTCCATTCAAATTAGTCATCCAAACATCTCCAACCTCACTCTCCAAATGCACCAAGCCCCTATTAACCTAATTAACCGTTTCTTGGCCCATGCAAGGTAATTCAAAATTAACCCCATAATAATTTTGAAATCTACCTTGTAAAATGCAATCTCTGACTAAGGGTGTATGATCATGGTAAAACTTTTCATCACTAGTTTAAGAAAGTATAATTTCAGAGATTTTAAATTACAGCCATCAAGTTCTCTTTATAGCTTATGGAAATTTCATTGTCAAACTGCGTTCTATTCTCACCCATCAATAATCATTTGATATCAACTTATAACCTTCATGCTAACATCTCAAAACACTAAAGCTTATAGCTTGTAAATATTTCCATGCATTAGTTTGCCTCCCATTTTGAACTCTGGATAGCTGTAACACTGTTAGTGACTCAGTATCTGATAGTATATGGTGTGAGAATATATATTTCTTTTCCAACTTAAAACTAATTTTACAAAATCTATGTGTGGAAAATTGAACCCTGGAGTTCTATTGCATCTTAATGCAACAATGTTAGGCATCAGGAAGATAACATAATGACATCAGCAGGGTAGTACTGTAGTTAAAGTGACATCAAGAGAACTGAAAATGAAGACTTAATCAAGAACTGTGATTAAGTTGAATGTTTATACTCATGTACTAAAAGAGTCGGAACATCACAAGGGAAAAGCAATTAAGGAAATTAATTCTAGGAAACTCAATTCCATAATATTTAGAAATGGAGAGATGCAATTCATCCAGTTTTCTCGGTAGTGATTTTGGAATTGGCTAGATACCAAACCTGTTCACCTCACTTGATTTATGTCAAACTCAAAAATGCGTTTTTAAGAACAATTTTCATTAAAATAGATTAACATAAAGAGTTAGCAAGAGATTAACACAGTAGATAAGGAAAATAGGAAATGATCTGCTGCATAATGTCTAAACACTACAATAGGTTTACCTTGTATCAAGATTAGCATTCCACAATTATTTGAAAGTCAAATGATAAGCAAGCTTCTACTATGGATATAGCAAACAAAATTCAGGAATTTTAATATCATTTCCCACTTATGCAAGAAGTTATCTAATTGAGTTTACTGAGACATATCAAAACATCAGCTGAGCTGTATAATATGATGCTCAAATAGATCAGCTGAAAATGATACCGTAACAAACCAATTATGAAATGGATGAATGCTTATCCCCAAAGCAAATGAATGACTCATTGGCTTATCTTACCTCCAAATATTTTCAAAAGATTATTGTGGCAACTGGTATAGCTAATCTAATAGCCATAAAATGGATTTCATTGGATATTTATTTAAAAGTTACGTAAGTAATGAAATTGATCTAGGCGCGCCTTTAATAACTATGGTTACCTCCAAATATTTTCAAAAGGTTATCATGGCAACTGTTTTAGCTAATCTAATAGCCATAATTTAAATGCATCTCATTGGATATCTACTTCAAAGGTATATGAGTAATGAACTTGATCTAGCCATAGCATGGAACCTATATGTATCCAAGAGCAATTATGATGAATCAAATTCCGAGTTGCACCAGAGTAAAGTTAAACACTCAACTAAAATGCAATGTATATTTCCTATTTCCCATCATCTTACTTTACATATAAATCCTATCACCATATCAGGGATTGACAGAAAAGAGGATATGGAATATTATAAAAGCCTATCAAGCATGTTCTTACCACAGTATACCCTCCTTCAAAGCTTTGAATTTGAAAAGTAAAAGCCCATTATCAAAAGCAATGACAAAAATAATAATAACGTTCCCGTCAATTACCATTACAAAATGGGTTCTTTTCCATGCCCATATTGAGGCATTCAGAAAACACTCCAGGCAAAGCATTAAAGCTAAAAAGCACATAATTATCCCCCACACAGACAAACCAAACATGCACATTTTCTTTATCCCCTATGAAGCAAATGTTATACAACAATTTCCAGTAAACAAACAAAACCCAAATTATGTCACTCCATTCGTAGATAGAAAGATAAGCATATCATCCAATATCCATTAGCACATAGCATTGAAAAGATTCTTCGAACAAATTTAATATTTAAAATACCTAAATTGAGGAAACAAATGGATTGGTTCTAAGGTTGCTTACTTTGACATTATTGCAATCCAATCCGCAGCCACACTGCGGACACTCATAGAAATTATCAATTGAGAAACTCGCCGACGCAATCCCAACAGAAAAATCAAGCTCGTTTCCATCTCTAGTCACCTCCACAATATTCAGCCACAAAAACAGCACTTTTACGCTTATGCCGCTCAAATTTGTGAGTTTGCCATTGCTTATGTAACCACTGATTCTGGATTTGTAATTCAACTGATAAGAACCTTCCAGAGAAAAACCGCACGAACCGTTCAGATAGGCGTTGAATTTACCAGTGTTTTTGTCCAGGTCGTATCCGATCACACCTTTAGGGAGGAGACCGATTGGAAAGTTGTATCCGGCGAGGATTTCATACGCCGTCTGAGTATCGGCCGCGGCGGCGGCAGGAAATGAAGCGGCGAGAGATGATACAAGGAGAAGAGTTGAAAGAGCCGTGAAAGACATGGCGGCTCTGGGACTTGTTTGGACTAGAATGATGTTACTCATTTCTTTTCTCTGTTCATAGGATTGCGCAGTGGATACGGTTGACAATTTCTCTCTCCCTAGAAAATTTTGTTATTTTCTGGAAAGTTGCCCTGGCTCTTGTTTGGTTGCCAGCTAAAATAGTAACAATGATGAGGTGGAGAAAGAAGGAAGACCAGCTACGTTTGTGGGACTGGGAAAATACGACAGCGTGGTAAGCTAGTGAGTCTATACGGCGCCGTTTGATTTTAGTTCTTGCTGTTGGGTATGCTAGGTAATGCACGTGTTTCTCACTAAAAACAGCGCGTTGCAAGCTGAGACCCCTCACGCTTATTTCTATGTATTCTGAAATGTAATCCGTTGATATTGCTTGCGTTAATGGAGGGGGACCCTGCTATGCTATGTCACCCTTTGATATATATACACACACACACACTATTAAGGTCTATACATCAACAATAGGTTGAATTGCCTATTTACTCGTATTAGTATCGTAACTTACTTATTTTAGGCATTAAATTATTGTTTTTATTTGTTTGCCCTTTGTTACAATATTTTCATACTATTATTTCTTCCATTTTATTTAGAGAAAATCACAGCAGGATTCACGTGGTTTGCAAAACAGAAACGGTCAATTATTATCTTTTTTTAAATATATTAATTTTTCTTTATATTTTGCTTTTATTATAATATTAGATCATTTCTTTTAAATTTTTACATATTTTTCCGTTAATTAACAAGAAAACACAAAAATAAAAAGAGATATTGAAATATTATAAAAAATTATAATATAATCGCTGTAGTTTGAAAAATACAATTAAGTCTATTTCTATATTTTTTAAAAAATAAAAGGAATTTCGTCAATTGTATTTCAACCAGGAGATCGTAACGTAATTGTCCTTTTATTTAAATAATCATTTTGAAAAACAGTATGAAGGACGTGATATACCACTAATAAATCTCAAAAAAATAAATCACAACAAACAAATTTAACGTTACGAATATTTATTTAAATATTCAAATTTCAAACCACAACAATTCCTTCCATCAGCATCAGTCTACTCAAACACATCCACATACAGATCGAGAATCGAACTTAATTAATCAGAAAGAAGAAAATAGATGATTGATTTTGAAATTCTCTCTCAAATTAGTATCGTCACAGTCAAATCCACAACCACAAGTAGGAGACTCATAGAAATTACTCACAGGAAAATCAGCAGAAGCGATCCCCACTGAGAATTCAAGCTCGTCGCCATCTCGAATCACTTTAGTAATACTCAACCAGAGAAAAAGTACCTTAACCTTGATACCGCTCAAGCTAGAAAGCTTATTTTTCTTAATTACGCCCGTAATAGAAGTCGAGTACTTGAGACTGTAAGAATCGATGGTGAATGAACAAGTTTCATTGAGAGAGACGGAGAACTTACCAGTGGAAGTGTCCAATTCGTAGCCAGTTACTCCGTTTGGAAGGAGACCGACTGGAAAATTGTACTCTTCGAGAACCTCATAGACTGTCAAATTGCCTCTGCCGGTGACCGATTGGATTGAGGAGACCAGAAAGAGGAGAATTGCGAGGAGAAAGGCCATGGTGGAACTAGAAAGGGTCTTGACGGGTATAGGAAATACATATAAGGGCTTTTGTAGGTGTCTCGGAAACGCGAGTGTAACTTAGGTAGATGAGTTTTGACCTTTGACTATTTGGTATTGAGATTGAACTATTTATAGTTGATGCTGGAGAAACGTGACGCAGTAGATTCCACGTGCACAATTGGATATTGGAATATGCCATTTACTTCAGAGTTAAGACAACGAGGTTGGGCCTAATGTCCTAAGCCGCTAAACGTGCTTCAATATTGTATGAAAATGGACTGGGCCTAAAGTCCTAAGCCTACTTCTTGTTATTGGATTTTCCAAACAAAATGAAAATGAAAAGATCTAGTACGTTCCAATCAGCCAACAAGTAATTGCAGGTTCTGAAATCTAAAATTAGGGTTCTAGAGATTAAAAATTGGAACGAAAACCCTTCATTACAATATTGCGAAACACAATATTACATTACAGCTACAGGCAATTTCATAATTAGCTCTGCTCATAGATCTGAACATCCCTTAGTTTCTAACCAATAAAATAAATATGAACTGATTAAGAAGAAAAAACAAGACTATTCTTCAACTTGTTACAATTAAATCCACAGCCACACCTGGGACAGTCCTTAAAGTTATCAATTGCAAAGTTTGCCGAAGCAATTCCAACAGAGAAATCAAGCTCATCGCCATCTCGAGTAACTTCCACGATATTAATCCATAGCAAAATAACAAAAACCCTAACGCCCGTCAAATTCCGGAGCTTGCCTTTCGATATTACTCCCGTAATGGTACTCTTATACTCGAGCGTGTATTGATTAATCTTATATTTACAAGTTTCATTCACATAGACCGCAAATTCACCTGTCTCTCTATTTAGCTCGTACCCAGTTACGCCTACTGGAAGAAGACCGATCGGACAGTTGTATTCTTTAAGAACATTATAAGCTGATGGCTTTTCTGCATCAATAACACCAAAAGCAAATGGAGATGTGACAGAAATCATTTCAAGGAAGGCGATTGACCATAAAACGGCCATTAAAGTTGAAGATCTTGGAAAGGCAAAGAAACCCATTTTCAAATTTTGAGTGTTTGGTTTCAGCGGAGGAGTTGTGACTGGTAATTGAATAGGAGACACATTAAAACAGAGCATTTCATCGCAACTACCAAGAATATAAGGGAGAGGCGAGATGGAGTTAAAAGGTACTACCACTGAGGACAGTGTCTTGTCGTTGTTGAAATAAGTGGCTATTAATGAAGCAGAGGTGTTTGATAAAATGGTTAAATGGGTACGGGAGAGAGGAAAGAGCTAGCGTATAGCGACGCTTGAACGCTTGGCTTGATTATCAACCCATGTAGTGGAGTGTCCCTATACTGTCATTTCACTTAATATAGGGATGGGATAATTACTATTATATAATACCTTAGTTTTTATCAAATACAATGATAAATACCTTTATGTTTAAAAGTATACTATTTAATACCTATATTATAATTCCGTTACACTATAATTTTTTTTTTTAATGATTCAAACTCTTGATCCCACAAGCGTTTTAATACCATTAAACCAAATAGCATGACTCCTTTAAAAAAAGAAAATTATTATTCTCAATATAAAAGGTACAATATAAGTTCCTTTTTAGTGATGGACGATTCTGTGATCTAGCACTGTAAATCTGTCTAGTGTCAACAATGCGGACACTTGAGGAAGCTTTGAACTGGAAACTTGGATGATATTGGTCCAACAGAGAATTGAAGCTGGTTCCCTTCACGAATCACTTTTCCAATCCCAATCCAAAAGAATGCAACACGAAACTTAACACCTCCCAATTTATCCAGCCTGCCTTCGGATATTTCACCCCTGTGTTGGAATTGTACCTGATCTTATATGATTGGACGGAAATTTTACAACTTTTGTTCAGAACTACGGAGAATTCACCCGTGCTTTGGTCTAACATGTAACCTATCACTCCCTCTGGAAGCAGGCCCATCGGCAAGTCGTAGTATTGAAGAACATCATATGCTGATGATGACCCAAATGCAACTGGGGTTGTAATATAACTCAAAATCACGATAATTCCCCATAATATTGCCATCTAAAGCTGCAAAATTTGTTTCTCTTTGCAGATAATAATGGTGGATATTTGGTTGCTTCTTTATAAAAGGCGTAATTAGGTAAAGCACCTACTTGTTAACTACAAAGGGCAGGAGGATCAACGGCAAAGATTTCATAAATATTACCGCTATAACAGTAAATACATATCGCAGCTAAATATGAGGCTCTATAATGCATTTTAATGCTAGAGATGCTTGAAATCTCAGGGAAACTAAATAATACCACGCCTTTTCTGGCAATTTCAATCACTTTACAAATGTAAAAATCATTTACCACGTTATTAATCCGTTACCTTCAAAACATCACCCAAATTTATGATGCCAAAACCTAAATTTCCCATACAAAAGAAATAAATTCTTGGTTCCTTGAATTGAATGATATCTTATCTAAACAGAATATTTTCCCCTTTAACCTCCAGGTTCTATGATTATATATCTGAACAGGTAAGCTTCAATCAGACATGGGAATTCACCTTGACCTAAAACAAGACAAACATTCTGTTAAGTATATATATATATAAATTTTTTTTTTTTTTTTTTTTTCCAAAACCTAAATTTCCCATACAAAAGAATAATTCTGGTTACATTAGAACTTGAATGATATCTTATACTAACGAATATCTTTCCCTTTTAACCTCCAGGTTCTATGATGTTATATATCTGAACAGGTAAGCTTCAATCAGGACATGGGAATTCACCTTGACCTAAAACAAGACAAAACATTCTGTTAAGTATATATATATTATAAATTTTTTTTTTTTTTTTTTGGGGGGGGGGGGGGGCGGTGGGGGGCGGTTGGAGAAAAGGAATCCTCCAGTCTCAAGAAGATTATTGAGAATATCAACAAAAAGTTCTTAATGATCTGAAATTCAGAAGTGGGAGCATGTTATTAACCCGCAATTGCAGGTTTGTTTAACCATAAACTAAAATAAATTGCTGCGCTTAAAGGATAAGGAATCACCTAAGAAGATGAAATATTGAAACATGGATGGAATTAAAAACAAGTGCCATACATACACTTGTTCCTGATCACATCCTCCAAACATTGGGGGTATATGCCAAATTAGAGCTAGCAATGGCTCTAACCACATGATTGTAGAGCCCAAGTCTCTGAGTCTACCTTAGAAAGAAATAAAAATAGCACACGAATCACAGATGAAAACAAAGCTTTTAAAGTATACCTCAAGCTTATAGTTAATATGTACTATCTTTTACTGTTCTAAGTCCAAATTATATTAGAAGATATGTCTGCCATAAAAATACAAGTGCCAGGTTGACAATCTTCCACAAAATAACCTAGTCTGAATACGAGGTACAGGTAAAACAACCTCGTTAAATCAAATGAAATGAATACTCACAGATGATATATAAAAGAATGCAACTAGAGAAAGACCACATTTGTGAGCTGAAAACAGGAGGCCTTAGGTTCCAAGTTGTTTGGCAACTATGTAGTAGTTGGCTATGATGCTTTTTACTTCCAAGTTCCAATTGTCAAATAAGTTGGATTGATATCCACCTTCTAAAATACAGCAATGCATCAGAGTAAAAGCACGGAATCTCCAACAAAAGTACATTGTTCTGTAGGCTTTGCTTTTAACAACCGCTGGCCATACAACCCTGATACAGGCCTATTGTTCTTAAGCTATTGTTGCCACCAATAATACACTCGCTATTGTCAACAATCAACTCATCGCAATTCCCCATGCCAAGCAATTATGTAATCACTGATGATACCACTCTGTCAAATGCTCAAGGTAGTCCATAGATCAAGTCCTACATCTTCAGAATAAAGAATGAATATAAAAATCATCTCCCAAAATTTTAGCATGGATTCTCATTCTAGCATCTAAGCTCATCCTCAGCTTTCACATACATGCTTAATTCTAATCCCATGGACGAAACATGTTTAGTTGTAGCTTTCTATTTTATTGATCCATAATTCTAACTAGAAACATGCTTATAAAACTAAATATCATCCATGCTCATCATAAATTCTGATCATGCAATTGATGTCAATCTCACTATATTTTGTCACACACAAAAGCCTATCCAAACATAACTACCTAATATCATCATGTTAAAACTTTAATTTACCCCTTCATATTTTAGTTTCGCAATGAAAGCAAGAACTGATAACTACAAACACCTTAGGATGGAACAAGAATCTGATCCTAATTGTATAAGAGCATCCGTTACTTACAATTAGCATTCTGATAAGACAGTCAACTGAAAAAATAAGAGGGAGAAAAGGGTAAGGAGAAGACTAATACAAAAGTCAACATCATCCTCAATTCCTGATGAACTAGATAATTGGATGAAGGTGTTTGATTTGACTTAGATCTATCCAAAGTACAGGGAACATTAATGTAAATCAGAAGAATCAATACAACAACCTGATGCATATGTATGAATGATAAATACAAAAAAACAAAAACATTAATTTGCATAGCTATTGACACAATCAAAAGGAAATAATGGAAGCAAATAAAAATAGCAACAAATAAGAATTAAGAAAAAATTCATACCAAAGATTAAGAGAAAGAGCAAGTATAATTCGTTCAGCATTGAACCAAATCAGCTGACATCCTTGAGTCTTTTTATCATCGCATCTAGAGATTTCTTCTTGGGATTCTGCCTGGCTCCCCTGCTCCCAAAAGTTCCAAATAGTCTATCTGATTGATCCCTCAACTTCTCTGATATAGTCACAACTTTCCTATGATCCAAAGCATTGTAGCTTCTCTCCCTAATTACAGCGTTCAAAAAGTTCTCAGGGTGATTGCTCAAAAGCAAATTAGCCAATTGCCTTGCCTCAGCAAGTGCTGTTTTCAACTGATTTGCATCTCCCTCAGTGAACAAAGAAGCTTGATTATCTGCAAAAGATTCCAACAACCGAATATCTACATCAATCCCCATGATAGCATTTATATTAAATCTCTTAACAGAGTCCCCATATAATGCCCCAACAATAGTCTCTGAAATGTGAGAAAGAACATCTTGCAAGACCCTTTTAAGAACTTGTGCTGGCAATATCTGTTGAGCAGTAGAAACCAGAGTTTCCAAATATATTATGACCTCATTCACATATTCATTTCCATTCTGTATGGGCTCATCCGCCATCCAATTCACGTTCTCAATCAATGTCATGAAACCATCAACCTTCTGTTTAAGCAACCCAGATAGCATCTCTTCCGCAGCATCTCGAGCTTTGTTTAGTGGAAACTGCCTCCTACCTCTCTCTGCCATTCTCAAGGGAATGCCAGACAGTTGTGCAGCATGTCGAAAAAAGAAATCACAAGCACGTTCAATCACAGCCATATTTGCAGCAACCTGCATTGCTTGGGAAACCCCATGGACTGATGTATTTATAAGTTTCAGTAAAGCTTCATCCAGAACCTCACCCAATAACCGGTCCAAATATTTCTTTACAACATCAAAGAAATCAAGCTGCCCACCATAGGACATAAAACTCACTGAATCTTCGATAAAGGACCGCACAATTCGACAACAATCTGGCACCGTGGATGAAAAAGGTGCAACATAGGGAAATGCCGGGATAATATCCGATGTCTGTAGCTGAAATGAAAGAACATTCATCGAGTATTCATATTCTTTTTTCATTAGCATCTGCTCAAACTTATCAGCAGCGAGTGCCTCTGCTATCTGCTTGCGACAATCAGACAACAGTAACTCATGGTACTTATCCCTGTGTTTGCTCAAAACATCTAATAAAGCATCTACTGGGTACCCATATCTGCGCAAAGTCACCCCAAGCAAGCTCACATAATCCTTGATTAACAAAAGATGATTTGCAGTTTGCATCCGAGAAAACTGATCTTCTAACACTGAACACATCTTACTAACGGCAGTCTCCCACAAATTTTCAACGTCCATTCTCGAGATGAGACCTCCTCCAGTCCTCAATATCCGATCTTCTACTATAAAAAATCCAGCAATTTGCGCAAAAAAAGTTTGATGAGATTCAAGGAAAGGGGTCATGGATGATACCTGAAAATCTGAAGTCAACTGAAGCTTCCTATTCTCAAAATAATACTGCCTAAACCGATCCTCAAGTCCTAATGTCTGGTGGATATGATAAGCTCGATACAGCGGAGTCAAATCGAACCCTAACAACGCACTGCCACCATTACTGTACCCATCTTTACCATCATCTCCTATTCCACCATTTATGCCGTCGTCGTCATCTTCCTCTTGCAAAGCATACACGCAATCTCGCAAACTGAGACGGCTTTGCTCTTCAGCTTGCCTCTGCTTGATTCTCAGGTCTTCCTCTCGCTGCCTCGCCGCCGAAGCTTGACCGATAGCCAACTGACCCAAATTGCGACTTACTACACGGATCTCCACAAGCCAGTCACCAAACTCTTTGCTCACTTTCCTCTCTATATGCGATCGAATCTCCGGTATCTTCTTCTCCAACATCCTCTTCAAAGTAGACGATGGCGTGCTATCCAATAACTCGTTCTCGATCGTATACACGCACTTCAAGGCCATGTAGAAGTTACCACTGGATAAATGATCGTTGGCTCTGGAGCATAGCTCCATGAGCTTGATACAAGACATGATTGAAGTAAGAGCTAAGTTCACATTGCGAGAGACGGTTTGGGCCTCTATATAAGAATCAAGGACGGTTAAGAGAGGACCCGCTACAGACTGAAGCTTAGAGTTGGAGTCAGAGAGGGCTGATTTCAGTGAATCTACGTCGGAGAGTAAGGATCGAAGGTCATCGACGGCCATAATAAAGTCTTGATAGTGAGCTTTGCAAACTTCCTCGATTTCTGACTCTTTGGAGCGGGAGAACTGTCGGAGATTGTGGAGAAGTGTCTCAGGCTTGCCGGAAGCGAAAGCCTTGCGGACGAAAGGACCGAGGTCCTCCCCGTTGCAGATGGCGGCTGAGAGGAGGAGCTGGTCCTGCTTATCGGCGGAATTGTCAGCGTCTCCGTTGGCCGGAGCCACTTTCCGGCGGAGCTTTGTGGAGTGCATTTCGGTGACGGTTACTGGATTGATGAGGGAAACGATTTAGAAGAGGATTGATTAGAGGCGGTTATTTTGACAAAGGAGAAGATCGGGGAAACTGGAGGCTTGGTTTGACTAATTTTGACAACGGTAATTACTGGGGTATTTTGGCAATTTCATAGTTAACGAGGTAAAAGCTTAAAGACAAATATTCGATCTTCAAAGGTTAATTATTCTACTCTCATTCACTTGATCAATCATTCAGTAATTCTCGTATCTTTCTGTATAACGGTAACTCCAGAGTTTTTACTTTCAACTTCTCTTACAAAAATTCTAACTCTTCAATTAACCAATTAGATAAAGTAATAACATTTTGCTAAACAAGTTCCAATATTTTCTTTGTTTATGGGACAACTAACCATACGACGATGCTATTCTGGCAGTGTAGTTGGTTGCTCTCAACTAACGGATTCCCGCATAAATAAAAAAAATTAATAAAATAAAATTATATTTAATTTATAATTATTTTTTAATTTTTCAAAAATATCCTCACGCCTTTCTTTCTCAAGACAAATTTCGCGACTTTAACAAAATTCGATTGTACATTTTCATTATATTCACATATTAGTTAGAATGTTTTAAAAATCGATTTGATGGTTTTTATTTTTATTTTATTTCTATTTAGTTTTCCGGCTTAACATATAAATTGATATATGAATTTAAAATTTTTGCTAATTAATTTTTTGGTTGATCCATTAACTCTTAATGCAATTTAGGCAATTTTTAATAAATGCTATAATCATTTATATTTTTTTATCTAAATTAGCTGACAATGGTTTTTACATTTTTAGCTAACGGATAAAAGTTCAATAGATACAATTTAAAAAATATTTAATAGATAAAATTTTATAAATTAACATATTTTTAAAAAGTTAAGATGTCGAACTTTTCAATTATAATTATAAAATATCTATCCTACTCCTAAAAAAAGAACTTCTTACATTTTATTTCAACTGCATTCTTTTTGTTATGCTAATACATTTTCCACCAAAAATTTAAAGCATTTATACGTTTCAAATTTTTTTCCTTTTTAGAATTTTATTGATCAATTATCATATTTATCAAAGAACGTATAACTAAATATGAAGATGTAATTACTACTCTAATTAAGAAAATAATAAAATAAGGATATAAATCTACAATAGAATTTTCAAATAGACTATATTTATCATAACAGTACAACTTTTCTATTTATTATAGAACAAATTAATTCAAGACATAAAATTTGTGTTTATGATTAATTTTACTTTTATCTTTAATAGAATTAATAGAATATTGAATTTTCTAATTTAAAATAATAAAGATGTAATTTAAAAAAACATAAAAATATAATACATGGCTAGAGATTAGAAAAAAAAAAAGAATAGTATGGAGTTCAATGGCAAATGACTAAAGATTATTCTTAAAAGATTGAAAATTCAAGTTTCACTCATCGTAGTGTCAGATCAATGACATATTTTTACATACTATAGTTCCCGTCTTTTAAAAAAATTTCAAAAATTAGGAAGCAAAATAAAAAAAATTACATTATTTTTTATTTAAAGTTTTCATTCTTTGCGAGGGGAAAAAAAAAAAAAGAAAATGCAATGCCAACAACCCAATTTGATTAAGTTTAATTTTTTAAATTAGGATAAAAGGACATGTAATTTATAACTACAATATGTTAAATTTTATTAACAAATGATTTTATAATTAACTTAAAAAACCCTAAGCAAATTATATATGGATAAAAAAATCAAATTATAATATACAAATTTAATGTAGTTGTTTTACAATCTCAATCTAATTTCTTAGCTATTTTTTAATCAATATGATTATTTTATTACAGAATTCTCATACCAAAAGGGCTAATGTTCCAACCAGGTAGGTCGGGCTGGACGATATCACAGTCCAGGCCTAACTACTCGGTGGGCCTAAAATCTCTCTAGCTGTAAACGACATCGTTATTAACAGCGAATCAATCTTGTTGACATTCAGATCAAACTGAATCAGACACGTGGATGGTAAAGGAAGAGGATGCAACATAATTCGATAGAATTAACGACAGGTAGAAGTGACTGAATCCAACTTTCATCTACAAAGTCCTAAAACCCTAGCCCCTCCCCTTAAGCACATTTGCCTCGCAGGAGTCGCGCGCCGAGCAGCAAAAGGAGGAACGACAATGGTATCATTTTCACCAGCTAGCCTTATTATCAGTTTTTGAAAGCTTGTCTCTATTTGTTTCTTCCATATCTGAACCTTAGCTTGTGATTATAGGGTATCGATTTGAAGGCCGGAGGCAAGAGCAAGAAGACTAAGCGCACTGCGCCTAAGTCTGATGATATCTACCTCAAGCTACTTGTCAAGGTCTTAATCTCTCTAATCTTTCAATTTGTGCATGCGTGTGTTTTATATATACTTACACGGGTGGATTTGTGAACAGTTGTATCGATTTCTGGTGAGGAGAACTGGTAGTAAATTCAATGCGGTGATTCTTAAGAGGCTCTTCATGAGCAAGATTAACAAGCCACCTCTCTCCCTCTCTCGTTTGATTAGTTTCACAAAGGGCAAGGTTGGTTTCTCTCTCCATCCCTTCCCTATTACCTGTTTAGTTTATGAGACAATTATGGAAAACAAAATAATTGTATGAAAAAGATCACCTCAACGACACTAAATGATTTAGTTTAGCTTTGAATTTTTTCTTCCTTTTGTGCTGAAAGGGGAAAGTTTGCTGTATGCTATTTGGTTGCTGAAATTGTAGGGAAGAAAGAAAAGAGTCTGATGTTCCAGTTATGATATTGCTGTCTAGTGTTTGAGAAATGTCTCAGCTCACTAATAGAGAACACATTTTATTCCATTGCTTCCAATTTCTTACGTTTTTCTGTTCTATATTTAACTTTGTTTACATTGGGCATAATTGTTCAACTTTCTATTTATTGGCTTTGATTCTTCAGGAGGATAAGATTGCTGTGGTTGTTGGGACTGTAACTGATGATATTCGTGTGTATGAAGTCCCTGCTTTGAAGGTTACTGCACTGAGGTTCACTGAGACAGCAAGGGCAAGGATTGAGAAGGCAGGTGGCGAGTGCTTGACCTTTGATCAACTTGCTCTTAGAGCACCTCTTGGTCAGAATACGGTATGTAATTTAATACCATCCTTACTGGTGGTTGAATGAGTAATTCTTGATCTAGTTGCATAAGTAAATGTTATAGTAAGCAAATTGGCATGACTTTTGTGTTGATGGTGTGTGATTTAATAACATCCTTGCTATTAGTTTCTGTTATGCACAATCTTTAGACTTCACATGCTTTTTAAGTTATTTTCTGTGTGTAAATTCAGCAATCAGTATGACCATCCATATATTTCTGAGGAAGCCCAGGTCAAAATTTTTTCCTAGTCTCTGAAGATTTGCCTTATCCAGTACAATTAATTTCAGTAGTGTATCAGGCGCAGCTACTTGTCTATGGCTACCCAGTTAAACATCTGACCCTCATCCCAGCAAATAAGCTTTGACTTTGAAATCCTATTATTAGGTTCAAGGCCAAGCCAGGGATGTTGGATTGGTTCCAATCAAATACAGTTCCTGGACTAGTCATTGGAGGCTGTAATATTCCCTTCAGCCTCAGGTCTGGAACTGAGCATTGGAGCGACTGAGCTTGCAACCTTCAAACACTAGTTTCATAGGAACAGTCTTGTCTCACCTCATCTGCAGGGCTGGATGGTAGTTTCTTTTAATCACATTTCAGTTCTGATTGCTCTTTCTTGTATTGAGATGCTATGGCGTGTGGGATAAGATGGTATATAGTGATAATCATGAAACAAAGAATACTTAGAGGATGAGCAAAAACATTTATGCTCATTAGTTTCTAGATGCGTTAGATACATACAGGATTATAATCATCAATCTATAGTAGATGCCATTGTTTACAATCTCAGTGGTTCCGTGTTGTGTATAAATTAGATTTCCCTTCTTTGTTGGTATGGCTGGAGAACTTTATTTATTTGTTTTTTATATATTACTGATGTAGACAGGCAAAACTTGAGCATGATGCCAATTCAATTTCTCAATTTTGCAGGTTCTCCTAAGAGGTCCTAAGAATGCTCGTGAGGCAGTTAAGCACTTTGGACCAGCTCCTGGTGTACCACACAGCCATACCAAACCCTATGTACGATCAAAGGGAAGGAAATTCGAGAGGGCTAGAGGAAGAAGGAACAGTAGGGGCTTTAGGGTTTGAGTGCTCCAAGCCAGTGCTATCCATAAACAAACATCCAATTTGCTTATGTTTTACTTTCTTGTTCTCACCCTCCAGTTTGGAACAATTACATAATCTTGCATTTTATATTGTATTTTATTTTGATTTAAACGAAAGATTTTGCAAGTTGACTAATGATTGTTGGGTAATTTTGATATTTTAGTGGTGCTATGATACAATTAAGAATTCTATCTTATTTAGATTACTGTTGAGTGTGCTGTTTTTTGATCTATCGCAATTGATAATTGGTTTTTGCCTTGGTGATAGCAATTCATTTTGCAGTAATGACATGAGTCCTCTTCAACTTGTGCAGAAACCGGGTAGGCTGGGCATTCGGATCTGAGTTTACTTCTTTAATTAATCTACCACCTATTTCAAAACAATGTAATTTTACATGGCTAATTATGCGGCTCGTACGATATTATGTTTGTATCACAGAGGAAATTTGTTTTGGAGGACAGTAAAATTATTCTCTCCACTCGATATAGCTTTTTCTTATTTTCCCTTTTGTTTTGGAGAAAACTTTTTCATTCCTCTCTTTATCCAAATAAGAAAGTATTATTATTTTTATTTCTTTTCATATCTCCCAAACATAACCATAAGTTTAACTTGTGCTATAAGCTTCACTATATTTTGATTTTTATTTTACAAATTTAGGATTAATTGCAAATAAAAGAGCTTGGGCTAACTTACCGAAAACTCATAGTAAGATGGGTAAAAAAAAACCTAAACATGGAGCTCAATCAACAAAAAAGCAAAAGCATGAAAAGATCCAGGTTGCTCCGATCTAATCATTCAAATCTTGCACTTCGCCACTCCCTATAACGGCACTGGTGGTAGTGGTAGTTTCAAAAAACACAACATGAAGAGCGGTAACAGTTTCAATTCGTGAATACCAACTCAAAATTAGGGACAGGAGCGTTATCAAATGGAATTTACAGGAGACGAGAGGAGATGAAAACGGTTGCTCTATCTGTTGGTTCTTGTACCAAAAACGTCGGCGTTTGAACAGATTTAGTGTCTCACATTCTTTAAGTAAATGATGAACTTGTATTAAGTTAACACACACTTAGCTCGATCGTCCTCGACCCCATTAACAATAATATTTTATTTGAAATTCATTCAAATTCTAATTTCAATTTAGGGTATTATTCATACAAAAAGTGAAGAACTTTAGTAAATTTACGTAAAAATCAAAATAGAGTGAGATTGGAACGCAATATAAAATTAAGCCTAAATCAAATGAACTTTCAGAAACGGAAGAGCAACTTATGGATTCATCAATGCATATCCAAAACAAGATTAATTTGAAGTTCGCATTATTTTCAGCTTCGTGCAAGTCTGAAAGTCGGAAGCAATACCAACCTAATTTTTAAGCATTACATATCATTCAAACGGTTGTAGTATTGTCTCAATCTCGCTCCAAATATGAGTAATCATCTCATCTCCTGAGTGGATGAGATCAATAGATTGCATGAGAACCAGGGGTTAATAAAAGTATAAAACCCATTATGGCCCTTTTATTGCCTGCACAAGTTTCAAATGCTAATTAAAATTTCTTGATAAAATCGTAAATATGCGCACTGATTTCTTCTGGCTTTTCTTGGTTGAGATAGTGACATACTCCTTCCATTATAACTACTTCTTGCAAAAAAGGGACATACTTTTTCAATCCTCCATTGTGTATGTATTCCTTCACACCAGGGAAGTGATAAGTAACGTCCAGGTCCCCCACTATAAACTTGACTGGTACTTTAATTTGCAACCCTGTCCACGGTGCAGTCAGCTCCCAGTTTCTGTATCAGGCAACAGAAAAAATATTTTTAGCTTGCATAAGCATAACATAACTCGATTCCTCAAGGCCAGCATTTGATGCCAAAGAGACAGGAAATGGAAATGTGAAATGAATTTATATTATACATCAAACAAAGACATGGAAGATGAATCTTAAATTAAGCAAAGGGTCTATTTACTATCTAAAATTGACTGCAAGATAAACAAAAAAAAAGGTTGTGTTTGAGGGTTCATACAGATCTAAACACCGATAATAGTTCAGTCCTCCAGTGAAGCCCTTCTGGTTAAACTTGCTAACATAATAATTTATATCCTCTTCTGACAGCCAAGGAGGCAAACTTGGATTGTCTGGTAAACCTCTGAATCCTATTTTAGGTATACAAGGTGGTTTTGGATTGCGAGAAGCAAGAAATCTTCTAAGCACTTTTGCAGCACCAGCTTGGGCAAAGTCTTCTTCAATCTCTCCTGGTTCCTGCAACACAATTCAGCAAATTTTCAGCTGGTTAGTTCAGGAAGAGTAAGGGCTCTATATGTTACAATTGTGGCATCAACAAGGTGGGGAAATGAAAATAGGCCTGAAAAGGCGTGCTAATATCAATATTGCAAGAAGATAACTATTTTCGACAACCATGTCTTCAAGATCAGTTCTCAATTCACATGAAAATGATGCATGAAAGACGCTCAGTACTGGATTGATTGAAACATAATGGATTCACTTATCTAATGAAGCAAAATCTGTAGGCATAGTTCTTCTGTGAGAGCATGCAAGGGAAGTCTATACTAAAATGAACTAATCGTAGAGTTAGAGCAATTTGGCCAGTAGAATTGTTATTCCTAAGCCTCTATACAATGCGTTCCAAATCCTTATTGTGCAATGCATTTCACACTCACCTACATTGCAGTATATTACTAATACAGACATTAATATGGTACATACGTGATACATGTCTAGCAGTAATTGAAGTTTTATAAATTGAATTTGTCAGCTGTGTGAAAATCATCAAAATCAGCTCTTCTACAATTTTCGTTAGAAATATAACTACAGTTGAGAAAGTAAAAAATAAAGGAAAGCAAAAAAAAAAAATTATTGCCTTAGAATACATTTAACCTCAAATAAACAAAGAGATGACTGTCAGAACATTAGCAACAATTATATTTAGTTCCTCCTGGTAGTCCTAGGCAATTTTCTCTGTAGAAAAGTGGAAAAACTGACTACTAAGGCCAGAATTTGCAGAATAACAACAAGTGAAAATTTTTTATCTTCTAACATGGTTAGGCAAAAGAGAAAGCGAAAAATGATGCAACTGTGCATACAAGTCCTTGCCAAACTCAAATGCATTGAGAGGAAAAGAGAAATTCATTGTTTTAGTCCAAGATGATTAATCAATCAAAAGCCAGTCTAAATTGTCTGTACTTAAGATCATAAATATTTGTGGGTCTAAGGCCAACCCTACTCTATTCCCTTTTCTGGCGCAGTGACTTCACTTTCAATTCTGTGAACACCAATCAAGTTTCAAATACAAAAATCTGCAAATGGAATTACAATTCACAATTGAAGTAAAAAAATTTAATTTACATTCTCAGGTGAAATAAATGACAATAAATGTTTGATAAACAGAAGAATAAATGCAAATGATCTGAACTTTGAAGTACAATCACACTTCCACCTAATTTAATTGAGATCGATAAAGACCTTGAAACTGAAATTCGAGAGAGGGGAAATGAAAAGAATTTAACTTACCTGAAACCTGCAGATATAGAAATCATCACCTAATAATTCTCGGTATTTTTCCAGAGGCTTATGGTTTGGATTCCTCGGCGTGAAAACAACACTAGTATTAACCAAAGCCTTGATTCTATCAGGCCTAAACAAGCACATATGCCAAGCCACTATCGCACCCCAGTCATGACCCACAAGAAACACTTGCTCAATGCCTAGAGAGTCAAGCAGGCCGACAAGGTCACCCACGAGGTGGAGGATGGTGTATTGAGTGGGGGATGGTGGCGCGTCGGTATCGCCGTAGCCACGAAGGTCAGGGGCGATGCAACGGTAGCCGAGGGCAGAGAGGGAAAGGAGCTGGTGGCGCCACGAGTACCAAAGCTCAGGGAAACCGTGTAGGAAGAGAATAACTGGGCCGGTCCCAATTGATGCTACGTGCATGTTTATGCCATTTGTGGGAATCGTTGTGTGCTCTATCTTCTCCATCTCTCGTCTTGTTGATAGTCGATTTTGAGCTTCGTCTTGTCAAAGAGTGCGAAAGCTACTAAATACAAAGAACGTCGAAACCAAAGGAAAGTTTTTAACTTTTATTTCATCATTGAAAGCAAAAGTTCACCAACAAAAAATCCCACAAAGCTAACGCATCCAACCAGATGAGCACTAAGACACAGCGCGAAGATAATCAAAGAAAGAATGAATAATGGATCGACTTGTCTGGACCCAGTTCAGCCCACTCATGGATCAAGTCTGATTCTATCAATTCAGCCCGTTAATTAAAATTGTGCCCAGTGAAAAAGAAAAAAGAAAAAAAAGGAAATTACGCATTACCTTCCAAACTGGAAATGAGGATTTCTAGATATTCTTCATTCTAAAATACAGGAATAACTAACTTTTTTTTCCTGGTTGAAAGTCTTCTTACAAAATTTCCACAGCTCCACCAGTATTTTGATTGTCAAAAAAAAAAAATTACCTTCCCAAGTGGAAATGGGAAATATTCCCCATGATATTTGTAGTTTGGTGTTAAGTTTTATAGCATTCATTTGGGAAATTTAGTGTGTTTATGTAAGCAATATTTTTCAAAGCAGAGAATTTGAATCAAGTTGCAGTTTTTCTGATATGTTAAAGTAATGTTGTTGGAACATTAAGTGTTTGTATGTATAACTCGTTGCACATTTTTATACTTTCCCACAAATTATATTTAATTAAACGCAATTTTTATCATAAAATTTTAATTAAATCAAATCTGTAAATTCTATATTCATTTCATCATTTTCCTGGAAAGTTATTTTTCCTTGGAAAATAATTTTACACAAGAAAATTAAATTTTGACAACCAAAAGCCATGGTTCTAGATTGGAATCAAACCATCTTCAAAATGCTTATTTTTCTAACTTCGTTCCTATCCTTTTCATCATTGGTGCTGCTTTCATGATTCCTAGTCCATTTCCACTTTTATTATCATTTTTCCAACACTATAATACATTTTTTTTCCCAAGCACACATTTTGATTTTCACTTCATAATGACTTTTTTTGTTTGGGGAAGGACTTTATATAATTATTCAATTCTTACATAATGATAATAGAAAAATTCTTGTCTGCAACGCATGTATAGGTGGTCTCATGTACCAATCCAATCGAATTTTTTTTTTTTATATGTTATTAATTTTTTCTCTCTGTATATGGTTAAAAATATCTAAAACATTGTTTTTTATCGGTTTGGTGCATAAATAAGTCCATAATGATATTTTATAAAATGACAGGAATTATTTCCATGATATTTCAGTTTCTTATGCAATTTTTTTTTTGAATAAAATGAAACTGACCGTGCAAAAATATTTATGGATAGATGTGGAAAATAATTGTCATATATATCTATATTTCTTATTTTATATTTTAGACCATGGAAATATTTAGCAAGTTTTTGCATGGAAGATGGAACCTCGTCACGTGCTTTGAATGAAAGAAAAAAAAAATTGTTTTCTACAAACTTCCAAACTGTTATGATCAAGATTAATCAAATTTCTTTAAAAAATAATAATAAATAAAACCGTAATTTACTACTATAAATATATACGTATACATATATTACATTTGATTTAAACAGTATTCAGATAAAATTCTCATAATAATAATAACTCAAAACTTTAATCCTTAATTTTATAAGTAAAATTTATTTAAAAATAAAATATACTTTCACTTATTTAACTATACATATATATTAATATATAATTTATTTTAATCTGACCTGGTTTCCAAAAAATTTTAAAAGAATGCTTCAAGTCATGGATCAAAGGAAACAAAATGAAAGAGTCAACCAAATAACAGAAGTATAAATTAATAAAGCCATTCTCATGCATAGACTTAGAGTTCTATTTCGCAATTGCTGGAGCCTGGAGCATGCTTTCTTTGAACAGAGGATAGAACCCATTGCAGTAATAGTTATGACAAATTGACCGCAGTTGAAATCAACGCCACCTGGACAAAGATGAATTACATTTTATCAAAAATATGAGTTTTAAAATAGTCAAATTTTTAATTTTATCCTCCAAAACAGTTTTACTTTTGTCAATTTCGTCCTTTTAAGTTTTAGTCTTAAATCCAGTCACCATTGGATAGAAGGAACTGCCAAAAAAAGCAGGGAGGATTGATTGCTTTGCAGAGTGCAATCAAGTCAAACAAGGCTAGGCTAAAATTACAATAGTTTATTAAAGATACTCTCAATTACAGTTTCAAGTCTAGCCAAATAAATTTAAGGTGGTCAAGATCAATATGCTATAACTAAAACAGACACACTTCATTAAACAATTATTTTCTCAGTTGCATGACCAAATTGCTGGTCAAACTCCTTTTTTTTTTTTTTTTTTTTTGACCAAATTGCTGGTCAAACTCCTTTTTTTTTTTTTTGTTTTGTCTTTTACTAACATGTCCATTTTCTTGTCAAGTTAGAGTTTTTTTTTTTTTTTTTTTTTTGTCTTTTCTACCATGTCATTTCTTGTCAGTCAAAGTTCTTGATGAAATCATATATATGGTTGCTGACTTCTTCGGCCTTTTCCTGGATGATGAAATGGCCTACTCCTTCCATTATCACCACTTCTTGTAAGTTGGGCACGTCTTTTTTAAACCCACCATTTTTTATATATTCCTTCATTCCAGGAAGATGGTAGGCAGTGTCCAAATCTCCTACGATAAACTTAACTGGCACCTTAATTTGTTGCCCTGCCCATGGCGCCATCAGCTCCCACGTTCTGCCATCAAATTTAATTAATTAATATGGTTTAAATAACTATTTGAATTAAAGAATCTAAATTTAGTCAATCTTTTCATGGAGTATGGGAAACGAGAGGTCTTTCGATGAATATTTTATTCAAAATTCAGCTCAATTCGACCTCCAATGAATTAAAAGGAAAAAAAAAAAAAAAAAAAAGGAAAAAAAAAAAAAAAAAGTTAAGACTACTTACAACTTAATGGCTCTGTAAATAATTCAAAAACACCAACCAGTAATGCCTGAATTAAATTGAAAAAAAAAAAAAAAAAGTAAGACTACTTACAACTTAATGGCTCTGTAATAATTCAAACCACCAGTAATGCCTGTCTGGTGAAATTTGGCCGCGTAATAATTAATATCTTCTTCAGATAGCCAGGACGGCAAGCAACTGCATAAACAATCCGGAAATTCTATTTCTTTAGGTATACGAGGCGGGTTTGGATTACGAGCTGTAAAGATTGTTTTTAGCAGGCTAGCAATGTCAAGCAGAGAAAACTTTTCTTCAGCCTCTATAGGTTCCTGGATCATATATACACACACACGCACGTTAATTTTTTTGATTTCTATCTATCTATCTATATAAAGAAACTAAAGATGAAAAATCTATACCTGAAACCTGCAGACGTAGTAATCGTCGCCGAAACATGCCTTGAGCCCATCCACAGGGTTAACCGGTGTCCTGGGCGTGAAGGCGATGCTGGAGTTGACTAAGGCTTTGATTCTATCAGGTCTAAACAAGCAAAAGTACCAGGCAATAACGGCGCCCCAGTCATGGCCAACCAAAAATACTTTTTCGATACCCAACTCGTCAAGCAGACCGATAAGGTCTCCGACGATATGGAATCCGGTGTATTCAGTTACAGATTCCGGTGCATCTGTATCGCCAAAGCCCCGAAGGTCAGGGGCTATGCAACGGTAGCCAAGGGCGGATAAATGGAGGAGTTGGTGTCGCCATGAATACCAGAGCTCAGGGAAGCCATGCAAGAACAGGATTGCTGGTCCTGTCCCTATTGTTGCTACATGCATATTGATGCCATTTGCGGCTACTCTGATGTGTTGTATGTTCTCCATATCTTTTTGATATATTCTTTGCTTCTTCTCTAATATAGTTCTTTTCTTGCAGTCTTAGATGCTTTGGTTACCATGTGGAGGAGGGTATTTATAGAGGAGATTACGAGACCAAGTCTTCTGTTTAATCAAATTGTGATAAACCACTTATTTTATTTACGAAGACAGACAAAAATATTTTCTAGTCAAAAGTCGAAACGGAGATTAATTACTTAGTAAATTCTAACATTTATAAATCTAACGACGAATCGAATTAATAAAAAAAAATTTTATATTGAAATAATAATATTTTTAACATTTATTGTGAAAAATATTGTTGATAAAATGAAGAGAATTTTTTTAAAAATCTCTTTTTAAATTACCTCGATTAATAAATGAACCCATAAATTGATTTTATGCAGCTCTAATCCGTAAGCAACAGTGCATGCATCCTTAAAATTTGTTGATGACAGGCTGTTTTGTTCGTGGCAGGCGATTATTAATTAACGAATAAATCCAGAGTTTATATACATGTCTTTTGTATTTTTGGACAGTTGACCATTTAGCTATACAATTTTCATCTTTTAATGTAAGTTTGCAACTTTTTGGAGAGCTGTTTCGAGATGGTGTACCAACGGATATTTTGTAATGATAAACGGTAATTAACTGCTTTTAATGTAATTGCATTGGAGACGCTCTGATAACTACTAGCTCACTTCATTCTCCTGTTTATTCTCTCTCATTTTCAATATTCCAAATTCTATCATACTGTTGCCATTTTAATTTATCTCTTTAGGTTTAGTTCTTAATGGTAGAAGAAATCACAAGTTGCCATTTTAATTTTTTACTTAGGCATTATATTCTGAAAATAAAATTTTTTAATTAACCATTTACACTTAACATAAATTATTATCCTTAAATAGTTTTCTGAAATTGTATTACCTTTTTTTTTTTTTTTTCTCGACTAGTTATTTCCTCTCTCATATTCCAATATTAGTACTCAAACTTCCTTCATATAATAACTGTTGCCAATTTTAAAATTTTATCTCTTTAGGTTTTAAGTTTCTTTAAAATGGTAGAAAGATATTCACCATAGTTGCCAAAATTTTAATTTTTATATCTTAGGCATTAATTTATTCTGAAAATAAAAATTCTCTTAAAAATTAACATTTACACTTAACAATAATATAATCTATCCTTAAAATATGTTTTTTCTGAAATTAGTATTACCTAATAGATAGATATTTTTTTTTTATTTTTTGATTTTGGAAATTGAAAATGTATTACCTAAAATCAAAAATAACTTTTTTTTCAAACAAAAAACTTATATTTACATTTCCTTCACACACAAATATTATAATTTCAAATCAATAATAACCATTCGATTTTGACATCCCGAGAGACAATTGTGAACATCATAATTGCAAGTGGTATTGATTTTAATATTTATCTAAGAAATATCATGTACAAATTTTTTTCTTTGGCAGCATTACAAATTTCAGTCTGGTGCAATAAAATGGGACCTTAAATCTTTATGATAGAGAAAGTGAATAAATATAAGTGGTTGAATTAATTGATTTTCCGTTCTTTATTTTCGAGATTATTATATGAATAGAAAAATTTTCGCTATTTAATAAAAAAAGTGAATTACAGTCCGTAATCGGCAAATTTTATTATCTAGGTCGTATATATATATTTTATATTTTAAATTAATAGTCTTTGTGTGCAGGTTTGTCCTTCAATGTTTACCCTCATACTTATTTTCCCCTTCGATTTCCAATATTCTGGTCATCTATGTTTGGATTAATTCTTATCCAAGATTTTATTCAATTGTAGTTATATTATTAATCTCTCTATGTAATAATCATCCAATTTGGTTTTCTTTCTTTCACTCTTGAATTATCGCTATAGTTATTTAAATATAAATTTTAACGTCTTGGAGCAAATTATATATTGATTTTGAAAACCAAGTCTATACTAACTTATTCTGTAATAACCATATTAATGTAATCGCCACGAATGAGGACTAAAAAATTGCTAGGTCCTGGGACTACCTATGTGTTCTACTGAGTGTCGATTGTGCTGTTATTGATAAATAAATTAAACGGATGCGCCTTTTGGCTTCTTAATGACGTACAAATAATCCAACAGCATATAAAACAGCCCGTTTCTTATGAAAAATAAACAAAAATATATCGGTCCACAGTTGGTGTGTGAAATTAGGATGTCCTTTTAATTGAGATTCTATTTAAATTTATTTATTTATTTGTATTAGGAGATTCTAATAGGTCGAAATAATAAACTAAAAATAAAATATAATAAGTAGTGTAATGTTAGCTTTTTTCTCTTTTTTTATCTCAATCAAAATTGAAATAAAAAATATTATTAAATTCATTTGAAAATTTTCAAATTTTCAAGCAACTCACTGTTACTTTCTCTTTCAGAACAAATTTAATACACAATAGAAGAAGTCAAAGAACGGTGGAATCAGAGACCCGATTTAGATGAGGTAGGTTGAATACAATAAATATTCTTTTAATGTGATAAAACTTATTTTGTATTCACAGTTATAATATTCAAGTCGCACTATGAGAGTATGGTTATCAAAATTCCATTATCCACCTCGAAGCCATTATATAGTATATGATAAATATATTTACTATTTGCTTCTTATAACCCAACATGAAATTTATTTTATCATTAGTCACATAGTGTGATCAGATTCAGATTTAGCAAGTTAACATTAGAATATTTGAAAGCATAAACACGGAGTAGAAGCGGATTATGTTTTTCAGAGAGTCCAGTATTTTGACGAAAGAGGAGATAATTCTTTTAGTAAATGTTTAGATTGCGTGAGATCCAAATGTAATACTCAACGAGATAGATTATGAGTTCCCTTTAGGGATATATCTATTATTTCTTATAAATATCAGTGATAATGGCTAGGAGAGGTATGGTAAAAGATAACTATAATCCTTTTTTTTTTTTTTTTGAATGGAATGAAAATGTATTACCTAAATCAAAATAACTTTTTTTTTAAAAAAAATTATTTACATTTCCTCCACAAAATATATATATTTCAAATCAAACCCTTCATTTTGACTCCCTAACATTGAACATCAATTGGCAAGTGGTTATTGATTTAATATTTTCGGAATACATTCACAATTTTTCTTTGCAGCATTAATTTCTGTCTGGTGCAATGGGACCATCTTTATGTAAGAAAGGAATAAAATATAAGTGGTTGAATTATTGATTTTCCGTTCTATCAATTTATTAAAATTGAAATTGAAATTTTCGCTTTATAAGAAAAAGTGAATAAGTCTAATCGGAAATTTTATTATCAGGTCGTATATATATATTTATCTTTAAATTATGTCTTTGTGTGCAGGTTGTCTTCAATGTTTACCCTCATACTTATTTTCCTTCGATTTCCAATATTACTGTCATCTATGTTTGGATTATCTTATACCTTATCAATTTAGTATATTATACTGTATATCCAATTTGGTTTTCTTTCTTCACTCTTGAATTTTCTTGTAATAGTATTTTAGTCTGCAATTAATATTATTTTGAACAAGTCTTCTACTTATTCTTGTAATCATATTATTTCCGAATAGGCTAAATTGCTGTCCTGCTACCGTGTTTCTGTTATTGCCTATAATTAACGTGCTTTGCTTCTATGACGTCAATACAACAGCCGTTTTTTGAAAAATAAACAAAATATATCGGTCCAAGTTGGTGTGTGGAAATTAGGATGGTCTTTTAATTGATGATTTATTTATTTATTTATTTATTTATTAGGAGATCTAATAGGTCGAAATAATATGATAAATATACAATAGAAGTATTTTTTTTTTTCTCATCAAATTGATAAAAATTTTTATCATTGAAAATTTCAATTCAAGACATGTTACTCACATTAATGAAAAGATCAACTGAACTACGTTTGATTGGTTTCAATAAAAAAAAATTCTATTTTAAAAGAAAACTTTTGTAATAAGTTATTAGCAAGTGGAAATTTTTCCCTCGAGCCAATTAAATATAGTAATTGATATTTTTATTTTCTATAAAAATATAAAAAATAAAAGTGTCAATAACAATATTTTACTACCATAAAAAATTTTCATTAATTTAACAAGAGATGTCAATTCATCTGATTGCGTGAGAATCCAAAAAGTAAATACTAACGAGTAGTTTTACTTTAAGGTAAACTATTATTTTTTAGATAATGTGATATGGCTAGGAAGAGGTTTGTAAGATACAAATAATAGTTTCAAAAAAAAAATTCAGGGGCAGGTGCTTCCACTGTCCTATTGTGGAATCTCTCCTATTTCTTATGCCATTGGCTATTTAATTAGTTTAATGAAAAACAACTGGTGCAAGAAGATAGACCATTTTTTTAATGCTATTTCCTTATTAAACCAGATAGAATTATGGTTTATGTTCTTTAAATTATTTTCATTTCAATATTTTTTTTTATATTATTTCAAAGTTATGTCTTTTTAATTTTTACAGTACTGATGCAAGTAGTGGTTTGAATCGATGAAAAGTGAAGAATTATTATAAATTAGAAAATCAATACAATTTTGAGTGCGTTACAACTCTTAAAATTAACAAAAGAATAAAGAAATCGTGGAGACGATTTGTATAGTCTGTAAAAGATCAGAACTTTTTGATGAAATCATAAATATGCTGGCTGATTTCCTGAGCCTTTTCTTGGATAATGAAATGGGCCACTCCTTCCATTATCACCACTTCTTCCAAAAGCGGCACATCGTTTTTAAATCCACCATTATTTACATATTCTTTCACACCAGGAAGATTATAAGCTGTGTCCAGATCCCCCACTATGAATTTTACTGGTACTTTCACCTGTTGCCCTGTCCACGGAGCCATCAGCTCCCAGGTTCTGCATCATCAAATCAATTACAAACTTCATTAATAATGTTTAATTAATTGAGATTCGCTTAATTTAATATTGAAAAATGAATTAATGAAACTTACGACTTGAGGTTTCTGTAATAATTTAATCCTCCTGTAAATCCTGTCTGTTTAAATTTGGTAGCGAAATAATCGATGTCTTCCTCAGAAAGCCAAGAGGGCAAGCTGCATAGAGAATCTGGGAATAATGATTCGTATGCTATGTTTTTCGGGATGCGAGGCGGTTTTGGATCCCGAGCTGTATAAATACTTCTTAGAAGGCTTGCTGTATTAACTCCAGCAAACTGTGCCTCATGTTCTATAGGTCCCTGAAACCTGCAGACATAGTAATCGTCGCCAATGATAGCCCTGAGATTCTCCACAGGATTTAGCAGTTGTGGGAACCTCGGTGTGAAGGCAACGCTGGTATTGACTAAGGCCTTGATTCTGTCAGGTCTAAACAAGCAAAAGTACCAGGCGATGATGGAGCCCCAGTCATGGCCAACCAAAAACACTTGCTCGATTCCCAATGCGTCAAGAAGACCAATAAGGTCACCGACTATGTGGAACCCTGTGTACTCGCTGACTGATGCAGGAACATCGGTGTCACCATAGCCACGAAGGTCAGGGGCTATGCAACGATAGCCAAGTGCAGATAAATGAAGGAGTTGGTGTCGCCATGAATACCAGAGCTCAGGGAATCCATGCAAGAAGAGAATTGCTGGACCTGTCCCTATTGTTGCTACATGCATGTTGATACCGTTTGTGGGTACTCTTATGTGCTGTATCTTCTCCATTTCTTTTGAAAAATGTGTTTTTGCTTTCTGATAGATTGCTGCTAACTTGCTAGAGATTATTGGCTTGAGATTTTGGGTTGCTTTTGGTTTTTGCTAGATATGGATGATTTGAATGCAGTAAGGAGGAGTTATATATATATATATATATATATATATATATAGAAGAAAGCCTTGACTAAGTCTGCTGCTTTCCAATATGGATTGAGAAGGAATGTCAGATGACATTCCAAGCACTTGTTAAAAAGAGAATGATTCCAACTTGGGCAAGTGGATAGTATTGATAATTTTTGGATCATATAGGTAAGGTCGTTTTTATTGTTTGAAAAAAGAAAGAATTAATTGAAAGTCTTCGAAGATAATTTCCGATTTCTACCATGTTAATATGTTATAAAAATCAAACTGTTCATTCTAAAATAAAGAAATTCACAAAAAAGAAAAGTTCAAATCATTTGTAATTATATTTCTTTTTTTATATATTTCAAATGCAAGTGCCTGTTAAAAGTAGACTCTGAAATTGCAACTTGCAATTCTAAATTATTGATTCACTAAAATCAAAAGGACGTCTGCACATATATATACTTCTGGGCATTTTCGTAGCCTTCATTTACTTAGCAAGAAATACGCACTGTCAACAATGGTGTGGAATTGCCACCTACGCGCTACATTTCGTTTACCTGGAAAACGCGTACCTCTGCATCTGGGCGTGTTGGTCCTATGGACATGGAGGACCGACCGGATTTACATTATCCATTCGAGCATTAATTAATTAAATTAATTAATTATGTATGAAAAGCAACCTTCCTCTTTATTTGACATTTTACCTTGTATTTTTAGGCGTGACTTATATTTTTTTTAATTGACTTATTCTTTTTTTTTTTTTTTTTTTACTCTTATAATTTTTTTTTTTTTTTAAGTATGACTTATTCTTTTTTTTTTTTTTTTTTTTTTTGTTAGTTCAATGAGAAAATATACAAAAGGCAACCAGGAATAAATAAGAAGGCAGAATGTAACCGGATAGAGCATAGAGTATATATAGCCAACGAATGCCCATTTGATATTTTTATAATATTCAAAATAATCTTGAAATTCTTACTAACAGAAGCAGTATATTATAACTAAAGACATAAAAAATAATCTTCAACCCCAAGTTAAAAAAATTTTTGAATAAGTAACCAAAAGAATCGTATGTTTTGCATTAGATTAGTGTTACACTCAAGAGGTGGAAATGATGTCCAACCCACATTATTAAGTGAACTATGACTAACAATTTAATTTACTGCAATGGGCCACACCTAATAGAAAGCATTTCTTTACATTTTTTTTTTTTTTTTTTTGTTAGTTCAATGAGAAAATATACAAAGCAACCAGGAATAAATAAGAGGCAGAATAGTAAACACGCATAGAGTATATATAGCCACGAATCCATGATATTTTTATATTCAAAATATCTTGATAATTCTTACTAACAAGAAGCAGTATATTATAAGCTAAAGACATAAAAATAATCTTCAACCCCAAGTTAAAAAATTTGAATAAGTAACCAAGATCGTAGTTGCATTAGATTATGTTAATCAAGAGTGGAAAATGATGTCCAACCCACATTATTAAGTGACTTGACCTACAATTAATTAACTGCAATGGGCAACCTAATAGAAAGCATTTCTTCAAATCTGTTCCAACAACTTTCAAGAGTAACATAGATTAATTTCTTGTATCCTCTCAATATAGTATCTAAAACCCTAGGGTTGGGAAGAAATTGACAAATTATAAATATATTATTGACTGTTTAAAAAAGATTTTTAAATTAGGGTTAGGAAGATTTTTATTTCTTGAGAAATTAAGATTGAAACCAAGAAGAAAACCCAACAACATAAATTCAGTGACAGGAAGAAATTCCTTTTACATTTTATTTCCTCTAACAACACTGCAATAGCAGAACCCCGTTGCTGTTATTATCGATTTGGAATTATCAGAACTTCTTAATGAAGTCATAAATGTGTTTGCTAACCTCCTCAAGCTTTTCTTGGTTCAGAAAGTCAGCTACTCCTTCCAGCACAACCATATCATATGGTAATATATTATAATATGGTAACACAATTTGATTGATACTGAACAAGGTATATATTAAATATGGGAAGAATATAATATTTTTAAGGATTTTATTATATTGAAAGAAATTTTTTTCCTAAAATATAAAATTAATTATATGCTCGTAGACTTTAGCAAAAAGTAAAAAGAAAAAAGAAAAATACTAAAATTAGAAGCAATGCTCTAATTATATTATAATATATTATAATAGTTATTTATTTATAACATATAATATCTATAATATAAATTTAAAATATAATCAGTCAAGTCAGGCTAAATCTCACTTTGAGAAAATTTATTATTTTTTTATTCTTTTATTTCATAAAATATTCTTTTTTCTATTTTATAAATGCTCTTAAATTTTTAGTATATAAATTAAATTATATTATATAATCAACGAGTAAAAAAACGTGACAGAGAGTGTACTAAAAAATTTGCAGGACCAAAGCCTATTGAAAATTGCCTTATTATAAATTAAAATTTAATTTGAATAATATATAATTTAAAGGCTTTTTTTCTTAGTTGACAAGCCAATGCCCTTCTATATGACCTAGTAGATTCATCCACCCATTTGTGTTTATTTGGTTTTAGTCAAGGACAAATATGTAAAAAATGCAAAACTTTTAAAAATCAAGACTGCATTAAAAATAATTTAATTCTTCTGTGCACAAAAAAAAATATTCCATTAACTAATGTATGTGAGTGTCCAAATGCTTTAGTTTGAAAAATATTTTTTTCTAATTTTTTAATTTTCTCAGTAAATGATTATAACTAAAATTATATTTTTAATTAGTTTAGTATATCAGTAAATACAGACACCGGCCTTTCGTCTTGTCTGTCTTGTCCCAGTCCAAGCCTACAGTGACGCCGAATTGATGGCTTTGATAATACAATTGATAAGGTCCAAGAAGCGATAATGCTGTCATATAAGGCTTCCCTAATATGGGTAGGCAGGCCCATTTCCGTCAGACAAAGGGTCCCATTATGTACGAAACCACTTTCGTTTTCTTTTCCTTCATTCCAAATGATTATGGACCCAATGAGCGGCAAGAGGGCATAAAAAGAAAAAGGTACGTTTGAAAAATAAAAAATATATATATATATCTTATTCTTATGAGTAACATATTAAGGTAAATTTATTAATTAATAAAATATAAAATCTTTTAAATTTTATTTAATGAATTTGTAGTTAATCCATTTTGTACAGATATAAATAAAGAAGAAAAGTGAAAACATCTGATTTCCAATACTTTAACATTAACCCATCAATATTTTATATTCCAACGCATTAAAATGGAAAATATTAACATACACTCCAACTTTATCGTGCTCCTATTATGATTGGGATTGGGAGGCTTTTCATTATTAAGGATTTAAGATTTCAATTATTATTTTTCAAGACTTTGGAAGAATAAAATAAAGCAATTTAAAAACTATTAAATAAAGATATGATACGTGTCAAGGTAGCAAGGTAAAGGACCATTCAACTCTACCTATCAGGCCCGTCACAAGAGCTCGTGCAACTAAATTACAACCAGCATTGAATGCATTTATTCAAGAACAAGTCACGTTAGAGCTTCAAGATCATAATTATGCAAGATGTGGGATTGAACTTAAAGAAGCACCTAAGTTTATTCTGATGCTTGAGGCGTGTGAAGAGGTTGCCCATTGATGCATTGTACTGTTTCATACTTAAGCAAATTTAGAAGAATGTTCTTTCATTGTAAGCTTAAGTATGGGGCGTGTAAGGCCTATGGGTCCGTTTATCCTATTTTGTTGAATTTGTTTTATAGTGGACTTAGGTATTTAATGTAAGGCTGGTTGAACTTCTATCCCAAAGTTGGGCCGCCCATAGATTAGTTAATATTTAAGTTAGACTTGTTTTAATTAGTTAGTTTGGACTTTGTATTTAATTAAGCACATATAGACCATATTGGGTTAGGCCTAGACTAATGTTTAGAGGTTAATTAGGTTTAGTTTTTAGGAGTACTAATACTTTATGTTGCTGAAGTTGAACAGAGACATCATTATCAAAAACCGTTATTTTTGTTTTTTCTCTCAAAAGAAGCCGTGTTCTTCTTTGAATGAATGCAAACAAATTTTCCTTAGTGATTAAGATTGTGAGTTCTACAAGATTAATTACACCAAGAATTTCAAATTTATTTTCAACAGTACTTAAAGATAAGTTCTTATTTTCTTGATTTAAATTCGTTTCTTTTTCTCTTCAAGAGTACTTGGGGATTTAGAATTTGACGAGTACTTTCATAATTGTATGTCCTCCGTTGGATTCTCCTTGTTGATTGCAAGATTACTTATTTAGTTAGCTAGGGTCTCATTAAGATAATTACATTTAATTAATCTTCCAATAGTATTAAATAGAAAATATTATGGTCTTATTCTTATATTTTACTATAGTATATAATAATGCACCTCCACTTTTAGGAATGCATTGTTTTATCTATATTGTTTATTTTCTTTATATTGTTATATCATTTTGTCAATTTTTTATTATTTCATCAATCAATTAATATATTGTTTTTGTATTTAATGAATTAAAATATAAAAGAAATCGATAAAAGGGTATAACAACGCAATAGGGGCAAAAAATATGGAGAAACAATATAAGGAGAAAATAGTAATTTTGTATAAAATATGCAGTGATATCATATCTATGCAAAAAGCATTATGCAAACCAGCTGTAACTTGGAGTAGCAGTACATATTCTTTTGGTGTGGGGACCACAAAACAATCTTCTCCTATTTGCCACTTTATGCCTCTCTTATTTATATACTTACTGAGACCAACTTAACATCATCACTGTCGATTTGGTTTTGGATTAGAGAGAATATAATAAACCAACAACCAAACAACAACTCCTGCCACTGGACCAATGCCGCATTCTATTTCTAGGTATTTTCTCTTGAAAAAAATATTGTCATGTATGTGACATTTGCTCATGGGAATACTTAGATTATTGAACTAAAAAAGGAAAGAAATGATGATTGTTCATTTTTGGCTTGAATTGGCAGTTGGAATCCTAAGAACTACCGAGTTCCTCGTAACTTGTTCACTCATGGAACGATTCATTAGCTTGATGGTTGTATTGATAACCAATTTTAGAATATCTAAATCCTGTTTTGGATAACTTAACTTGTTCTTATGATATAAGTTTAACCTTTCGGCTTGCCCACCGAAACCCAATACCGAGCTGCGCATATGGTTTTGTGGGAATGTTGGATCGTCCTTCAAATTACCATTAATTCATTCCTCTTAATCTTACAGAATCTAGCATTTCCCCACCTTTCAGAGGATTATTAGTCATCAATTCTATGAATCTGTCCGGTGTCTATCAACTAAACTATATTTTTCTCCTTACTTTAATGCTAAATTCTGTACAGTGAAAGGCTGCATCTTAAATTCTTGGAAAAAAAAAATATCAAATCAAATATGAGTAGTCAACACAAATTTAATTAATTATTTAAAATTGCTAAATATCTTATAATTATTTAATTAATTTATGTATTAAATGAATTAAAATTAAAACACGAATTTTTTTTTTTTGGCTAAAAATACAAGAGTGGGTTTATCCATTTGGCATTGAGAATCATTTAAAAATATAATATTAAAAGCTAGGTAGCTAAATATACAAAATAAGGCAATTATAAAATCCCGCCATTCAAAAAATGTAAATGAGAAAACCAGAATCCATCAACTCAAATCTGCAGATAGGAACCTTCGTCATCGCTTTCCTCTCCCTGCAATTTGCAACTCCAATAAATACCCTCCCTTTACTTCACTCTTCTTATATCTCCAAAAACTCTCTCTTCCATTTCCAAATTCGCTAGCGAATGGAAAACTTCAAACCAAGAAATCAAGTTTCCCATAACACCCAGTACGTTCATGATGGAAAGATAATGCTCTGTACAGGAATCATCCTCTTCACAGCGATATCCATCATGATTTGTTTCAACAGCCGCCGTCGCTGCCTACGTGAAAGCCAACTCTCGTCTTCCTCCAACACCGCCGCCACTGACAGTGTTGCTGCACAGGGTCTAGACCCGTCTACTTTAAAAAGTCTTCCCACTTTTGTTTATAGCGCGAAAACTCAGGACGCAGTGGTAGAATGCGCCGTTTGCTTATCGGAATTACAAGACGGCGATGAAGGACGAGTGTTGCCTAAGTGTAATCACGCCTTTCATATTTGTTGTATCGACATGTGGTTTCATTCTCACTCTAACTGTCCGCTCTGTAGAGCCCCGGTTCAATCAGGCAACGTTACTGAAATTTGTACCGAAAGAGTAACACCAGTACTCGAAAATGGCGGTATAGAGATGGAATCTGGACGGAAGAAAAGAGATGAGAGTGGTTGCTCTGCTTCATCATCGCCAGTCAGTTTATCTTTATCTACTCTAGAATGCCAGAGAAAGTCATTAGACCTGGTCACTATACTCGTGGAGGTACCCACAGCCACTGGGGAGCAAAGGCCCTAAAGGGTTGGACCTTTTGGTGGACATGGGCTTGGGTCGACCCAGACTTGAAAGTTCTAACTCTAGGTCACTGGTTGGTTCGGTTGTGTAAGTAAAAAAGGTGGATGATTTTGTAGGTAGCAAATGCAAGTCTCGTAAATTATTGGCTCGTTTCAGTAGAGTTGAGTATATATAACCATTATTATTTTTGAGCTACAAAAGATCGACCCCTAGTGTCATATTTTAACCAGTACAGTATGTCTACATTTACAGTTACAAGCACGATATCAATCATTCTAAAACTGCTACAAGAATTGCTCCAATTTCTATAATTCATAAAAATAAATAAATTTTTAGTTGCAAACACAATGGAATCGTTCTGTGCAACAAATATACCCAAGTGTTATTCAATTGATTGAAGAAATTTTCTATAAAAAGTAATAAAAATGCTCAATCTCAGTGGTAAAGTGCATATATATCCGTACAGTATGGTCTCACATTTACAGTTACAAGCAACGATAATTCAATCATTCTAAAAACCTGCTACAAGAATTGGCCTGCCAATTTCTTAATAATTCATAAAAATAAATAGAATTTTTAAGTTGCAAACACAATGGAATCGTTTCTTGGCAACAAAATTGATACCAGTGTTTATCAATTGATTGAAGAAATTTTTCTATAAGAAGGTATAAAAATTGCTCAAATCTCAGTGGGAAAGGTGCATATATATATATATAATATATATATATAATACATATATAAAATTTATGGTCCCAATCTTCAACGAATAGAAATTATCTCCTCACTAAATTTAATTCTAATTTTAGAACCCAAATATAACAGTTTGAATTTCTTATTTAAGACATGCAAAATTGAATCATTAATCACTACTCGACTTCCCTCAACCTTAAAACTGAAGAGAAACCCAGAGAAGAAAGGGAAAATGAATGCGAACTTACAAATTAAGAAATTGGTTTCTTCCTCTCTTCTGCTAGTCCTTAGCCTCATCACTCTCTTTTCCCCATAAGCAATTGCAGGCAGTATGTCCCTGGAAGTGGAGACAAGTATGCGCACTACCTCCCACGACAAAAAGCCAAAGAATGTCAAAGTAAGAAAGCTTTTAACTCAAAACCCAGCGAGTGAGGGAGCGAGTCTTAAGAGCAACTCGGTACTAAGCTTGTAAAGCTAGTGCTCCAGAAAGCAACGTACCACGTCTTTGTAATATGCAGCACAGTTCTTGGAAAACCTAAAACACTGGACTTTGCCGATTCAACAGGCGCTAAAGTCATTGAGCAGAAGGCAGTAATTCAAATGCTTCCCAGGAAACTAAGAAAACTCTATAACTGCTTTTGTCCAACAGATAATAGACGATACAGTGTCGCAACGGGGGTGAATGCAGCGGATTACCTAAAAGTTTACGGAATTCCCTGGCGCAGCTCTCTTCTCTAGTCCTTAGCCTCATCACTCTCTTTCCCCATCAAATTGCAGGCAGTAGTCTGGTGGAACAAGTATGCGAACACTCCCACGACAAAGCAAAATGTATAGAAAGCTTTAACTCAAACCCAGCGAGTGAGGGAGCGAGTCTAGAGCAACTCGGGGTACTAGCTTTAAAGCTAGCTGCTCAGAAAGCAACGTACACGTCTTTGTATATGCAGCACGTTCTTGGAAACCAAACACTGGACCTTGCGATTCAACAGGCGCTAAGTCATTGAGCAGAACAGTATTCAAATGCTTCCCAGGAACTAGAAAACTCTATAACTGCTTTGTCAACAGATAATAGACATACAGTGTCCACGTGGGTGAATGCAGCGATTACCAATATTGAATCCTGCGAGGGCAAGTTGAAGGAAAGTGGGAGCCCAGATTCTGTATTGTTGGCCAGGAATGCATTGTTCCACTTTTTGTGTGACAATGCCCTGGCCATCAACAAAATCTTGACCTCAGAGCACTAGAAATGCTCTGAATGTTAATTTTGTAACTTGTAAATTAATAATAATATCAGTCCAGGTGTTTTTTGGTATACTTGTGTGTGTTCGTGCAACAAACTTATTTTGTTGAAACTTCATAGCTAATATATATGTAGCAGCCACAACAAACTAACACAAACAAAGAAATAACAATAATTAGTTAACAATGAACTTAATTATGAGATAATAATATCATCCTCAGAACTAGAAAATGACAAGTTCAAATTTCTTAAATACATCTTAATTAACCAAAAAAAAGAAAAAACACTTACTAGGTATACGATATTTAGAAGATCCATAAGAGGAAGGCAGCCAATTCATCTATATATTTAAAAGTGAAATGCTACAAAAGTTTGGAATACTATTAATAATTGCTAAAGTGTTGGTAGGTTAGTTTGTCCATTCTGAGGATTATTGTACCTCTTCTATTATTGCACATGAAGTACTCAATCTTTTCCTCTCCTGTGTAAACCAAAATACTCTCTTCTCTGTGTTTTTTTTTTTTTGCTTCCAAAAATGTAATACTGTTATGATATATGCATTGCAAATGATTTATTTTAAATAAATCCTCATAAAATATAAGCGATAAATTGATTTCCAGTGAGCAAATTTTAATTTTGGTCTCCTTGTTTGTATTCAGACTCTTCTCAAGTCAAGTGGATCGATTTTGAACTTGAATTTCTGCAACAAAATAGGATTTTGGTGCTTTTCATTGATAATTTTATTGCTTTTTCTGCATATCGGCGACAAAGAAGAGAAAGAAGAAAATAATTGAGTTGTTAAGGGTATTTTTGTACAACAGCATTTTCTCTCGTCTGACTGACTGTGTCTTTTTCTTTGACTCATACTGAAAAATATAATAAAATAAACAAAACAACAAAACTATATGTAATGGAACAAACTATGAGGATATTATAATGTATTTTTTAAAATTTAGGAATAAACTAATAATTTGTGGTTAATTATAGAGATAAAATTATAATTTTTCCTAAATTTGAAAAATAGGAAAAAAAGCATGTGAAGACTGAAGTGTGAAGTAATTATCAGTTGTGGGGCTATTATTGAATTTGCCATGGGGACTCCAAAAACATCACTCACAGGCTTGCTGCATACATTGAAATTGGGTTTAGGCACAAGGAATGACCCATTAGGCAATTTCAAATTTCAACAACAAAAATAACAATTTATGTGACAAGACTTGGTCCAATTTCAATAATGGATCAAAAAAATAAATCTTTAGTTAATGACAGTAGAATCATTCAATGCACAAATATAAATAAATCTTACTATATTAATCAAAGAAATTTTCTATAAAGAGTACTAAAAATAGTCTCAAAGTCAGTGGTAGAGCATGTATGTATAAAAATATTCGTGGTGAGATCTTCAATGAATAAAAACCACAAAATATAATCTAATTTTAGACAAATTAACATTTGGGTTTCTTATTTAAGAACCCACAAATTAATCACTAAGCACTGCGCTACTCATTTCCTCAACCAAAACTAAGAGACCAGGGAAGAAAGGGAAAATGAAGCCAATTACAATTAGAAATTGCTTCTTCCTCTCTTCTCTAGTCCTTAGCCTCATCACCCTCTTTCCCCACCAAATTGCAGGCAGTGGTCTGGTGGAACAAGTATGCGAACACTCTCATAACAAAACAAAATGTATAGAAAGCTTTAACTCAAACCCAACGAGTGAGGGAGCGAGTTTAGAGCAACTTGGGGTACTAGCAATAAAGCTAGCTGTTCAGAACGCAACATACACGTCTTTGTATATGCAGCAGTTTCTTGGAAACCAAACATTGGACCCTGCTGTTCAACAGGCGGTAAGTCATTGCGCAGAGCAGTATTCGAATGCTTCCCAAGAACTAGAGGACTCTATTGATGCTTTGTCAACAGATGATAGACATACAGTGTTCACATGGGTGAGTGCAGCGATTACCAATATTGAATCCTGCGAGGACAAGTTGAAGGAAAGTGGAAGCCCAGATTCTGTATTGTTGGCCAGGAATGCCATGTTTCGTTTTTTGTGTGACAATGCCTTGGCCATCAACAAAATCTTGACCTCAAAGCATTAGAAATGCTCTAAATGTTAATTTTGTAATTTCAAATTAATATTAATCATACTTCTACGTGTTTTTTGGTATATTAATCATACTTATTTTATTGAAATTCGATAGATAATATACATGTACTAGCAACAGCAAAGTAACATAAACAAACAAAAAATAACAACAATGATGATAATAATTAGTTAACAGTGAACTTAATTATGAGATAATCATATCATCCTTAGAATTAGAAAGTAACACGCTCAAATTTCCTAAATACATCTTAATTAACCACAAAAGAAGAAACACTCTCTAGCTATATGATATTCAGAAGATCCATAGGAGGAAAGAAGCCAATTCAGCTTATATTCAAATGTTTTTCTTTTTCTTTTTAAAATTTTTAAAAGTGAAATGATATAAAAGTTTGGAATAGTACTATTAATAATTGCTAAACTGTTGGTTGGTTAGTTTGTCCTTTTTGAGGATTATTTTAACTCTTCTATTGCACATGAAGTGCTCATTTATTTCCTGTCCTATGTAAACCAAAATGCTCTCTTCTTTGTTTTGTTTTTTTCCCAAAAAATGTAATACTGCTATATACATTCTAAATGATTTTTTTTTTTTTTTAAATAAGTCCTATTAAGAATATATAAAAAAGGAAAAGAATATATATAGAATCATATTAAGAAACAAAAAGGAAAATTATTATTATTTTTTTTTTACAATTTGGTTAATTTAAAAGAATACATTTCGTATATCAAGCTGTATTTTTGCATATAGCTAGGCAGCTTGGTACTGCTTGGTTATTGTACATTACAGTCAAAACAATTACAAACATAAAATAAATAAATAAATAAATATCCTAATGAATAGTTTCTAGGCAGCCCTCAATCATACCAATCCACTAGAAAAAGGAACTCCTGCTTGAGGTATCCAATTATCCCCTAACAAGAAATTAGACACTGTAAAATTAGCAGCATCAGTAGAATTAATTACATGGTAACCTTCCCATGTAACCCTGTTTGTAGTATTAGCTCCTGCTCCAAAGTTATTATACTCTGCATAATACAGCGTGCTTAGTGCAAAATCTCCACTCCATATTTGCCAACCAGCAGGATTTATCAAACTGTCCATGAAGCTTTCCATATAAACAGTTCTTGAGTAATTCTTCCATGGCCTTCCAAGAAAAGTCTGGATTTTGGCATTGCTTGAAGCCAAATCATCAGCTGCTCTTATACTACAATTATGTATAGAAGTTCCTGTGTTTTGGTTCGGGTCGGTTCGGCCTTGTGCAGTGATAGCATTGAATTGTCCAGTCATTGGCAACCGCGGATACAAGTTGCAGTTTTGGAAAACGACAGCTGCGTTTCCAAATATGAAGTCCACTGTACCGTATATGTCGCACTCTCTGTAAAATTGTCTTAGAGAATGCGTATATAATGTGTCTTGATACCCTTCAAAACTACAACTGTAGAATGTGGATAAATCTGCTCCGCTTCGAAGTGCGACCGCCTGATGTTTTTCTGGTCCGGCGGTGTTCCGGATTGTTATGTTGACCGCCACGAAATTTGGTGCCACCACGGCTGCAATATTAGGTTAAAAAACTTTATATTAGAATTTTTAATTAAGGGATTAAAGACCACAAGCAGGTAACTTAATTATAATTAATTAAATTAGTTACCGAATGTTGCAGAGTTAAATGTTGTCCATCCATCAACAACACTGCGATTGCCAGTAATTATGGTTTGATTAATCCCATCACCAACCATCATCAAGTATTTCTTGTTCTTTGGGATTGACACGTACTCCTCATAAATACCGGCAGAGATAAATATCATAAAGTAGCCGTTGGAACCGTCAGTGTTGTTTGGAGCAGAAGCAACTGCATCGCTAATAGAAGTAAAGTCACCAGTTCCATTTTGGCTAACGGTCACAATGTCACTCACCAAAACTGCGCCGTCGTCTTGTGTTTGGAGGAGCTTTCTTCTGCTAACAGATTCGTAAATCGAACGGGTCCTGCTTGACATTTTTAATGGTAATCTTCCATTTTTGAACTTGGCTTGCTGGCTTGTCGGCTGCCATGTGAGACCTTTCTTCTTCCTTGGAACCCAACCTTTGGTGAATAAGGCTAAAGAAACACTATAAAGTTTTGTGTCATTAGACAAAGGAACTGAAAGACCATTTTTTATGCTCCAAGCAGAAGCTGTGGCTTGTAAACCATCTATACAGGTTTGTTGGTTTGTTAAAATGGCACTAAGCAAAGTCTGCACATCATCTGCTTTTAAAGAAGAAAGAGTTTTACTAGTGGTATTAACAGTTTGAAAAGCACTTAACAAGAAATCCATATTTAGACCAGCTAGCAATTTGCAATCTTCAAGAGCACGAATGGCAGGTGTAGTCAAAGAAGATCGACGGGAAAGATACTTATCGACTAATTTCAAGAATTTAAGAGATTGAGATAATGATTTGCGAACAGAAAATCGGCCATAGCCATAGACATTTGAAGTTTGGTTAGGGAGAATGGATTTACAGTAGGAAGGGTCAGGAGTGGACTTGCAGACAGTACCAGGAGAGAGAGTATTGTTTGGAGGAAAATCTGCTAAAGTTGCAGAGCTAAACAAAGCAAGAACAAGAAGAAAGAAGATGAAGGTTGAAGCCATTACAAGCTTGTAGGAATCGCTGGTTTTTGATGAGGAATTCGAGTAAGTGGATTTATAGGGAAGAGGTAAGAGGTATATTTGATTCGTGGTATTATTAATATTATTATTTTAATTAACATTATTCTTTTTTTGGGTAAAATAAATGAACTGGAACTATATATTTTGTGAAGTCAAGTTGGATGTCTTAATGAAAAAACGCGTATTTCTCATGCTTGAGTTTCAAAGATTTTGAGAATCCTAGTTGTTACTGAGATGCCCTTTATTTTATGAGTATTATTCATTGATTTTTTTTTTTTAATCTCTAATCATAAAAAATTCTACAACCAATAGCACAATTATTAATTAACTTGAATTTACAATTTGCATGAGCTCTTATTCCTTTTTCATATAATTTTTAAATTCAATTTTCTTTTAGCGAGTAAACAATCATATTAACTCAAGGAATAAAAATCCACTAAACAACTAAAGATAATTTTTAAATTCAAATTGGTGATAGTATTTAAATAATTTTTTTTTTTCATTTATTGAGTCTTTCAATTGATTGAAAGAATATCATAGACCGTAGATAATTTTTTTACCGATTTATTAAATTAATGAAAATTCGTATGATCACGGTGATAAAACGGTAAAATCTTTATATTTTAGAAATTTCTGATCCTATTAATAAAACCACGATATATTATTATATTTTCATTCCGTATATCTTATTCAAACGAGGCAAAGTGAAAAAGTAGAACATGCATTGTCGTTTTATAGCCTAAAGTTAAAGAACCAATAATTACTCAGTCGGAGATATTTATCAGTATGATAATGTCAATTCGAGGTATTCGAGATGTTTTGTATATTTCTAAATAGAGTCAAATGATAGGGTCCTTAGCTAATTTAATTAAAAATAGTGTAATATAGCTGGCAGGTCCGAGCCTCCTACGGTAAAAACCGACTATAACATGACAAAAATAATACCCAAAGTCAAAATTTTTAAAAAAGAAAAAGGAGCTAAATCCGATTTTTTAGTAATTAATTAAGTCGGTGGGATTAAAATTGATAACCCGTTTTTTGTAGTCATTGTCTAAAAGGGTATAAAGTAAATGAATTAATAATGTAAAGGGCATTTTTTTAATTAGCATCAAACGATGGTGACAGATGACTGACGGGGTTGGTAAAGAAGGATGGGATCCAAGATTTAATTTGTCTTGTTGGCATGGGAAATAAGGGTGTTTTAGTAAAAAATGCGACTAAAATTCACCATTCATTAGAAATTCCCACAACTTTTTAATTAAAATATATTTGCTTTAATACAAAGTCAATATCCAGACGTGGAGATTGGTTTGATGTTCCATTGTAAATACACACGTAAAGATATTATATGTCAAAAGATTGTTACTGATAAATTAATTAATTTTTTCGATTTTATATGTTATTTATAAATTTAATATTCGATCAAACATAATATTTTTAACAGTATTAAGAATTCACTTTAATTTTTCCATATATAATTAATAGGCGTAGCCAATTATACTTATTTTCCTTTTACTGAATATCTTTTTATTGGACGTAATTAGAATTTATCGAGCTTTTATATACGGATGATTATACAGAGAATAAAAATAATACAGTATTCTTAACTCAAGCAATTTGCATAGAATTGACTCCGAAATCTAGAAAGTTCTACCTAAACGTATATTCTCTAAGCTGTATGGCTCAAAAAACAGAGAAAACCAGAGACCTGAAAAATCAGCGCCGTATGCAACAAGGTAAAGAAGAAGAAAAGAGTTGGATCCCTTTTCTGCAACAAGTTGTGTTAAAACAAACTTAAACCCTAGACTTCAATTAACGCGGAAACATGTGCTTTGCAACTGGCGAGAGAGAGAGATGAAGAATTCGTCAACTCCTATAAATTGTCTCAACTTGTGCTAATTTAACCGCAGCAAACCAAACACATGTATGTATCCACAATAATATACGATGTTTCCTTTTCTAAGTACCAATTAATCTTAATTAATTAGTGTTCTGTGATCGTATTTTAGTTCGATCAATAGAATAATTTTATCGACGTCTCCCTATGAAAGTCAAAGTCATACTTCTTTGTTTCTTTCTTTTTTAGGTGTGATTGGAAGTTTGAATTCAAATAATATGGTAGGCCGTTAGATTTGTTTGGTTTTACAACTTTGAAATATAAATTTCGCTGCGTGGTATATAGCCACTCAGTATAAAAAAAAACGCTGAATGGCTTATTTGGTGTAGGTTTAACTGATTCATTGAACAACAGATTTCAATTTTTGAAGGCAGTAATTGAGATTGAAATCAAACTGACTTTAAGATTTTGGTTTCAATTTGGTTATAAAATCTATGGGAGGGACCGAAACTGTACGGTTGTCTTTTTATTTTATCTTTTTTTTTTTTTTTTTTTTTTTTTTGGGTGTGATTGGGAAGTTTGATTTCACAATAATATGGTAGGGCCCGTTAGATTTGATTTGGTTTTTAACAACTGTTGAATATAGAAATTTTTCGCACTGCGTGGTATAGTAGCCACTCAGTTAAAAAAAAGCCTGAAATAGGCTTATTTGGTGTAGGTTTAACTGATTCATTGAACAACAATTTCAATATTTTTTTGAAGGCAGTAATTGAGTATTGGAAATTCAAAACTGAACTTTAAGATTTTGGTTTCAATTTTGGTTATAAAATCTATGGGAGGAACCGAAACTGTACGGTTGTCTTTTTATTTTATCTTTTTCTTTTTTTTTTTTTTTTTTTTTTTTTTTAGTTCTTAATTCAAATCAAAGCATAAAAATAGCTAGATCTAATTTATCGATGGATATTTCTCAATTTAAGCAGTACCTTCAAACTCAATTTCTCTTTTGTCACAAATATTTGTAAAAATAGTATTTTTTTTCAAATACGATAAATATTTAAAAACGGTGAAAGTATATAATTAAATATGCCATCTGAATTAAGTAAGACTTATGGGTCAGATTTGACAATTTCATAACAATTATTTAAGATTGTCCATACCTAAAATATTTTGAAAATAAATAAAAATATCATGTTTATAACTCCACTATATAACTAAAATTATTAATAAACAATTTTTCCAAGTCAATTTCACATTACATGAAAAATAGCCAAAAAAGAATTATTTAAATTGTGAAATTTTGACTTCATTATGCATATGCGGTCTATAATATGACATTAATGGTTGTTTTATGTATTTATAGAAGTGAATAATATACAATTCAACAACGTGTCAATTAAGATCAGACAAGAAACTATTAATTTAAGGTATCTTCTTCCAAGCTAAATTTCCAACTTAAGTCCTAACCCACATTTCATTTTGGGTTTGGGTCATCATTTTTGAGTTGTTTTATAATATAGCATTGAATTATTATCCAGCGTTTGCAGAGCTCTTCTGTAGTAGTAATAAGAGAGGGAGACAGATCGTTGGACAAAGCATGGAGGGACAAATCATTTGGCGGTGCAGCCGTGTAGACCCGAGAGCTCCTAGGTTTATATCTGTTTGTACTTTAACCGGAGTTAGAGAGGGAGCAGTTGACTTGTTCTTTCTAAATTCTCAATCAGGGCCTTGGGTAGGCCCCAAAACCACATCATGCTGCTTCCTTCGGCCCATTCTGTCTGAATTTGATATAGTTGGACCCTGGAAATCCGAAACTCACTTGGGAAAGGGAAACCTTCAGTAAAGAATCTAAAGCTTCTATCCCAAAGGATAATAATAACAAAACTCGAACTGTGAAATTTCACTATTTTGTTTTTGACAGTGCCAAGTAATTTGACAGGACGTTTTTGTAGCGAAACTTGTCATTATCAAAGCACTCCACCGTTCACGCTAAACTACTCATTTGATTAATCCACCTCGCTTTCTTTCTTTCTTTCTTTTTTGATCTTGTTTAATCTGGATTTATTGTGTCAAAAATGAAAGTGTGGCTTCGAACCATTAGTACTACTGCTACTGGTACTGGTGCAGGCATACTTAATGCCTCCTTTCCCTTTGTTGTTGGGACAAATGACCAAAAACACATGCTCTTCATGGCTTCTGATGAGCGACAGATGCTGCGAAACATGGGTTTTCATTATTGCTCTGCCAAAATTAATTTGGCTCCTACGCTCTTCGGCATCTGCACGAGATTTTATGCCCTTCTATAATTTTTTTTTCAAATGTAGTTTTTATCGATGTCGTTTGAATTAAAATTTAACATTTTTTAATTTAATGGAAATAAAGAAAAAATTATATATATATCACCACGCTTAAAAAATATGCATATACGGAAGAAGAGAGATTTCGCCGAAGTGCAGGAAAAAAAAAAAAATTAAGAACGACTGACAAAATCTGTGAAATATGACCCGATAATCTAATAAGAATACACTAATAATCAACTAATAAAAGATTGCATCCGGTTGAAAACGACGAAAGGAATTTGATGTACAAGCTACTAAAGACAAAAATTGCGGCATGTTGTTGCTGTCCAGCCAAGCCAAACCAAACGATCTTCATCGTAGATTAATTAGATTCCGACATGTGCAAGTGCAAAACCAGTAGAGACCACAGCAATCATGCAATTGGGACCTTAACAATTATTGTTTTTATTGGACTCCACTTCAATTATTTGTTGACTTGGCACAATTTTTTCTTATTTAGATTGGATGTTTAACAAGTAAATCGCTAGTTACAGTGTTCTCTAAGCTGCTAATTGGCAGTTCTATCCGTTACCGTTATTAGATTTGATTTATGTAATTATTGCTCTGCACTTAATTAAAATAACCTCAATAGTACACACATATCCCTTGATGTGGAATGCGCATTAACTATGATAAATTGAACTGTAAATTCCGTTCCTGCTGAATTTCAAAAATTTTAAATTAAATCAAAGTAAAGCTTTTGGTCCAGTACTCGCTTTGCGTGCAATTTCCAAACCATAGCAACCACTTTCTCCCAGGACCAAAAGGCCACGAGCTTTCTTTTCATGCTGTCCTTTTAGCTTGTAAGAAACAAAAACAATACCACTATTTCTCCACAAAATTTGCCCTATTTAACTACTAACTCTGTCCTCTATCGTGTCTAACTTCAAATCTCTCTCTCAGACTTTTGCTCAAACACTTTGCAGTTTCAACGATGTATGTTCTTAAAGGAAGAATCAGAAAGTTGTTCTTCCTCTTGCCCATTTCAGCTCTTGTCTTAATCCTGCTAATTACAAATACATTACTTCTCAAAAACACCTCAAAACCACATTTACATGTCAATAAACATATCCAAATCGCTCATTCAGCCTGTGAAGGCACACTATACCCTCAACTTTGCGTTTCAACTCTCTCAACTCTTCCAGATCTCACTTCCAAGTCTATCCCGCAATTCATATCCGCAACCATAAACCAGACATTGTATGAGGTTAGTCTCTCCTCCTCCAATTGCAGCGGGATTAGAAATAAGTTTCGTAATCTAGACAAACTTGAAAGAGTAGCACTCAATGACTGTCTAGAGCTATTCAGCGAAACTATGGATGAACTTAAAGTAGCACTTAATGATTTATACTCAAGGAAATCAGCTTCCCAGCATTACCACGAATTGCAAACTCTGTTAAGCGCCGCCATGACGAACCAGTACACTTGCCTTGATGGGTTTGCTTATAGCGAAGGAAATGTGAGGAAAGTAATCAAGAGTAATCTTTATAACATATCTCATCATGTGAGTAACTCTCTAGTTATGCTAAAGAAAATCCCAGGCGTTAACATATCAAATAAGTCCGAGGTTTTTACCGGGCATGGCGACATCAAACACGGATTCCCGTCATGGCTGTCATCAAAAGATCGTAAACTGTTGCAGGCTCCTTTAAATGCAACAACATTTAATCTAATAGTTGCTAAAGATGGTTCTGGTAACTTCACTACTGTTAGTGAGGCAGTGGCCGCAGCTCCAAACTCTAGCAATGCAAGGTTAGCTATATACTTCATAATATAATTTATCATTTCCGGCCATCTATCGTATATATTAGAACATTTCATTATAATGTGTCTTTATCATATTAGGTTCGTGATATATATAAAGGCCGGAGCTTATTTTGAGAACGTGGATGTGCATAAGAAGAAGAACATGCTTATGTTCATCGGAGATGGGATTGGAAAGACAGTGATCAAAGCTAACAGGAGTGTTGTTGACGGATGGACTACTTTCCGGTCAGCAACTGTCGGTGAGTTCAATATTACCATTACTACTTGAGCTACTATAGATTTTTTTGTAGCCATTATTTTCTATATTTGATTTAATAATTTTTTTTGGGAGAATATGTTTTGGCACTTTCATGGTCTCGTGACATTAGACAGTAGACGATTCAGAAAGGGAACGTACCTCCTAGGAATTAGAACCGTGGACTAGTGACGTTACGGGCTACCGGTTGTTGGGCCCATTACATTTGCTTAAGTTGAGAACTTACTGATTGTATGACATTATTTCTGTAATTTTTAACTTTTAGCTTAATTAATTTTAAATCAAAAATTTTCTCTCTTTCAACATCATCTTTATAAGAAATTTGGAGGCTACATTTTTTATTTTACTTGTTCTGACTTGTTGTGCCGATAGAAATTTTAAAGGTTATAGCAAGTCTAGAAAAGACAGCTCACTGAGATTTAGGGTTTGTTAAGAAGTTTCATCTATTGTTCACTTAAATCAAGGCCCTTAACACTGGGAGAAGTTTATTAAACAGCTTTCCCGATGTGTGTCGGTGGTCATAGATAAGCACCCGCGATGCCTCGAATCCTCCTCACCGTGTTTTTTTGGATCATTGAAAAGCGTAATCCAATGATCTTGTCGGATAAAAGACTTGAGTCTTTTTCAACTTTTTTTCTTTTCTTTTTTTTTTCAATAAAAAATCTAATCAAATCATTTAAATAAATAATTATGGTTTAATTATCACTTGCAGCGGTAGTGGGTAACGGGTTCATAGCAAAAGGTATAACCTTTGAGAACTCAGCTGGCCCAAGCATGCACCAAGCAGTAGCCCTAAGGAGCGGTTCAGATCTCTCTGCTTTCTACCAATGCAGCTTCGTTGGCTATCAAGACACTCTCTATGTCCATTCGCTTCGTCAATTTTATCGCGAATGCGACGTCTATGGAACCATTGATTTCATTTTTGGCAATGCGGCTGTCGTTTTCCAAAACTGCAACTTATACGCCCGTCAACCAAACGAAAATCAGAAAAACATTGTCACTGCCCAAGGCAGAGAAGACCCTAACCAGAATACAGGAATTTCTATCCTGAACTGTAAGGTCGCTGCTGCAGCTGATTTAATCCCTGTAAAATCGTCGTTCAAGACGTACCTGGGCCGTCCATGGAAGGAATATTCTAGGACGGTTTATATTACATCATATATTGATGATTTGATTGATCCTGCTGGTTGGTTGGAATGGAATGGGGATTTTGCTTTGAAAACACTTTACTATGGAGAGTATATGAACAGAGGTCCTGGATCGAATACCAGTGGCAGAGTGACGTGGCCTGGTTATAGAGTCATCAACAACTCAGCTGAAGCTAGTCAGTTTGCAGTGGAGCCATTTATACAAGGAAGTGAATGGTTGAATGCTACTGGCGTTCCTTTCTCTCTTGGTTTGAATTGATCAATTAATTAATTACCATTGTTAATGGATTGATTATTGCTTATTAGAAATGTTTTGATTCCCTTTTGAACTTAAATTGTTGGCGATAAAAATTCTAATGATGAGGGAGCATTTATCTTTTCTTTTAATTGTTGAAATGCATATGATAAGATTTGGATTAGAGATTCATATGGCCCAGCATATTCATGAAACGGTCCCTAATTATAATTATGCAAAACTTTTTCGAGTTTAAATGAAAATATGAAATTCCAATTATTATACATCGTTCCAATTTGTTTGCCAGGTTTTACAAAACATGCATATTAAGGATTTAATCAATAAAAGTTATTTTACCTTTTTTTACCCTTAATAACTTATTAAGATACTAAAAATTCTTCATTCAATGAATAATTATAAATGTTATTATGGGAAAAATAATTGTTTAAATATTTAAATTTAAAAATTTTACAAATATTTTGAAACATTCAAAAATAGAATGACAAACAAATAAAATGGGAGTCAGGGAGTATTAAATATGAAGTACCCATGACGTGGATTAATTTCCCTTAATTAATTAATTATATGAAAGCAGTAAAGTTCAGAAGAGTTGCTTGTGAAAGAATGGGTTCTTCTGATTGGGCTTTATATGATAATAATAATTGTGGACTACGATTCATTTCATAAGCCCACTATTAATCAATGGAGGGTCCTGGGTTAGACATTAGCATGGGCCGAGCTGCTGCACGTTTGATGTACAGCCTTGTTCGGACTCAGCGTGAAAACCTGAAAACTTCCTGTCCAAAGCAGATAAAACTTTTTTTTTTTTTTGTTTGGGTGAGAAAAACAAATCAGCGATTAAAAAAATAAAATATATAATTAGGGCTTAGGTCCTAAGAGAGGGAAATGGTCCCAAAAGCCCAGATGAGAAATGATCAGTCCAACAATAATAATTAGGAATTCCTGCAACAAAAACCGCAAATCACGGGATGTATATAAACTATAAAATGATGATACTGCTGCGACCACATGCATCCTTCCTCTGCATAAACATTGTAACCCCTCAGAGGAGTGAATATGTGCAGTTTTGTTGGAGGAAGCTTTGTCCGTGATTAAAGATTTCAATCTTTTGCAGATTTTTCTTTTTCGTCTTTTTGACTCGTTTATTTACATTATTTGTCTTGATAAAATAAATGTAAGCATTGAAGAGGTTGCCACGAGAATATCAAAGCATGGAGAATTAATTAATTTGACGATTAGGCTTTTTTTTATTGATTATATTTTCATTTTGTCTGAATTTGACATTATTAATCTCTATGAGATAATTGATTTTAATGTTAAACGTTCTATGTCTTGATGAAATAAAAAAATTACTATAGCAACTGTGGAGTTATGAGCCAATGAGAAAAGAATGAAAAAACGGTGTCAGCTTTTGATTTGAAACTGCAAAATAAATGTCATTTACAGATGAGAGAAGCACAAAGAAAGAAGAAGAACATGAATGCATGCTTTTGCATGTGGCTTCATACCAGAGGAGCACATGATGATATGAGTACTGAGCAATTAACATGCTCTTCAGTCAAATCTGGCCCCATGCCCTTTTTCCATGTACTCTTCAATTTTTAATTCTCTTTTTCTTTTTTTTTACAAAAAAAAAAAAAAACCTTTATCCAAATCCAAATTATTTATCCATTTCAATAATGCATGTATCCCTGACCTTTGGCCACCTTTGTTTATTGCTTCTTTTCATTCTTTTGCTGCGCTGTATGCTTCAAATTCATTATAACTAAACTCCTTGCTTCAAGCAACATGGATTGGGTCCTCTTTGCTCCTCTTTATTAGTTCATTAGCAGCAACTATATCCATATATATTTAGCTTTTTGGATCAATACACAGCCTAATAATGCTGTGCTGTGCAGCATATGCAATGCCAAAAGCTCCAATCATTCAAAATACATACTATCGAAAAAGAAAATGCTCTCCTCACATGCATTTAAACCACTTATCATATACTATAGATCTTTCATAATTTTCCAATTATTATATTTTTGTATTGACACAAATTAAAATTCATAATTACTTTGTAACCCATTTAATTTATTAAATTACACGAGTTTTTTACCTTTATAAATCTATCGTATGTATGATATAGATTTCTGAGTGGATAACATAATGAATTTAAATTAAATTGCATTCAAAAACTTACAAATATTAGTTACATTTTTTATTACAATAACTCTAATATTATATTGAACTTTTATTTGATCTACATCACATTATTATTACTGGATTAATTCAAGGACCGCAAAGAACATGCAGGAACAAAATTATATGAACAGTAAGCAATTGGTTTTGCATATGGGAAGCAGTTGGTTTTATCTTCATTGGGGGATGACTACCAAAAGTTCTTCGCCTTTTCCTCTCTCTTGATTCAACTTCCTCCATCTTCATCTGCATGGGTTATCACTGACTCTTTTGTGACTCACTAAACTTACTAAAAATTCCTTAGATTTTTCTTATCAATCCCATGTTTGTGTTTGTCACCTTTCTCCGACAGAAATTCTGTGTTCAAGCATTCATCAACTTCATCGCATGTTTATGCTCATTGCCTTTTGTCTGACAGTTAAATCTGTTTTTTATAATAACTCAGCTCAAGTTGTGGGCAAGTGTAGTTGTTTTAAGCTTTGTTCCAAGGTAGTGGGAAAACAGTTAAGAATTACTGATTTTAGTGCATAATATCACATGTTAGTCACTTGTTTTAGTTAAACTAGTACTATTATAGTAATTAATTGATCTGAAGATTGAAGAATCTCATTTAATCCTAGCTCATTGTCAACAGTGAGCTTAGAGCCGTCCGATCAATTCTAAGATCAGCACCATTTATTGAGCTTGATGCTTAGCAGACGCAGAATAAATATGCTTCTCTCGTGCAGGCATAACATGATCATTGTCACATCTTTTTCATTGAACTATAGAAGTAACTTCAACTGGTTCCATACTAGACTGCCATTGACGCCGATAATGCCATAATTGTTAACCGAGCAGCAGTTACTGAATCAAAATTTCCAAGTGACTATCTTTCTTTGGTCATTAATGCCCTCATTGTCCTTGATTTGGGGGAAATTGGCATTACATAATTTCAGAAGGGTACTCAAAGTAAAAACCTACAAATTTACCCAATTACATGTGGGAGTTTCAATAGGTGATAACTCTTGACGTGGAGAGATCTCGAATTCGAAACCTTTTACTCTCGTCACATTGTGCAGCGGGTTTGAAGCTGGAAAAGCCTTATCATTCTGGCTAAGCCTCATTTACCTTGTATGATAAATTTGACGCATAAATGTTTGAGTTTGCAATTCTCTTTGTAGCTACGAGACAATTTCAGTATAGTTAACTTTTTCTATTTAAATTTGTAATTTGACAATGATTTATATTTCACCGATCATATTCATTGGTAGCCGCAGCTATTAATTACGATGGCGACAAACATACCATTGGTGAATTAATTAAAAGTAAAAAATAAAATCCACTAATTAAGGCTAAAAATAAATGTAAACAGAGGATTAAATTTGTTTTAACTAATGATGAGTAGTAGACGTTAACAGAAGAAAGCAATCAGCTTTTGCTTTATAAATACAGAGAAAGGAAGGTCTCTGTTCTCGCACTGCGGCTTGCAGGTTGGTTGGTTGTTGGTTGGTTTGGGTTGTTTTTACTTTGGGAAGACCAAAATGGCTTTCTTCTTCTCTCTTTCCCATTTCACACTGCTTCTTCTTCTCCTCCTCTCTTCTTCTTTGTTTCTCTGCCATGGCTTCCCTGTCCACCAGCACAACCCACTTCACCACCGCCACCACCCTCGTTTTGCCAGTCACAATTACAGAGACGCCCTCACCAAATCAATCCTCTTTTTTGAGGGCCAGAGGTCAGGCAGGCTCCCTTCAAACCAGAGGATGACTTGGAGGAGAAACTCTGGTCTTTCAGATGGCTCAGCCATGCATGTATATACATTGACTTGAAATCTCTCCTTTTTAATGTTTCTTTTCCTTTTTCTTTCTGGTTTAGTTGATTTGGTTTGGAAATGAAAATGCAGGTGGATTTGGTGGGTGGATACTATGATGCAGGGGACAATGTGAAGTTTGGTTTCCCAATGGCTTTCACTACTACAATGCTTTCATGGAGTGTGATTGAATTTGGTGGGCTTATGAAAGGAGAGTTGCAGAATGCTAAAGAAGCCATTCGTTGGGCTACTGATTACCTTCTCAAAGCTACTGCACATCCAGACACCATTTACGTTCAGGTTTGCGTTCTTAACTTTTGGATTTCTAGAGAATGAAGTTGTATGTCTCTGTTTTTCTGTTTCCTGAATAGGTTAAAGAAACGTCTTTCTTTTATCTTTTCAATCTTATGATTTTTGTTGCAGGTTGGAGATGCTAACAAGGACCATGCTTGTTGGGAAAGACCAGAAGACATGGATACCCCGAGAAGTGTCTTCAAAATAGACAGGAATTCTCCTGGTTCTGAAGTTGCTGCTGAAACTGCTGCAGCTCTTGCTGCTGCTTCTCTGGTGTTTAAGAAAGATGACCCAACTTACTCAAAGCTCCTGATCAGGAGGGCAATCAGGGTACTAAACTCTAGTCTAACTCTATTATTTTGAATTTAAAGTACTAATTGCTGTTTCAATCTTTTTGTAGGTGTTCCAATTTGCAGATAAGTACAGAGGAGCATACAGCAATGGACTAAAGAAATATGTTTGTCCTTTCTATTGTTCCTATTCTGGTTATGAGGTGAAGCTTACTAACTACCAATATTATCACTAAGCATTGCTTAATTTCATGAGATATGGGGTTTAATAAGCTTATTCTTGAATGTTATCTTAATAAATTGCAGGATGAACTATTATGGGGAGCCGCTTGGTTGCACAGGGCTACTAAGAACCCAGCTTACCTTAACTACATTCAAGTTAATGGACAAACTCTTGGAGCTGCAGAATTTGACAACACCTTTGGCTGGGACAACAAACATGTCGGAGCAAGAATTCTTCTCTCCAAGGTAAATTTTTTCAACAATTTTTCACTGTTTATATTTGTTCAAATGGTTTCTTGATGGTTAATTAATAGCGCAAGGCATGCTCTTTTTTATTTCAGGCATTTCTTGTTCAAAAAGTGCAGTCTCTCCATGACTATAAAGACCATGCAGATAATTTTATCTGTTCTCTAATTCCAGGGGCCCCATTCTCTTCAGCCCAATACACTCCAGGTCCCTCTCATTGTCTCTAAACTCTATTTTCTACCCTCTGTTTCAAATTTGTTGATTCTTTTTAACGGCTAGTTTTCGGTTTTCTTTGGTAATAATAATCAGGTGGGCTTCTGTTCAAGATGAGTGACAGTAACATGCAATATGTGACTTCTACTTCATTTTTGCTCTTAACCTATTCCAAGTACTTGATCTCTGCTCGTAAGGTTGTTAACTGCGGTGGAACTGTTGTTACTCCAAATAGGTTAAGAAACATTGCCAAGAAACAGGTACAAGAAATCAAACAAACCCTAATTAATAAAAAATAGTATGCTTTTAGTACAAAATTTCTTAATATTTATCATTTTTGTTGTTTTGAACTGTTGAATTTTGTTATTAGGTGGACTACCTGCTAGGTGACAACCCCTTGAAAATGTCCTACATGGTGGGATATGGTCCGAGATACCCACAGAGAATACACCACAGGGGATCATCTTTACCGTCGATTGCAGTACACCCAGCTAAGATCCAATGCTCAGCAGGATTCAGTGTGATGAACTCACAATCCCCAAATCCGAACATTCTTGTGGGTGCAGTAATAGGTGGACCAGACCAGCATGATAGGTTCCCAGATGAAAGATCAGACTATGAGCAGTCAGAGCCAGCCACTTATATTAATGCACCATTAGTAGGAGCATTGGCTTATCTTGCTCACTCATTTGGCCAGCTCTAAGTTCCCAACTCAATGGATTAGGCGTTGGGTTTCTCTCTCAATTTTTAGTTTTTTTTTTTTTTTTTTGTTTGTTTAGCTGGATGTGAGCCCCAATGGTTATATGGTTGGGGACCTAAGGCTGGAGCCCTCCGAACCATGAAGATGAGGCACATTGGTCAAAAGAAGTAGATTATTACCCTTGTTCATGTTTTGAATTTCACATTATTGTTAATTAACAGCCTTTAACCTATGGTGTGAGTGCAAGTGTCGTGCCAATTACGGCGTTTATGTATGTAAAGTATGATATGGCTAGTTGAAGCTTTTCACTGTGTTATTCCGTTTTGAAACTTGTGATATATCCATTAGAGAGTTTGTTGAAGATAAAAATAAAAAAATGAAAAAGTGAATTATATCCACTGTTGCATGCTACTGCCAAATCAAACTCCATTTTCGTTTTTACTTTATCTTAAACATCACCCATCCTAATTCACAAATAAAAATTTAAAAATAATAAGTCAGTTTATCTATTTAAATTATTAGATAAAATTGCAGCTTGTTTTTCTACCTAAAAATTTCTAGCTTTTTCAGCAAAATACAGATATTGAAATTACTCACCACTCTAATTAATAACTTACTGGTAGCTTTTATCATGAAATTGATAGGAAAAATATTTTATTAGAGTTTTTTTAGTTGACAAAATAATAAAATAAAAATATTTAATAACTCGATCGTTCACTCTAAATAATAGTTTGTAACAGTAACAAAAGTAATTAAAAAAGCGTTAATAATAAAAAATAAAAATAAAAATCTCGTTCAAAATTACAATTATATTCAAGCTTGTCAAAATATATATTATCGTTCGTAAACTTTCAAAGATTCATCGTAACTCTATATCCGTTCGATCATAATTATTATGTTTCATTTTTTTTTTCTCCCCTCTCTCTCTAACTCGGGATAAAGAAGGGCTGGACTACTGAACCAAGAAGAGAGTTAATAGGAAATAGGATGTCTTTATCCCAGAAACCAACAACTAAACTACAAAGAAACTACAAGGAAACGAATTTAAATAGGATGTCTTTATCGGGCAGTGTCAGTGGATAATGTCATAAATGAATATTTTACCGTTGGTGTGGAGAACGAGTAATTGACCGTTGGAAGAGAACGAGGAGTCAGGGGAACTTAAGGAGATCAAGAAAGAAATTTTATAGAAAGAGAGACACGTGATTGTTGTAGGTTTGCGACTGAGGCTCCTCTCTGGTCAAAAAAGCTGACTTGGTATTTTCAAACTTTTCAGTCGTGTCAGTAACTGTGACTTCGGCTTGGTTTGCTTTAACTTTGACAAGGGTCTGTATAAAGAAGGCTCCAGAGTCCCAATTCCAGACTGGACATTAGGGCATGAACCCTACCACCCAGATCACGCCCACCATTACTAGATCACAAAAACATTCTAATTTCAATAATTTATGTTAGACAATGTATAAATATAGACCTTCGTTCATTCCCATCGTTATAATATGGTGACAGCTTTTATTTCTCATATTAGCTTTTAAATTTATGCACTTCAAACAAGAAAGCTCATTGCAGATAACATGGACAATGTACCTGTTGCATAGCACAATAGCATGTTACACCTTATATAAGAAAGCTCAAGTTGCTCTCCAACTTGAATAAAGCAGCTAAATTTAGTTATGAAAGCAAGGATGCGTTATTTTCCTCCAAAGGTTCTGCTTTGCTTGAGAAAGCTTCATGCATAGATTTTCGTGTATAGATGACAGGCACAACAATGGACATTTATTTACGTACTACTGCCATTGAGTGTGAAGTTGCTGCCTCTGGTTCATACTTCATAGGATAAACAGTTGGATCAGCGATTCTGCAGCTTAATGTTGGTCATCAATTGCCAAAGGAACGGTTTTTGTCTGAAACAAAAAACATTTAAGGCTTCTGAAAAAACATTCAAACAGTACAAAAAATTTATACAGTATCATCAGATGTCACTGTTTGAGTGTGTACACACTTGTGCAGGAACAATATTATCTTAATATCAATCAGTTGCCGATTAGTTTCAGCCACAGATTTCATGTCACAATGTAGAAGGAAACACTAGCTAATAGCACAGCATTGAAAATTATAAATAGCATCAGGTCAAGTACTCACCAAATCTCGGAACTTCAGAATGTAGAACATCTCAAGATATCTTCGGGTCTCAAGCCTGTCAAGCTTGGAAACATACTTCCAGAAACTATAAACCCCAGCCAATGTCAATAGCCTCTCAGAATAAATCTTCCACGTGTACCTATTCAAAGATATGAGTGAGCCTCACAAAACCAGTAGAAGATAAATCTCAAGTTATTATATAGATTGCTAACCTTTCATAAATCCTCTGCAGCCCTCCATCAGAGATTTTATTCCAATGGATTGGATCTTCCTTGCACTTCTGAAAGAAATCTGCCAAAAGTGCAGCAGCCTGATCAGGGTGATATGGATCAATGTGGAATCCCGATATACCATGCTCAATAATCTCGGCAGGACCACCATGGCAAGTGGCGAATGTTGGGAGGCCACAAGTCATGGCCTCCACAACAGTCAGCCCAAAAGCTTCATAAAATGCAGGCTGCACAGAGAAAGGAAAAACAAGAAGAATTAAGGGCATCAAGTGCTTTACAAATCTTCGGTGCAATAGCAAATTACAATAAAATCATATACCTGCACAAAAACTCCTTTTGTGTCAGCTATGTAACGATAGAGTTCACCATTACGTGCTCGATTCGTTTGGGCTGTTATCCATCGAAATTGCCCATCCAAGTTGTACTTTTTCACAAGTTCATGCATCTTCTCAATTTCAGCAATTTCTTCCCTGTCTTTGGACTTGTTCACATCAATGTAACCAGCTACCACAACAAGGTTCGCCAGCTCCCTCAGTTTGGTATTCTTACCATACATCTCTACCAACCCAGTCATGTTTTTTACCCGATCCAGCCTAGCCATCGAAAAAATTAACGGCTTTGACTTATCTTTCAGTGTACCTCTGCAAAGATATAAAGGAAATATCAGATTGATAAACTGTATCCTAGAGATTTGATGTCTTATTCCAGATTTCCAACCATATTCTTAGATATGGTGCTTGAAACTTGAATCGGCAACTCAAATTCTTACAATTAGAAACAATATTGTAATATCAATCATAATGGTTATTTGCTTGCTAATATGTATCATAAACGTTAATCTATGGGGTATTCAAACTATAGAATAAATAAGAGACTCACATCCACTCATCAGTCTGCCCAGGATCATACAACATCTTCTCTATGGAACCATGTAGGGCTGTAAGCCTTTTTTGCTTTTCAGAATATGGGAAGTAGATGGACATATCTGCCCCAGGAGAGACAATATTGAACTTGGGATCAAAGACATCAATTCCATGAACAACTCGATATAATCCGGGGAGAGTGAAAGCAGTGTGACTTTCATACTGACCAACAGTATTCTTCCTGTGGAAAGAGCATGCAAGTTAAGCAGTTGATATAAAAAGCATTACTTAATCAGGCATCTACCAAATTGATCAAGTTGCATGAGCAATTTCATCAAGTTTAATTTCCAAATGCATCAGAATGTATATTCTCACAAGGAAGGCAGACCTTATGTTAAATTAGTACCACAGTCTTGCACGAGACAGCATAATAATCACTAATCCAAGGGGGCCCTATTAATGGATTACAACCATACTGAATCGAGAGTACAAAAATGAAATGCCTTCCTCGGATTCTGTAACTTTCAAGTGCATCTAAAAATATTATAGTATATTACCACAAATGTTGGTTGACCAAAGGCTCAGAGTAAAATTTCAAATGCAATAATAAGATCAAGTTAACATCAGAGACCTCCAATATAACCCTGAACCCCTAGCACAGCAAACAGATAACAACATAAAAATCATACAGCATATGGAACCCCATGACTGTCATCCATAAAGTGCAAGTTATCAGAACATCACTTCATGGCACATTCTTCCTACTTCCACTTTTATTCTTTTGCCATTCTTTTAAAGATAGTCAATAGGTCACAAACTACAGCTTCGATTCCTTTGGTTTTTCTAGCATTATTTTCACATCGAAAAACTAAAACTCCAAAGATTTTATAATAAAATCAGATCTATAATAGTCATCATGCCTGATCTTAAAAAAATTTTACAACACCTACAAATTAAAAGAGGAGAGCAAACTTACGTTCCTGCAATTTCTTGGTAAGTACTAGTGATTATAAAATCTGCATTGTTCATGGCTAATATGTCAGCAGTGAATTGACAAGAGAAGTGATATTTATCATCAAATTTTTTCCAATATATATCTGAATCTGGATATTTTGTTTTCTCCAAGGCATGCGCGATGGTACACTGCACAGCCAAAAGTTTAAAAAGTAAATCTTCCCTGAACCTGAAACTTGCATAGGAACAATATCAATAACTAGCCCTAACCTGTGTAACACCCATTTTATAGGCCAATAAAGATGCAACAAGATTCCCATCACTGTAGTTCCCTATTATAAAATCAGGAACGGCCTGTAACTCGGCTACAATTTCACTTGCCACATCCTGAAAGGTTTGAAGCAAAAGTTTCAGCGTGAAAAAGGAAAATCAATAAATACAAAATAATGTTAACTTTATATTTAACCTAAATTCATGATACAGAGCTAAAACAAACAATAAAGGCTTGAGTTAATGGTGTAATGATACAAGACTTTTAAGGAGTGAGTAGCATGACAAAGATAAAGGAACACCAGCAGCCAGTAGTAGCAGGTCTTTCAAGAGGTGAGAATAGTTAAATTTTTATCATGTTCCCATTTAGTCCCCACAATATATTTTGGTAACATATGTAGTGATTATCATGGTAATTATAAGAGAACTGTTCTACGTGGACAGAAAGGCATAAGAGGCAGCGACACAACTATCATAGATACTACTGATGGAGAACCTCTCTTACCTTGAAAAATTTGTAGAAACTTATGGTTTAGCTGATAAGAATAGCAAGATCTATAGTATCTAGTGTGAATTATTGACTGCCCTGTCCCATTGCTTTGGCCAACCGTAAGTACCATCAAGAGCAGGTTTATTCATTCCTATATTCTTAAAAAAAGAGTTTGTAGATGCTGATAGATGTAAAAGAACAGTAAAAATTATTGCTATTACAGTCATTATTTTTCAACAGAAGTTCCAAAGCTATTGCTTGTACACATGATCCAACCCGTACAATTAGTATGCATCGACAGTAATAATTAGACATCCAAACATGAACTTATGTCCTACCTCAGCAAAGTTCTCCAGATAAGGCCACACATCAAATCTTGAGATCCATTTTCGAAGAATTCCTTTCTCTGATCTGAAAGGAACTCTCAGAATATGCGTGTATTCTGTTCCACTGACTCTTTCCAACCTCTGGTTGCATGAAGTTCCTTTTGCATCAGGTATTAATCTGGTCACCTTGAAGAATGAATGAAAAATGCATTTTAGAGAGAAGCAATCAACATTGATCAAAATTTTGAAAATTGAAGAAACTGACTTAAGAGAAGAATAAATATACTCACAATAAGTATCCTAGGCTTGAAATCCAGGCCTTGTTTCTGTATTCTAAGAAGCATTTCACTCTCTAGGGCACGTACTTGATCTAGTATATAAACAACCTGCAAATTAATTAGAAAATATTTATTAAAAAGAAGTGTTAAAAGACCACTGCAGGCCAAAGAGGTTGTTAACAAAAATATCCTTGTTTAGTGTTTACAGTATTCTGCTAGTATTTTGGGTCACAAGAAATGAAATTGAAAAGCACCTGCCCACCAGTGTCAGGCAAACCTAGAACATTTGCTTGCCCAAAGTATCCATGTGGAGACAAAATAACAACATTAAACACCATCGGTATTCTCCCAAGGAAGGTTTCTAAAGTTGACGGATCAGGAGCTTGCAAGATGTCCAAGAGAAGATGCATTGTCTCCAGTACACGCGCTGCAGTATTGCCCCAACCTCTCTCAAAACCCAATCCTTGTAATCTAAAAATCAAATTAAAAGTGAAAAACATGAAACACAAAAGAATATTGTTCTGTAACCGTACCACATTTTTAACCTTCAAGAGACCAAAAGTTTTATGCAAAGAAACTTACGCATACTCAAACTCAGAATATGGTGCATCAGGTGGAAGCTTAGAAATATATTCTTCTGCCTTAACAAGGGCAGATTGAAGTCTTGATATGCTCTGTATCCTATCATTCAACATCAAGGGCTGCAAAAAATCCAATTCAATCATTCAACCCCAAATACCATTTCAATCATCTCTCTTCCAAATATGCAAAATCATGCCCTTTCAGTGGCAAAAAGATAAAAAATCTAAATTTGCAGTTGTAGTCAAGGCTTCATAAATTCATGTCTAACAAGATTGAATTGAATCTTTACAAATGAAAACACTCCAAAAAGTTAGTTGCCTTCACGAAAACTTACATGCCCTTTATATTTATGTGCTCGAAGGAAATTATTTAAAGGCTCCAGACAGTCCTTGTTCCTAAACATGATTGAAGAGAGATGGCGATTGAGGAATTGAACACCATTGCCAATCGATGAAGACCGGTTGGGGCGAGGAACATCAGCATTGAATGGCTCAAAATCAAGTTCAAGTACATAGGGATCATTGGACCTAAAGAAACATTTGGTAAGTAACAAAAAGTAATCTATATAAAGAATCAAAAGGTTAAAGGCTGCTATACATATTAGTGGATGATGAGAAAAATTTCAAGGAAGAGCGGAGTTGCTTACGGCCCGTCTACAAGTTCTTCTTTGAAGCGAAGATATTCAGAAACACTCAATTGCTCCACACTAAGTTGAAAGACATTGACGCGGACATATTCCCAGACACCAGGCCTTGGACGAATGGCTATTGCCACAAAAGGAGGGACAACTATAGCTTCCTATCACCAACATACCAGTAAGACCAAAATCAAGATATGATATAATTTGCAAAAAACATAAAGGCCATATTTGTTGGGTTCAGCACACAAAATCATAGAAAAGCACCAGATTTAAGTGGTAAAATCCAAAAGTGCTAAGTGCATTTTTTCTTCAGTAAAACAAAATAAAAAAGTAATTAAAACAAGTTCTGCCCTTTTTGGGCATATAACTATAACCTTGGCAGGATAATAAAATATAAAAAGCTATTCTGCCATGCTTTTGTTAATTCAAATAAATAAATAAATACAGGATTATGAACACATACACAATTGAGGGAATGTAACATCATAAATTATCCTGTAAACAATGCAGGGTCATATTTAAAACATAACCATTCGTTGCAAAAAGTTTAGCGATCTGATTCTCAATTTCTCACGAAGTAAAGAAAAAAAAAAAAAAAAAAAAAAATTACAAAGAACGTTAAATTAAAACTCACTTGAGCAGATTTAAGTGCTTCGCCAAAGGGACCATCTCTTAGCCCCAGCCTTGTTCCGTCCTCGCCCACAACACTATCCAGTTCATCGATCAAAGTGTGTGGCTGCAAAATTCCTTTCCCTTGATCCACATACCTTCAAATCCCAAAATAACTATCACTGATAAATAAAAACTCCTACTCTACTTCTACTTAAATTCACTTCCATCCCACAACTAATACACTGAATAGATAGCAGTTCAATAATAATGCTAAAAAAGAAAATCTGTCTTCTCAAGAACCAAACAGGGGAAAAAAAGGAACAGAGTAAGAAACCTGCAGAGAAGAGAAACAAGTTCATTTCGGTGAGCAGAGAGAGTATCTTCTACGCGCTCTCTCATGCTAGGGATTCGGCCTAACTTGGGATTAGCCATGATCAAATTTCAACAACAAAAAAAATAATAAGAAGAAAAAGAAAAAAAACTGTTATTTGCTTTGCAAGTGAACTTTCTGGTGTTTGCAAATGATAAAGAAAGAAGGGAAATTGGTGATGACCTGTTGGAAGAAAGAAGAAAGTGGCTAATTTATAGGAAAAGGAAAAACAGAGTACTATAATTGCGTGTCTGAAGTTTTGAAGTGTTGGAAAGCGACTATAGGAAAAGCGACAAAACCTTTGACAATGACTTTTACGAAGTGGCAGCCCTTGCCCTGCCCTGCACCAGGAGATGGAAAAACCAGGGACCCCAACGGCCAATACCCAGCTGCGGTTTTGTTTTGTGATCATTTTTAGCTTTTTCTTGGCTTTCTTTATTGCAAATTTGCAATCAAGATTAGATCACCAATTATCCGAAAGCAAATGTCAAAAAAAAAAACCAATTATCCTAAAGCAAAGTTACAATCTTTCAACAGAAGAATTAAGGGAAAATAATTATTTGGTGCGCGAGGTTTTTTAAAATTAATTAATTCATTTTCATATTTTTATATATTAAATATTTAATTTTTGAAGTTTGATTCTGTCACGTTAAATGGTCATTTTGTTTAATTTTAATATTTTTACAGTTAAAATATTTAGTAAAAGATTAAAATAGATATTCAAGGACAAAATCATTAAAATTAAAGGAAAGAACCACTTACTAGGATGGAACCAAATCTCAAAAATTAAATGCTTAATATAAAAAATATAAATTAATTTTATAAAACCTTTAGACCCAATAATTATTTTCCCGAGAATTAATTGTCGGAAAGAAACAATTTTTTTATGTCCAGGTAAGCGTTTAGTATGGTTAATTTATTATGGATAAATGGACTATGTGCAGGAGGACGCGTGTCTGCTTTGAACCAATGGCTTCTTGCCAAATTATTCTTACTTTTTTTCTCCTCAGGAATTTTATATTGAAGCTAATGTCAGCACTTGAAAAGGATAGAAAGCAGCTGCGCATTGTCAATATAAATATACTGTTTAGGATAAACCCAGGGAAAAATGTGAATCAATATTTATTTTCGTGGCTCAGACTGTGTCTTTTAAATACATTAAAAAAATATGGAGTAATGACTATGTAGTCCCTAATTCTTTCCTTTTCCAACGCTTTTGAAACTGTTCTCTTTGGATGCTTTTAGAGTGATTATTTCATGGATTTGTTTTGGTATTTCGATAGCCCGCTGTTCTTTCAAGTTGATTACAAATATTCATTCCTTACTGCTTCTTTATGATATGCCTTGAATAAACCGCTTCTACTTGCTGCTACAAGTACTATTTATAAAGCAGTTTTGCTTATCTAATCCAAAAAGCCATTGATAGGCCATAGGAAACTAAAGATAAACTTGTTTTCCCAATAAAATTTTCTGTTCTTATCTAAATTATGGGCCCATCTATTTGTTGTTTCTAGAACCTCATTCCCTTTGTCCCTTCGCCTATTGTTTTAGATTTTTACTTCCTCGTTCTAAGCCAAGCCATTCAGACCCATAGTTAGGCCAAACTCCAAAGTCTCTTTCATGGACATTGGAATTTAAAGCAATGGAAATTGACATCCTACATAGAACAATAATAATGGATGTGCAAAGCGACACAGCGAAACGGATATCATTTTTTGTTCAAAATGTTACGAGAAAATGTGGAGCGGTTCATGCTCTCCATTGAACAAGACAAAGTTAAAACCATACTGTGTTTTGCCTAATGGGCTCAATTTTTTAAATTAGAAGCCCATTGCATGGGTGGTTTCATTTTGGCCTTGCATGGGAAGTGGTTATGCCTTTCGTTTCTTCCCTATCAATAAGGAGTGGGTGGTAACCAAGCAGGAGAAATAGCATGAGTTTTCCATATATGATCGCCTAAATAATAGTGCTAAATTTAAACAATCCATCGAAGAAAAAAAGAGGAGCACCAAGTCTACTTTCTATTAGATTACTATAGATAGATTCAAAAAAGGTATAAATACATGAGATTTTGCAAACATTAGCAAAGTAAAAACAAATAAAAGTAGTTGTTTGGATACTTAAATCACCATGGCCAGCACAGGAAAATTCGAGATTAAGGCTATAATTGTGCTAGTCTTAGCTTTCTTTTCTTGTCTGGCCAATGGTGCATTCAGCCACACCGCTGTGGGTCTCCGTAATCGTCGTGCCCTTAGAGAAACGAGTGACGCCGCAGTTACAGTTTTTGACGTCACAGAACATGGTGCTAAGGCAGACGATAAAATGAACAATGCAATGGTAAGACATATCAGAACTTCAAACTCTAACAGAGTTTTCAATGTAGCTATATCTTATATTAAGCACTAACGGTAGAAATGTGATGTAGCCATTTATACAAACGTGGAAGGCAGCTTGCGAATCCACTGCTCCTGCAAAAGTTGTTATTCCAGCTGGAACATTTTTGACAGGCCCTGCTGTATTTCAAGGGCCATGCGCAGGGCCTGTGATTTTTGAGGTGCAAGGGTAGGCTAGCACTGATCTTAGCGAATATACTTCAACAGAATGGATGTCCTTTGAATATATCGACGGTTTAACTCTGACTGGTAAAGGAACTTTCGACGGCCAAGGACCTGTCGTTTGGCAATACAACGACTGCAAAACCAACGAGGATTGCCAGAAGCTTCCCGCTGTAACCATCTAATTAATCAATTATGTTCTTGTTTTTAATTATATATAGTATTGAAATGATTTTTTCATTTTTTTGGGATATTGTTTTAGTCGCTTAAGTTCCATAAAGTGAACAATTCAGAAGTTTCTGAGATCACCTCCCTCAATAGCATGTTCTTCCACTACCATATTGTAAAATGTCAGAATATTTCCTTCCACCATCTCACCATAACTGCTCCAGACGCGAGTCCGAACACTGATGGCATGCATATAAGCAGTTCTAGTTTTATCAGTGTCACTAACAGTATGATTGGAACTGGTGATGATTGCGTTTCAATCAGAGACAGAACCACAAATCTTATAGTTTCCCAAGTTACTTGTGGCCCGGGACATGGCATCAGGTAATCAACTTTTTCTTTAAACATTTTCTATTCTTTGGTACTTTCCATTTTTAAGAATAATATTATGAAATTTTCAATTTCTCTTTTTTTTTTTTGGTCATTTCAGTTTAGTGTTGGAAGCCTTGGCAAATATCCTAAAGAGGAGGATGTGAGCGGGATTGTTGTGAGTAATTGTACATTTTCAAACACTACAAATGGTGCCAGAATCAAAACATATTCCGAATCAGATCCCAGCAACGCTTATGGCATCGTTTACCAAGATATTATCATGAACCATGTAAAGAACCCGATTATCATAGATCAGAAATATGGTATCACAGATAAGGAGGTAATTAATTTGGAAATCTTATCAATAAAAAGATGAATTCTTATGGTAACATTTATTTAAAGTGTTGTACAATATTATGTAGGCGCAACCATCTAATTCTAAGGTGAAGGTTAGTGATGGTCATTTCAGAAACATTAAGGGTACATCAGTTTCAGCTGTAGCAGTAGATTTACAATGCAGCTCGGCATTTCCTTGTGAAGGAGTAGAACTTTTTGATATAGATTTGACCTATATAGGCGATACACCTTCAACTGAATCTGCTTCATGTTCCAATGCCAAAGTGACCTGTGACGGTAAACAAAATCTAGCAATTACTTGCACTTAATGTGTATATATATTTGGATTGTTTTTACTTACTCTTTACTTTCCAATTTTGAGCTTACAAAATTCATTTTATGTGTAAGCAACAACCTGAGACCTTATTTTACGCCATTGCGTGACCTGCTTCATTGTAAGGTTGTTGCAGGCTGCTAATTGCAGTGTAATTTTTTTGTATGATCGTGTAAGCTGGAAAGGATATCTTATGGTAGTATGATTATTGTCATATTGAAATAACTTAACGGAGACTAATGAGATAAAATAATATTATGAGCTACTCGGCATTTTACTTTAAATAATATTTACTAAATTAGTGAAAGTTAAAGTATTGGAAAAAACCGGAATCCACTCTCTATGTCCTTATAAAGATTGAAAAGACTTATTAATTAATTTTAACATGCAATTTAGATATAAATTTCAAATCCAGTTAACAAAAAGAAGATAACTTCAACTACTACAATTAGCTTATCTTTATGTTTGTTCCAATGGGAAGGTGTTTAGGTCTACGCTTTAGTACATGCGTACATAGATAATAATTGGACCAGGCCTCGTTTAAGTTATTAATGGAAATTCGTAAGCTAGTATGCACATAGTTTTTTTTATTATTATTATTGAAAAGGAGAGGTAAGCTCTAAAGATTAGAAACAAAGTCTAGGGTGCTGCAATACCATACAAATCATGGTTTAGCCGCGATATCAAGCTTAACGGAGGTTGAGACAAGAGATGCGCTCCTAGGGAAAAATTTCTACCATACTTAGAAAGGTAGCCAGGACTATAATTAACCTCTCTATAGACATAGCTAATAACACAATTTCAATAACCTTGGATAATATTATTTATAGCCAGAATAAGTTGTTGGACACCTCCAATTGAAGCCATCTTGCCTTGTATAAGCTGAACTACTGCTTCATTATGATATTCCAGCTTGATATGGGAGATTCCCATCTGTTTGGCGATCTTAAGTCCTTGGAAGATAGCCCATAACTCTGCATTAGGTACAAAGCATGTCCCAATGACAATTACGAAGCCGTTAATCCATTGTCCTGAGCTGTCTCTAATAAGGCCCCCTCCAAACGCAATTTGCTTCACCGAATAACCATCTGTGTTCAATTTGAAGAAGGGATCAAGAAGGGATCATAATTTTTTTTTATCACGTGTTGTCTTAATTGTAAAATCCACGTCACGATAGGAATAAATAAACTCAATTAAAAATCTTTGGATACCTTACAAATTCTAAGTTTTGGTATGCAATTGTGAGAAAAACAAAGAAAACTTCTTGCAAAATGGTTCTCCTCAAAGTTCTATTTGATGTGGCGAATAGTCGGGGGAAAAAAACAGAACTTTTCCGGACCAATCAAAGTTAAAACGGTAGATACTAAGAGAATAAGCGACAGTATCTTTAGATTAAGTGGTTACTCCATTGCAGAAAAGATACAAGAAGGCTAAGCTAGTCACGCAGTAAACAAGGGCTCATAATTGCTTTGATGGCTGGAAAAGGTAGAGATCATCAGTGCAAGCAGATTGTAATTGTCGTTTTGGAAGGAGAAAAGGTCGTTTTGGGTGAGAATACTGGACTGACTCCACTTTGCAGGGCTTTGCGTGATGTGGTTAATCCTGAAGATGAAATTATTGTTCTGACACTTCTTCATGTAAAGATTACAACATCTGAGGCATCTTCAGTTTCAGGTCACTGTAATCAGTCATGCGATCAAGCAGATCCATATATCAGGTTCCTTCACGAAGAGATCAGCCTGAGGAAAGATGTTTTTTTAAGGATTTTCCGACCTTTTTACAATAAATGCAAAAGCAATGAAGTAAGTCCTTTATACTCTTAAGGGTTATAGATTGTTAGGATTTGTTTCTCCTAATTTCCCATATTATGAAACAAAGTACCAACCATCAAGTACTAGAAAAATTGCAGTAATAATCCTTTTTTCTGTAATTTTGTTGTAGGATTATATTTTGTACATCTGCTTTTGTTACAGGTGAAATTCCAGGTGAAGGTTGCTGCAGGCTTCCGACCAAAGGATATCATAGTTGAGGAGGCAAACAATGTTAGAGCCAATTGGATTGTAATGGATAGGTCAGTTCATCTCCAAGGTACCCTAATATTTTTTAAAAGTTTTATAAACAATAAATTAACAGGGTTTGAAATTCCTGATCTCTTATTCTACGAAGTACACACTTTACAGAGCTAATAGCCTAATGTGAGAAGCCATGGAACTACAAAAACAATGAGCAGTGACGATTAGATTCCAAAATTTGAAGAAATTAATTTAATTCTTTGGTGTTTTTAGGTGCTTTTCTAAACACTTGACCTTTCGGCTGAGTGGCACAGATTGCAACATATCATTAGTGAGTGACGACGAAGCTGTTTTCTGTAGTTGCTTGACAACAAATGAAGCTCCGGAAAGTTCATCAAAATCCCCTAAGCTGAGAAAGGGATCAATATCAGTAGAAGAAGCATCTACTAGTAATTGCCACCCACAATCAAAAGTACTTGATAGTAACGAAACCCGACCTTGTCTTTCACCTCGTCCCGCAAGTACCCGTAAAGAAAGCGAAAATCAAATTTTATCTGCTCCAACACCGAGTGCGACTCTTCCTGCAACTACATGTAAACGAAGTGAAATTCAAATTTTATCTGGTCCAACAGAGTCTACGGCTATCCCTCTCCAACAGAAAAAACGGGATATCTCGAAAAGGGCCAACAATTTCTCAGGTCAGCCATTGCAGCTAACCTGGGAAGTTGTTATGGACATAACACAAGGTTTTAAATCAAGAACTTGTCTTAATGGCCAGGATAGGAATTGTATGACCTATTATGGGTACTTAGAAGACACTCAATCATTTGTTTTGGTAAAGAGATTCAACCAAAATTGTAACAGCATTCTAGAAGCTGAAAGGAAGGCAGCCCTGTCCTTGCAACACAAGAACATTCTGACTTTGACAGGTTACTTCAGAAATGAACATAACATAATCCTAGTTTTTCCTCTCATAATTGAAGGCACATTAGACAAACACCTTTGTGGTGAGTTCTAGACGACATGTCTTTTTTAAGACTGTCAACATTTTTTTTTCAAAAAACTTAGTTCATTTTTTTGGACAGACTTGGGTAGAAAACATTGGAAACTGACATTTCAAGACAAATTGAAGATAGCAATAGGGATTGCCTATGGAGTCCGATACATGCATGAAGAATGCCCTCGAGGCCCCATTGTCCACGGCGAATTGCAACCCACTAACATTTTCCTGACATCCGATATGCAGCCAATGGTGAAAATCGCTAAACCTAATTTCTTGCAAGACTTAAAAATTTTTTCAGTCCAACATTAATAACATGTATGTTTTTCAATTTACTCCAACTTATGGTTGCAATAGATCTCTGGGTTTGAGCATGCCACATGGCTTCAGTTTAAACAAGAGTCTCCGGCCTTCAATAACAGGTTTGCACTTCTTCTATACATCATAAAAGTGATAACCCTGTTCATAAATTCCAATCCGAGTTTAAAAGAGTTAACTTTTGTTTGTCCTAAAGGTATCGGCTTGAGGATTCTTTAGATCATGGATCAATGCTACTCATAAAATCTGACATCTTTTTCTTCGGAGTTCTCCTTTTAAGGCTGTTCTGCAGAAGATCAGCACCTCGAGATGATAAAATCTTGATTGAATGGGTTAGTTGACTAATTAATAGGAAATTATTTATAATTGTGATGTAGGAACCCTATCTTATGTGGGTATTTGGTGTATGATAATGGCAGGCCAGGCCATTGCTGCTGGACAGAGCATTCCATCTGCTATTAGAAGACTCTGACGATGTTGACATTCATGCAGTTTATAGAGTGATGGCTGCTGCAAGAATGTGCACAATAAGCAAACCTATTTTACGACCCCCTATGAGCGAGGTAATCTAATTAAAAGCTTCTCTACCTACAACTATAATATATAATTTATACAATTTTTTTGAATTTTTCTTTCAGGTTATCTCTATTCTTAAAGGAGAAAATTTTTGTATCATACAATCATCACCATCAGATACCAGTTCATAAAGAAGAACGAGTGAATATAGATCTATTATACATAAAATTGTATCTTTGGATTTGCATATATATATATATATATACGGCTCCGCGAAATGAGAATTTTGTACTTTGGTATTAACATATATTGTTGTGTTCTTGTTTAGATAGATGCCATTTATACTCAAAATTCATTGAGTAATCATCATGTATATATTATTCTCTCGTATTATATTAATTAAATATATTAAACGAAGCTGTCATGACATAGCAGAGTTTCTTTTAACTAAATCATAAAATTAGATTGAACTAAATCAAGGAATTGGAGCGACTAAACATGATTAATCTGTCATGTGATCATCAAACCGACCTTAACTGGGCTGAGACGCACATGTCCCTTTTGACTTGGTGCACGAAATAAGTAAACAGAAATCAACAGTTTCAGCTTTAATAAATACATTACTGTCACACAATTCCCAAACGTTGTTCCCCTTTTTAAGAAACTCCAGTTGTCCTTTTTAAGAAACTCCAGTTGTAATTCATTAGACTTGGCATACCATATGCGCCGATTTCACGTTTGCAAGCTGCCGCGGAATCCAAAAAAAATATTTAGACGGCGAACGTCTTTTCAAATTTTAGAAAGTGCAAAATTGAAAATAATTTACTATTTTATAGATAAAATGTAAAATTTTTTATATTTTTATAAAGTAAATTTTTATAAAAATATGAAAACAAGGGGCCGAGATTACCATTCGCCCTTTTAGTCTTGACACTAACTAGCTGAGGATAAAAAAAGAGTCCACTTCACTGGTTTCCATTTTGGGATCAACCTCTTTATTTATTTTCTTTGTAAAACGGAAAATTATACAGTCAACCTTTCTATATATGGAGTATTAGAATTTTTGGCATATAAATAAATTATCTACCCTTTTATAGTAAGTATTATAATATTGCAGTTGCTCTAATATATATGAGAATTTTTGGAATGGAAATAAATTATTGATGCGAGTAATATCGCAATTCCTCTGACAAATATGTGAATTTTTGGCATGGAAATAAATTAAGCAACCTTTTATAGTTAGTGATATTGCATTTCCTTTTTTAATAAATATGTAAAAATTTTATTTGGAAGTAAGTTACCCACTCTTGCATCATAATTCATATGATAAATATGTGAATTTTCACCTTATTTGTCAAAAATTTTGATTCAACGATTCTTTTAAATGTTTATCGATAATAACGAACAATTAGTATATATTTAAAGATAATCATTAAAAAAATAATTCAATTATGAATATTGAGTGATGATAATTAGTTTCCGCCACCTGTTCGCACTTTTAAAATAAGTTTTGATGCAACTCTTCTCCCCTCTATCGACCATGGAGCCATTGGTGCTGTAATTTTAAATTGTAATAGCGGATTTGTATCAGCAGCAACGTCTTCATTGTAAGGTTGTTCTTCTTCAGCAGTAGCAGAAGTTCAAGCGCTAAGAACGATGTTGTCTTGGTTGCTGTCGGGCCACTCCAACTTGAAGATTCAGATTGAGACTGATTGTTTGCAAGTTTACTGTACTATAAGGAATTCTGTCTAAGACTAGTCTGAGTTTGGAGTTGTTATTTCTGAATGTAAGCTACTATTAGTATAATTGCCTAATGTCACATTGGCTTGGATAATAAAACAAGCTAATGATATAACTCGTGTATTGGCTAAATCAATTCCTCGTGGGGCTTGTTTTAGAACTTGGGATATTGTTCTCATTTGTATTGTTCGTTTCTTCTCTTAATAATAACATGCCCAATATTCAATGTCAAAAACAAAAAAAAAAAAAAAAATTAACTCGTGTATTGCCTAAATCATCCTGTGCGCTTGTTTTGAACTGGGATTATGTTTCTCATTTGTTTATATTGTTTCGGTTTCTCTCTCAATAATAACATGCCCCATATTCAAATTCAAAAAACAAAAAAAAAAAAAAAAAAGAAAAAAGAAAACAAAAAAAAAGAATTGCATCTATATCTCTTTATATTGTCAGTTATTATCATGTATAAAGTTGCGTAAACTGAAGAGAAGCTTTTCAAACGTTTTCACTTTGACATTCTCTTTTATATGTATCGCAAAAAAAAAAAAAAAAAGAAAAAAAGAAAAAAAAAAGAATTGCATCTATATCTCTATATTGTCAGTATTATCTATGTATAAAGTTGAAATGAAGAGAAGCTTTTCAAACGTTTACTTGACATTCTCTTTGTATATGTATCGTATTTTTGTACTGGAGAATTCTTTCAAATGTTTCTCAATAATAATTAATAATTAATACATATTTAAAGATCATCATTAAAAATAATAATTAATTATAAATATTTTGTGATGATAAATAACACTTTCACCTATGCCTGTATAAAAATTCAAACAAAAGAGTTTTAAAATACGATCAAAACAAAAAATGCTGAATTTACAAAGCAACCCGTAGAGTATATCCACCTTTTCCTAGTTTTTTATACTATAAAATTTATATGGAAAGTAGAAATTTTTAAATAATTATTTATAATAAAACTATAAAATAATCTAATGTATTAGAATATTCTGAATTTCGAAAATTTTATAATAATTAATTATATAATATTTATTTAAATGATTTAATAATTAATTAATAATTTATTATATAACTCTCAATGGAACTTAAAAAATTATGAACACAATTAATTAAAATCGACTGAATTTAATATTGAATGATTAAAATTTCAATCAAATGATGTAGCTTCTTCATTATACATACGTTGTTGAATTATTAGATTTTTCTGCCTAAATTTCAATAAAATATAAAATTTTTAATTCTAATTAGCAATTTTTATTTTATTATTATATAAATGAATAAATTGTATAGATGTAGTGAGATAGATTTTTTTGTCAAAAGAGGTTTTCATTTTTCACCAAACGAATAAAATTAACATATATTATTACCTAAAAACATATTATTGAAAATTCATTTGGTTAATTGATATTATGGATTAATTTTTCCATTTAAAAAGGTTTAGTTTTTCAATTTCCAAGAATTTATAAATAAAAAATAATAATAAAGGGCAGGAAACCATCAAACCGCAATTAATCACACGTATATTATTATTACCATAGTAAGTCCTATATATCAAACGTATTTGTAGGAGGGAGATGCGCGCGTTGGTCACAGCACAGTTGCATACGCGTCAATACTATCCCTTGATGGCGTGAATTTCCATTAAACTAACCCGTCCTTAATCTCCCGACGAAAATTGAAAAATAATTTTCTTTTTCCACCTGGAAATTACCAAAGAGAAATTGAAATCACAAATTTCAGATTTGCGTCTTCATAAAAAAACTAATAATAATTAGAGGGAAAAAATAAAACAGGAAAGAAAAATATCTTTATCGAACGGCATTCATTTTATGTGGCCTTGGCTAAACGACTCCATATCTTTCTCTCTCTAGATTATCGCTTCACCTCCGTCGTTCAAATCCCTCCCTTATTTGTCCAAAATCCACAGTTGTTCGATAGCAAACTGTAACGCTTATCAACTCAACCAAGGAGTCTTGAAAGATTTCTAGCTCAACAGTCTCTCTTTATCTCCAAAATAAATTTAGTAAATGAGCTGTTGATTGGCACAGTTTCTGCTCTTCCTATCTTTCTCTGCATGCTTCTTTCTCTCCTTGTCTTAAATGCTTCAAGTTTAATTCAATGAGATTGCTTCGCTGTAGAAATGGCTTTTGCTGCTTCTTCGTCAGGTTTGTCAGCGTTAGCCATCGATTTTGGATTCTGATAACAACGTCCTTTTTCATTGTTTTCGAAATTCGTGTTTTAATTCTACAGGAAGTGAATGTCCATCTTCTACTCTGTTTAATTGCGTTTACTCTCTTGTTTGGATCCAAGTTTACAGTAACGTATTGGTTTAGTTCAATTCAATTTGTATCCTCGTAGAGGCTTTTTTGTCTTCTTCGTCAGGTTTGTCAGCGTTAGCCATCGATTTTGGATTCTGATAACAACGTCCTTTTTCATTGTTTTCGAAATTCGTGTTTTAATTCTACAGGAAGTGAATGTCCATCTTCTACTCTGTTTAATTGCGTTTACTCTCTTGTTTGGATCCAAGTTTACAGTAACGTATTGGTTTAGTTCAATTCAATTTGTATCCTCGTAGAGGCTTTTTTGTTCCCTTTCTTTATTACTGTTATTAGCAAACTTTGAATTAAATTAATCTGAAAGTGAATTTTGACGAAATTTCCTTTTTATTTATTTTTTTGAGTAACCATGTGGTTGTTTGATTTACAGTGTCCTTGGAATTCGTGAATGTCTGTAAATTGTCGAAAGCAGACGGTAACGGTAGATATGACTGTAGTGTACTGTCTTGTGCGTGGAAAGCTCCTAGAATCTTGACAGGTTTTCTTGCAACCACTGCGTCTTCCAGTCAGTATTCGACATTGTTGTCTGGGCAAAATGGCAGAAGGAATCAGTTCAATTCTGTAAGTTGGTTAATTTGCTTCCATATTATTCTCTTGATTATAATTAATCCAAGGTTATTGAATTGCTTTAGTTATGTAATTTTTTTTGGACAGACTTTTTCGTAGTTTTATTTGATAGTGCAGAAAAAAATTGAAAAGGATATTTTTCAAACCTAAGGATTTAGAAGGAAGTGAAAGTAACGGTTCATTTTTCTTATTTCAACATCTAATCCATCACCATTCTTTGTTATTAGATATCCAAACAAGATTTTGGTCTACTTTTGTTGTTTCTTTTGATCCTTATATGGCTATCCAAGTAATGCAGCACCCTTTCCCCCCAGTTGGACGATTCTATTGATACTACAATCTGGGTTGTTGTTGCAAAATTTTGCCTTTTGATTTCGTTATTATTAATATCATCACCTTTTAATGTCATGCTCTTGCCAGAAATGTGAAGTCTTCGATATAGGAAGGAATTATTCTACGGAAGCCTTTGGATCTGCTCTCGATGGGGGATTCTTTAGAACTAGATTACTTAATATTGCTGGTCAAAGATGGCAACTATTTTGTGCTTCATCCAGTTCCTCAGGTGATTTGAATGAGGTTTCGCCTGAAAGATTGTGGGAGGTAAATCGCACAATTGATGCCCTGGGTATCTCTGTTGGGATAATCCTCATTATTCATGAAAGAAAAATTGCTTCCAGTCTAGTTGGCTTATAATATTGATTTTGTGTTGCCTCAGGATCTTAAGCCTACTGTTTCATACCTTTCACCAAAAGAATTGGAATTGGTCCATAATGCTCTTCAGGTAGCCTTCTGCTTAGAAGAATCTCTAAGTTTATACTCTTGAAGTAGTTATAACGTGGTAATTTTGGTACAGCTGGCTTTCGAGGCACATGATGGTCAAAAAAGACGAAGTGGAGAGCCATTCATCATTCATCCAGTAGAAGTTGCACGAATTCTAGGAGAACTTGTGAGTTACTCAGAATTTAAAAGTATGTCCATACTCGAAGGCTGTGTTATATTGCATTCTACAATCTAAGAGACTGTAACTTGCCTGTTCTTGTAGGAGTTGGATTGGGAGTCTATTGCTGCTGGATTACTCCATGATACTGTCGAAGATACAAATGTTGTTACTTTTGAAAGAATAGAGGAGCAATTTGGTCCCACTGTACGCCACATTGTAGAAGGAGAGACCAAGGTGTTATACTGCTATGGGCTTATGTTCCTAAGTGGCTTAAATGTTATTCATATTGACTGTCCACAATAATTTTAGCACATGTTGATATGAGTTTGTTCCCTTTACCTGTAGGTATCTAAATTGGGAAAATTAAAGTGTAAGAATGAAAGTGATTCAGTACAAGATGTAAAAGCTGATGATCTGCGACAGATGTTTATTGCTATGACAGAGGAGGTGATTTGTGCCTTGCCTTTCTTTCTTTTCTTTTCTTTTTTTTCTTTAATGTCTTGGTTTATCTTTTTTGTATACCTAGTTTAAAACTAAAATGATGATGCTGTTTCAGGTTCGTGTTATTATTGTCAAATTAGCTGACAGGTTACATAACATGCGCACTCTTTCACATATGCCTCCACATAAGCAGGTGCGGTTAAGGGGGGAACAAAAAAAAATTGCTTTCTCCATTGACTATTTGATTATCATTTTTTAACGTCAATATGATGTGTACAGTTCAGCATTGCAACAGAAACACTTCAGGTCTTTGCTCCTCTTGCAAAATTGCTAGGAATGTATCAAATCAAGGTATACATATATGATGCCATTTCACTTTGTCAAATTCTATTCTAAAATTGTATGAAATTGAGATGGATATGGAATGACTTCTGTAACACCCCTTCCCGGTCCACCCGTTAACCCGAATGAACCGAGTCGAGATGTTACAAAACTGGTTGACTGTATGGTCTGACATGCTTCTATTCCTAAAATGTATAAATTTGAGATGGAATGGAAGTGGACTTCTGTAACCAACCTTCCCACGCGTCCACCCGTTTAACCCGAGATGAACCGAGGTCGAGAATGTTTACAAAAACTTGTTGGTACTGTGAGTCTGAAACAATGCTGAAAACATACTGTATATTGAATATTAATAACATGCTTGGTACTGCTTTCCAAAAAAATACTGTAATTTATATTTACACAAAACATGATACAAGTTTACAAAATGAAATGGGCCCAACTGTGTGCCTGTACATGCCATAAAAAGAAAAACAAAATTGTAGTTTCTACCCTGAAAGACGGAGTCTTCTAACAGATGAAACGCGAGCAGTTGTTTTTTTTTAAAACGCGGACTCTTTATGGACCCGTAGTCTCAAAAACCTGTGCGAGAAACAGGTTAACTCCTGAGGCAAATAATGCTCAGTGGATAATCTCACAAATACAAGAAACAACTAAACGCTTACTAACATATATAGAAAGAAACCATCGGAACACACTATATCGGCCACATATAAGCTCACACATTATTTGATACTTTTCATAGAATATCTTGATGATCTTTTGTACTGTCTTATTAATCTTGCGTATAATCATGAGAATGTTATGTCAACGATATCTGAAAAATGGCTCTCCATTAAGGTTAATAGTTGGAAACCCGAATGTGATAAGATACAACTGGTATGTAAACTGGCGTGAAAACTGTATGCTATAGGCCCCGAACCTCGGATTCGCTATGCCAACTATTGTCCGTTTTGGTTGCCCCGGAACCGGGATTTGCAGCGCGGGCCACCGTTTAATTCATAATTCCACTCAACGGCCTGTAGCCCGCGAGTTCCAAACTGTCATGGGGACCGCAGATCTGTTATTCTCATTGTTCAGCGGAACATAGCCTTATCTACATGCGTTTCTACCTTAACCTTCAATACCTAACCTCAATGGAGCTTAAGATTAGCATGTCAACAATGTAACACAATAGCACATAAATGGTTTCACAACGTCATAGTTCATCATATTGATTTGCTCTGATACCAAAATTTGCTTACATGTTGTTTGAATCCATGTTCTTATATTATATTTTTGTTTTACAATGATTGGATGCATGTATGTTGAGCAAAGGAATGTAATTGTATGGAAAATGAAGTCCAAAATGCATGAAACCACAAGTCGCGAGCGCACAGGGACAAGTCGCGAGCGCGAGATGCTTCCCAAGGAGAAGTCGCGAGCGCGTCTTCAAACCTTGCGAGCGCGCAAAGTGCAATTGAGAGTCAGAGAGGAAATCGAGAGTCAGAGAGGTTTCTGGCTCAAGTCGCGAAAATGCATTTGAGAGTCAGAGGGTTTTCTGGCTCAAGTCGCGACCGCGCAGCACACGTCGCGAGCGCGCTTGTGTGATTCGCGAGCGCGAGATGCGCACACTGAGAGTCAGAGAGCTTCTGGCCAAAGTTGCGACCGTGCATGTGATCCTCGCGAGCGCGAGTTGTGCAATTGAGAGTCAGAGAGCTACCTGACTCAAGTCGCGAGCGCGCAATAGGAAATCGCGAAATCGCGAGCGCGACTTGCCTTTCCAGTATGCGCGAGCGGCGATACGTGATTTCCGTGCAGTCTGTGTTTCTTTTGGCCAAATAAACTCTCAATAGCTAACTCACAATATACAACTTCAAATTGAATGATTCAAAAGCCCATGTAAAGCTAACACATAGAGAAACAAATAACTCTTCTATGACAATTCCTAATTCCATCATTTTCTGGGGTCAAAATCAAGATGAAGTTGCTGGTGAAATTTCCAGCAAAGCTCTGTTTCATAAAGTCATTCCATCCCCTGTTTTCACAACATATCCAATCTTCTCACTCAACAACAAGCACCATATCATCTCACTAGCAACACACCACACAATTTACATGCAAAGAATCTAGTAAACAACATGAGATATCAAACCTTGATGTCAAAAAGCTTGACCTCTGTTTTAGCTTCTCTTTTCTGCAGCTTTGGAACTTTCTTCTCCTATACACAAGAATTCTCATAACTCATCTCCAATAGAACTCAATTAAAGAGTGAATAACATATAACGTCAAGGAATTCTACTTACTTGGAGTGGACTTACTGCGTAACTTGCATGAAAAGTGCAAGGAAATGGAAGGGAAACGTAAGAAGAAAATGAAAAACAGGAAAATAGGAAAGTGAAAATGATAGGAACGAAAATGATTAGAACGGGTAAGATCTCTAGAAGAAGTGATTTGGGCTGTGTAAAACTCTCTATTGGTACCGCTCAAGTATACAAAGGCTACAACTTACTACCACAGCTAATTGTTTTGGAGGCAAACCAAGTCCTAAACTTATCCATGCAAATAAGTCCACTTATCAATCTCATGCTACCCCAACCCGGGTTTGGTTCAACCCGACTCAACTCAAGAGGATGTTACAACTTCTTGCTTCTAAAAACCTCAGAAACACTCATCTCATGCAGTGATTTTCAATATGTTAAGCGACCAAAAAAATTGAAAAATTGTTTGAATTCTAGATCTTTATATATACAATTAGTTTTAAAATTAAAAACTTTCCATGCAAATAAGTCCACTTATCATCTCATGCTACCCCAACCGGGTTTGGTTCAACCCGACTCAACTCAAGAGGATGTTACAACTTCTGCTTCTAAAACTCAAACACTCATCTCATGCAGTGATTTTCAATATGTTAAGCGACCAAAAAATTGAAAAATTGTTGAATTCTAGATCTTTATATATACAATTTTAGTTTTAAAATTACATAATTTTACATTTAGAGTGACCAATTCTGAACTTGAAGGAATTAAGACATTGTATTCCTGTTGTTCAAGACATTGTTAGAAATTGACTATCTAATTCTATCATATTTTAGTCCGACAACTTGTGAGTTACTCCTACTTGAGGTTGTTATTTTGTCGTCTTAGTAGATTAATGTGCACCTGCTGATGCATCATGATTTGCGTAATGGTTAGCCAACCATGGTGATGATATATACTTGTCTTTTACTCAAAAAAACTAGTGTTAGAGATGCTAGGGTTGAAAGAGAGAATCTCTCTCTATTACTTATTTGCATACTAATCTTACTGACGACTGTGTATTCTTCTTCATTTCTTTTTCCCTGTTAAATTTACTGATCCAAGCACATGATAATACTGCAGTCTGAGCTTGAAAATCTGTCATTCATGTACACAAACCCAGAAGATTATGCTATGGTCAAAAGGAGGGTTGCAGACCTATATAAAGAACATGAGAAAGAGCTGGCGGAGGTAATTTTTTTGAAATAATTTTTATCATGCATTTTTTTATACAGAGCCTTGAATTGTCTTTGCTATTCTTAAGTGCAACTTTTAGCCTTGAGGCTTGGGAATGCCACGTTTGGTGGTTCTTGAGGTAGCCTTGTATCACAATGGTCATTGCTTATTTGACAATTATTTCCTTTATATAGGCAAACAAAATTTTGAAGAAAAAGATCGAGGAGGATCAGTTCCTAGATCTTATGACTGTGAAGACTGAAGTTCGCTCTTCGTGCAAGGAACCTTACAGGTGAGCCACAAGCCTTACTTCTACCACTTTGTTTTACCTGTATGATGTTCCAATGTTATTTTATCATTACTTGCAGCAGGTTTTTGTGCTTTCTCACTGAAAGCATATCACCATTTATGATTCATAAATAGCTTTTATGGATGTTTCGTGTTTGCAAACAGTGAATGGAGGCTCACTTGCAATTACAAAATAACTTTTTTGTTAACACATGATGCATGCGTGTTAGAATTTTGTGAAAGAGCCTGTTATCCTGAATTATTGTTGTTGGATCTTAGAAAGTATAGGAGCTCTGATCATGTAATTGGATGTAATATTCGTATTTTTTGCTGGATGCTTGATGCAATTTCTTGGAAATTATAATTTCTGAGATAAATGTCTTGACCTGCTTTTTCTATCTTCTCTTGGTCTGTTGAAGTTGTTGCTTCAAAGGGCTTTTTCTGGGTCCTTTGCAGCGTGTAATTGAAAATCTTTGATTTGCTTTCAGTATCTACAAAGCTGTGCTTAAATCTAAAGGATCAATCAATGAGGTTAATCAAATTGCACAGGTTTGTTTTGACAAGTGTCTTGGATCTTGTTTCAAGTTTTGTATTTTCTTGTTAACATATTGGTCATTTTGGTCATACCCAGTTGCGTATTATCATAAATCCAAAGCCATGTGTTGGAGTTGGGCCTCTGTGCACTCCACAGCAAGTAAGTCCCTGTACATCTTCTGAGAGCTTCTGTGTCTTGTGCTGCATCCTCATCATTATTCCACTTGACCTATTGCCATGGTTGTAAATGATGCAGATATGTTACCATGTTCTTGGCTTGGTCCATGGAATCTGGACCCCTATTCCTAGAGCTGTACGTATTTTCTTTTCTTTTCTTCTTTTTTTTAATCTTTGAATTACACAGGTAATATTAGGAATCTATTGGTCATATGTTAAGAATATTGGTTTAATTATTGAACAGATGAAGGATTATATTGCAACCCCAAAGCCTAATGGTTATCAAAGTCTTCATACAACTGTCATACCATTTCTATATGAGAGCATGTTCCGACTGGAGGTTCAGGTACTACGGACTGTCCTCTCCCCAAAACCCCCCCCCTTCCCCCCCGGGCTTTTGTGATTCTTTCCTCTCTTTCTTCTTCATCTTCTTTAGGTTAGTCCTGCATAACTGTTAATTCCTTTTTTCTTGTGTCTCTGTTTCTGGAAACTGTTAGAAATACTTGTAGTGAATCTCAAGGAACTTATTTATGGTCTTTCTGAAATAGTGTTTGATTGCTGCATATTTTAGTTTTATAAATAAGGCCATATGTTTGCAACAGATCAGAACTGAAGAAATGAATCTGATAGCTGAGAGAGGCATTGCTGCTCATTATAGTGGGAGAGTCTTTGTTACAGGTTTAGTTGGACATGCAATGCCTAATGGTAGAAGTTCAAGAGGGAAGGCAGTCTGTCTTAACAATGCAAACATTGCACTTAGGGTATGTTAACATCTTCTTGACAAATCATGATAGTTTGGAGACATGCTTGAGGAGCCTCTATAAATATCTTATATCTTTTTAAAGTTCCCCGACCTTGATGCTAATTTCACAGATGAACTGTTTCCTTTCCTTCAGATTGGCTGGCTTAATGCAATTAGAGAATGGCAAGAGGAGTTTGTCGGCAATATGAGCTCTAGAGAATTTGTAGATACCATCACTAGAGATCTTTTAGGCAGTCGTGTCTTTGTCTTTAGTCCAAGGGGAGAGGTAAGATTTGGTTGCACTACTTATTGATGAGAAAAAATGAATTACAATTAGGATATTGTGTATTTCAGGATTATTCACATTTGTTTGCTTACAGATAAAAAATTTGCCCAAAGGGGCAACTGTGATTGACTATGCTTATATGATCCATACTGAAATTGGCAACAAGATGGTGGCTGCAAAGGTATCCTTTTCAATTTTATGATTTCATGTTCATTTTTTCATTGCAAACGAACAGTGAAATTTTAAATGCTGTGGGCAATGCTAATCAAAAAATAAATTTTGTTTCCTTCTGCTATTGGGTATTTGGGTTAGCTTGCGGAAGTTTTTTCCTGACTTTCAGTTCTTTTGTGACTCGGAAAGAAAAAGGTCATATCTGATTAGATAGCAAGAAAATAACTTTTAATTTTTTATGACAGACAATAATTAGTTATTTTTTTGTACAATAGTTTTTTGCTTTTCTCATGCGAAGTAAAATTCAGATATTTGCCTTTGATGCTTTCTTTTTATTCTTTATTTTATTTTGAAGCAAAATAAAAAAGTTGTAAGAAGTACTCCTTACGAGACTAAAGGTTGAACAAAACATTACCTTTTCCAATTTGATATAGATTTGAAAACTAGTTTTTATAGTTTCCAAGATTTATTGTCAAATTTGAATAAATGGAACTGGGTTTTCCAAATTTGAATTCAGAACTGGAAAGCCGGTATACCTAGTGAATTTGGTTTCTAAGGTTTTCTTATCAAGTTGGAAATGGAATATGGTTTTTGAAATTCAAATGGGAAACTGGAGATCTAATTTTAGTTGTTCAAATCTAGAAATGAGATTTAAGGCTTCATTAGGTGATACAGTTTGTACATTATTCTATAGATAATTAGATGAAAGTGAAAAAAAGAAAAAGAATTTACTACCGAACTGTTTTCTTTAGAATAAACACGACCTAAATGACAAATGTGTCATTCTGCTTTTTTCCAGGTCAATGGTAATCTTGTCGCTCCAATGCATGTACTTGCTAATGCAGAAGTTGTGGAGATAATCACCTACAATGTTAGTATTTATCGTCCCTGTAACCTTTATTTTGAGGAGAATATGTAATATTCTTTTTCTTTAGTTTTGGGTGGTTTGGAGGCAAAAGTCCTATGCATGATAGGAAATACAAAAATGCTATTTTTTTATGCCAAGTATTTTTTTTATTGGATAATGGGAACTTAGCATTATATTTGGATTAGATTTCTTTCTATATATATAGTGGATGCTGGATGCTGGAGCACTATTAATTTAGTGGTTGGCCTCATAAGTAGTCAAAGTTCTTTTTTGCAACTTTTTTTTTTTAATTATAAGTTGTAACATGTTTATCATCAATGAATTATTCTGCCATTCTCATAACTTTATTTATTTTCTGCAGGCACTCTCTAGTAAATCAGCTTTTCAGAGGCATAAGCAATGGCTGCAACATGCAAAAACACGTAGTGCCAGGCACAAAATTATGAAAGTAGGTTTATTGTATATACCTAAGATTACTTTGTTATTTCCTGTGGTTGGTCTCTGGACTAAACTGAAAGTTAATTTGCTTAGTTTTTAAGGGAGCAAGCTGCACTATCTGCTGCGGAAATAACAGCAGACTCAGTAAATGACTTTATAGCTGATTCTGAAGAGGAGAACGAGATAGAAGATCTCTCACATAATGTTGAGTGTAACAGGCCTCCATGGGATAAAATCTTTACAAATATTGGGGAAAAGTCATCAAAAGCAAAATATTCTGAAGATCTCCTCACTCCTAAAAACGGAAGTGTTTGGGTTCCCAAAGTCAATGGGAAACATAATAAGCATGTGCAGTCTGTGAGTTTGGAGGCCAAGGGAGAGATGTCATCTCAGGGAAATGGCGTTTCCTGGACGCTACAATCTAACATGCCAATGTACAAGGAAGTCTTGCCTGGTTTAGAAAGTTGGCATGCCAGCAAAGTTGCTTCCTGGCACAGTCTCGAAGGGCACTCGGTCCAATGGTTTTCTGTGGTATGCATTAATCGAAAAGGTGAAGTCTCTATCTAGTCAAAGTAGACATGGTTAGTTTATCTCCTGTCAAGTGGTTCAAAACATGAGTGCACTATTCAAGCTAGTGTTCCTGCAAATTCTTCATGTATGTGTGTTACTAACACAAACAAACACCTTCCGAATCCTTTTTTTTTTCTGATCGACTTGGTTTTAGATTTATGTTAATTTTCCTGAATTTACTGTTTTACGATGTAATTGCATAAACATGGTGTCAGGCATGATGGCTGAGGTTACAACAGCATTGGCAACTGTTGGCATAGCTATATGTTCCTGTGTGGTGAGTAATTATAACTATTAAAAGTCTCAATGGATTGACTTTTCCTAATTTGTTATTGATTTTCTTATTTATTTGAAATGCATAACATCTTGTATTTCTGACGACTAGGCTGAAATTGACCGAGGAAGGGGAATGGCTGTGATGTTGTTTCATGTTGAAGGGAACTTTGAAAATTTGGTAGTGTACCCAAAGATTCTTTTCACTTCCCCTCTCATATATCAGAACATGTGATTGTGACATTATTTTGTCCTGATACCGTGTGCTTCTATCTCTTTTTAGGTTAATGCCTGCTCAAGCGTGGATTTGATTTTGGGTGTTTTGGGATGGTCTATGGGTTGCAGCTGGCCTAGCTCATTGGAAAACCCCCAATGTCATGATTGCTAATTAATCCGTCGACCCCCATGTAGTTCACCCAGCTGTTGCAGCTTGGGACGAAGTTTTGCCCCGTGAAAACTGAGATTCTGGTGTTCATACGTTTTGGATAATTAGCTCAATATTTTTCATCTATTTGTTGGACAGCCATAACAAAATAAGCCAGCAGCAGAAAAATGCGCCACATCTGTCTGTCTGGAAATTTCAGGGCGTTGTATATAGAGAAAAAAGAGTGGTAGTTAGCACATACACTTGTAAAGCTTCTTGCCAAAGAGAGCAAGTGAAACCCTTATACCATAGATTTTAAGAATTCATGTCATATACATATATATACATATTATTTTTTGTCATCTACTTTTACCTATCTTTGTTTCGGTTTTCATGAATAACACATCAATTTATTTCAGAATTGCATTATGAGATCTCGTGTTCCTTGATTACTTTATTACATTTCAAAAATCTTAATTCGTCTGTTTCGGCAAGATTCACAACTAAGAAGACAAGTAAGATAAGCGATGTGTAAATAAAAGTAGCAACATCAATGCTAGCACTACCATGTACCTACCCAATAATCTCCTTCTAATTAAATTGGTTTCTTCTTTCTGCATGACCATTGAATTTTCTGTGGTTTCATAATTATTTCTGCAATTACATAGGACATCAGTCTTGCCATTGTCGAGGTGATTACACTCTTTGATTACTGTGGGTTGTTCTTCTTCTTCCTCCATAATTTTGGCTCCAGAGTGTTGCAGTCTGCACCTGATCCTCTGTGACAATGCCTCAACTGATGCCGCTGGCCAAATTTCCTCAGCATTGGAACCAGTGTAAGAACTCTTTGTTCCCTTTAAATTGTCTTTATCCTTCTCAATGACATAATCATCATTGCTATATGCGCAGTCCTCTTTTTCTATGATAGAATTCATTGATGAAGGTATGTCTGTCATTGTCTTTGGAGTATCATCAGTTGCTTCTTTCTCAGTTATTTCTATTGAGGGTGGTTCATTATCATCATCAGTTCTTTCCACAAAGATCAACTCCTCTTTTGTCTCTTTCGCCACCACCGCTGCCTCCTCCTCTTCCTCCTCCTCCTCCTCCTTATCATCATCCTTGTCAAGGTTGTCGTCGTCCTTTTTTTCTTCCTCCATAACTGAATGCACTGATAAAGTTTTCTCTATATTTTCCTCCACAGCATCCGTCGCTTTCTCCTCTTTATCAAACCCTATTATTTCCATTAAAGAATCATTCTTGATGTTTTCAAGCACTGGAAATGAAAATTCTTCAATCTCACCATGCTTATCCCAAGATTTAACGCCATCTTGTTTTGACTCATCACTGAGTAGGATCTTCTTCTCATAATCAGTATCACCATTAGAGATCTCATTTCTGCAGTTGATTGTATATGCAGGATTTTCAACCTGTACCAATTACCCAATTTATGAGTACAATATGATAATCTATTATATCAAGTGAAACGACGACATAGAGTGGATAAATTACCGACACCAAACTTTCAGTAGAGACCAACTCACAAGAGTCAACCTGGGTTGCAACCACCTTTATTGATCCATTATTTGAGCAGCTGAACAACCACCATTCTATTAATTATATTCACATAAAATCAAACATAAAGAGATTGAATTTTCTATTGGATTATCTTTAAATTCTAATGCCAATTACTAACCATGAATTTGAAAGAGAAGTTGGAGGTGAATTTTGAAGGATGAAACGCAGCCCTTGATTTGCTTGATCTTCTTTCCGCCGTTGGCGGCGGCTGCTGGTCTCATTACCACCTCTTCTTTTACCTCTGTGTAGAGCAAAACCCACCAAACTTGCAACGGCCAAGGCTCCACCTGTCAGAACCAGACCTCCAATGTTAGCTCCACCACCGGAGCCTAATTGCGGCTTCCGTCTGCCTTGTTTATACGTGCTTTCTCGCTTCTCCATGTTGATTCTTGTTGTTGGCTTTTGTTTTGATGTTTGGTGTGCTCTTTTTTCATGTGGGACAAGAAATGAATCTAATGCTAATGGATTTTTATGATTGCATCGAGGAGTGAAAGTACCAATGTAGGCTTCTCAACTGCACATCCTTTAGACAGTTGCGTCATGTGGCATTATTTAAGGCCATCAAATTAGAAATTTTGCACTGGTGGGCTGCAATTTGAAATGGCGTTGAAGAAAATATTTGTATAATTTTTTTAGAGTAATTTAAGTGATTTAATTGCTTTTTGTTTAAAAATTTTAAACAGTATATAAAAATAGGAGGATGGAATATTTTTTTTAAGAGAAAAATTAGAATTTTGAATTGAAGAGATTTTTTTTTATATGTAAAATGGATAAGAACTTAAACATTCTTTTCTTGTTTATAAATTTTTAGGGATGAAAATTAAATTATTTTTCACCAGCTAACAATTATGAAATTGGCTAATATAAATTTGCTTAACATTGCATTAAATTAAATTATAACAAAGTAGAAGCCATAGAAACCAAAAACAAAAGTAGAAACAAATTAAAACAAACCATTGGAGACCACTTGGTTTATCAAACTCTCAAACCAATATTTACTATCCATCAAAATAATTAATTAATTATTATTCAATAGCCATTAGAGACCACTGATTTAGGGTTGGTTGTGTAGAAGAAAGGTCCAACAGTAAACAATTTCATATTCTTGTCATGGAGGAATTCATAAGAACTGAGAAGAGCACCCGCGATCCCTTTATTCACGTCGCTCGGAACATCGCAAGTCTTGGTCAATGGAGATAGCTCTAGAAATGCTTTGCACTCTGTAATCTTTAAATTCTTTTCAACCTCAGAAGGAGACAGTGTTGCTAAGAAATACCCTTTAACATCCGTTGCTCCACTCAAAATGGACAAAGGTGCCGTTTCATATCCATACTCATCAACTGCAAGGCACGTTATCCTCGCCACAGCCCCTGCAGGAAAACAAAGTGAATTAGACACCATATGGTTAATCTTTTTTGTTGCTTGCAACTTTAGGTTTTTAACCGATGACCTTGCAGATAAAGTTTTCCAAGGGAGAAAATGCTTAATATTTATGTGAAATTTAAATAATTACCTTGGAGTGGAATGAGCTTGGCGCCTGATTTGCAGAAAATAAGTCCTTGAATACCGACTAATGTGGAGAGTAGATATTCCTCGTCAGGCTTAGGTTTTTGAAGGTTGATATTTTTGAGGCCATAGCCATCATCATCGCTAGCAGAAGCAATAATAAGAAGCGCTGAGGATAAAGCGAAAGAGATTGTCAAATAAAAATGAGAGTGAGCCATTATGTGAACTCAAATTGAAGAGAAACGGAAGAAAGAACTATATATATAGAGGTAGATGTTTAGAGTATTAATTAAATTGTATTGATTTGTGATTCGGTGGCACGCACGATAGGAAAGGAATATGTAATGTCCGCATTAATATGAGTGGTGCAGACTAATAAATCACACTGCACGTCCCATTAATTAATAATTAATAATTAATAATTAATAATTATGCGGTTTCATCTAAAATTGTGCTTTTGGTTGTTACATAAACGGCATTTGAAGATTCTGCTAACAAACGACTTGTCTAATTAATGTCAACAGCTACAACCTTTAAATATTCCTCGAATGGCATCAGGGTTTTGTTTTTTTAGAATTCGTTTAACCCATCAAAGAGCAAGCAGTAGATTAGAATGGAATGTGTCAATAAGTAAGAATAACTACTGATAAACCTTTTAATATCTATTAGATTTTAGAGCACCAAAACTTATTTCAAATCTAGCCCACCCCAACCCAACAAATTGATAAACAATCAAAAAAAAAAAAAAAAAAAAAAAAAGGTTTTGTTTTTTTAGAAAAATTTCGTTACCCAATCAAAAAAGAGCAAGCAAAGAATAGAATGGAATGTGTCCAAATTAAGTAAGAATAACTACTGATAAACCTTTTTAATAATCTATTAGATTTTAGAAGCACCAAAAACTTATTTCAAAATCCTAGCCCATCCCCCCCAAACAAATTGAAAAAAAAAAAAAAAAAAAAAAAAAAACCTCAATTTTCACTGGATAAAACTCTTTTAATAATGGTTATTCTATTTATAATTTGAAAATGGTATTTAAATAAAACTCTTTCCGGTGATTTTAGATTCTAAATTTTTAATTTTGCAAGTAAAGTTCACGTAGAGATACAGTCTATTTCAATTGATCCAATTACTTATTAATTATGTTTTATTATTATTATTGTTTCTTATACTTGGATGAATTATTTTGGCCGGATTTTTCCTTTAAAAACAAAAAAAAAAAATATAAGCTTAAGTCCTCAAATTCAAAAGTCAAAATAATCCCAAAAAAGAATTTAATTTAGAAATTTATGGAAGGAACTGACAAGAAAATTCAAGAGAGCTTTTTTTTTTTTTTCTCCTCAATCAACTCCAGCTTTACGCATATCTTTATTAATTGGGCGCATGATCAAATATATATAAATGGAAAATTGAAACATGAAAGAGCATTATGTATCAATTGTATTAATTGAGTAATATATCTCTTACAGGAGAATGATAGAAAAAAAAAAAAAAAAAAAAAAAAAAAAAAAAAAAAAAGGAGAAAATGATAGAAAAAAAAAAAAAAAAAAAAAAAAAAAAAAAAAACATGACTCAACTTCTTAAAATACCAATAACAAAATTTATTCCAAATCTTTTAAATGCCAAATCGCAAAATCCAACAGAAAAATAAAAAATAACGTCCAAAAGCCTCTGAAAAAAAAAAAAAAAAAAAAAAAAAAACAATGATGCTTATTAATTTTAGCACATGTAATTAAAAAAAAAAAAAAAAAAAAAAAAAAAAAAAACAATGATGCTTAATTAATTAGCCATGTAATTAAATTGAATTATTAGTAACCAGTAGGAGTTGTCGACGATTTGGGCTCTGGGCCTGGGGTGTAGAAGAAGGGCCCAACAGAGTATAACTTGATCTTCTTGTCATGGAGAATGCGGTAAGAAGAAATAAGAGCTCCAGTAATCCCCTTGTTGACATCTGTAGCGACATTGCAGGTTTTCAATGGGGATTTTTCGAGTTGAACTTTACAGTCTGTGAGCTTTATATTATCATCATTGAGCCCTAAAACAGAAAGTAATTTAAAGAAGTAGCCCTTTGCATCACTTGCACCAGTCAAGCACGAAATTGGTGGTGTCCTGTTCCCATTCTTGTCCAAAGCTGCACAGGTTATCCGTGCCACCGCACCTATATATACTCACCAAATAAGAGCTCTTAATCAGAATTAAAAGAGTATTTTCTTTAAAATGGAAGATTGATAAAGCGTGTTGAGTGATATTAATTACCTTCAACAGGGACATAGCTCGAACCCGATTTGCACAGAACAAGCCCTTCAATAGCAATTGCAAGTGGATTTTCCAGTCTGCGGCCATATCCATAACCTGGTTTGGCGGTGTCTGGTTTTGGGAGAAGGCCATAATCTGGCTTGACAGTCTCTGGTTTGGGAGCGGTTACCTTTGGTTGTTCAACGTTTGGTTTTGAGCTGTACTCGCGATCCTCAGGTTTCAAATTATCTTGTTTTGATTTAGTACCATATCCTTCAAGTTCGACATTGTCTTGCTTGGATTTCGGGGTATACCCATCTACAGGTTTCCAAGTCTCAGATTCAGATTCAGGTTTTGGGCCGTAAACAGAGTGATCAATCTTCACATTGTCTTCTTCAGGTTTAGGTTTTGGGCTGTACACATCTTCAAGTTTCTCAGTCTCGGCCTGAGGTTTTGGGCTATACCCGTAGTGATCAGGGTTGACGTTGTCTTCTTCAGGTTTAGGTTTTGGACTATAGTCATTATCAGGTTTTACATTGTCTGGTTTTGGTTTAGGGCTGTGGCCATCTTCAGGTTTGGCAGTCTTGCATTTATGTGCAGGGCTATAGTGATCATCAGGTCTTACATTGACAGGTTCTGGTTTAGGATTGTATTTGGACCCATCTTCAGGTTTGACACTTTCTGGTGTAGGTGTTGAGCTATAATCAGCAGCAGAGGCAATGACTAGAAATGACAGAAGAAGGATAGATGAAGAGAAGAAGAAACGAGTGGATGCCATAGGTATATGAAATATAACCGTGCAAGCTCAAATGAAGAAAAAAGGGAGTATGTGTTATTAGATTGGGACTAAGTAGGCCATATTTATACTGAGTGAGTTAGGAAATTAAGAATAAAGTATAGGAATCAAATAGATAGAGGGGAAGTATTAAGTATTAGGTATATGCCCAGTTGGCATTTTAATGAAGTGAACGTGAAAAGCTTAATTACCTGAAGGAGTCAGCACATCGATCAGGTGCGACGTGACGACCAAAACTTCAACCAACAACCCTTGATTTGTCAATCGTTATTATTATTATTATTATTCTTCAGGTAAGGACTCAGATTCTACCATTAAAGGGATCAAAGAAAATTTTTCAAAAGTTAGGAGAGTCAATCAAGAAATATAATTACACCATTTTATTAGGTGACTTAGATTTTTTTTTTTTTTTTTTTTTTAGACTTAGATTTTTTTTTTTTTTTTTTTTTTTTTTTAATCACAAGTAAACCATCTATTTCAAAAACTTAAGAGAAAGAAACAAAGAAAATAATTTTTTTCCCTTAACGTAACACCCAAAAATCAAATCTTGATAACTGAGGTGAAAGCAAGTATCCAATTTATGAAATAAGGACTCGTTTGACATCGCAATGTAAAGAGCAGACTTTAGAAGTTAAATAAAATAGAGTGTAATTTTGTTGGCATCGTAGATTTTTGAAATATGATATTTTATTTGTCAAAAACTGATTTTGAATTTTTTTTTTTTCTAAAATTAGGCCGATAGAAACAATATTGCAAAATTTTATTTATTATTTCATTTCTATCCCTTTTTCCCAAATAAAATCATCTATCAGTAATAGCAGTAAATCCAAACTAGCCTTGAGTCTACCTTTAGAATTCTGGGGAATGGACTTGAATTGTAAAATTGCATAGAGGAAAATGGTTCAATAAAATGCATCAACTTATTAATTAATTAATCTATTCTCAATGAAATTAATACCAGCTTAACATTTTAAATTGAAAAAAAAAACAAAAAAAAAAAAAAAAAAAAAAAAAACAAAAAAAAAAAAAAAACACATTAAGACATTATTCCCTTGCAAAAAAATTCAAAAAACAAAAATACGAAGCAGTAAGAAAAATTCAAGGTATAATATAGTGATAAATGAATATACAATTTAAAATTTTTGAGTTCCCCTAAAAAAAAAAAAAACCGTTCTTTGGAAGTTGGGAATATGAAAAATGCACAGTTCCCTATTCTTAATTGCGTTAATTTTTGGTGCGCTGTTTCTGGTAATGGGATTTTCTTTAAGATATCATGGTCTTCTTGCAAAGGGAAGATTGATTCAGGTTCTGACCCAATGAAAGCGGTTTTATACTGCCATTTCAGAAACTATGAGGAAATTTTTCCTATTCCAAAACGACACCACTTCTTTATTTTGATTTTGTCCTGGTACAAAACAGACACTTGTACATATACTGTATACATATTCAAATTATACTTTCTGGAATTACATTAATGGAACGAGTATACAAGAGAATAGATAACGTAAACCAATTGAGCTTATTAAATGCAGAACTCATTACAATTCCCTTAAATTCAACAAAAACTATGTTACACACATTAATTCCAATCAACCCAATTAAGAATTTAACAGAAGAAAAGAAAAAGAAAAAAAAAAAAAAAAAGAAAAAAGGCCAAAAAAAAAAAAAAAAAAAAAAAAAAGAAAAAAGGCCACCACTAAAAACAAATTTTAATAGCCATTATTATTTTCTTCTGGGGTGTAGAAGAAAGGTCCGACAGTATACAATATCATGTTCTTGTGATGGAGGAGACGATAAGACGAAAGAAGAGCACCAGAAATGCCTTTATTAACATCTGTTGGAACTTTGCAGTTCTCCAATGGAGAGTCTTCTAAGAATGCCTTACATTCTGTGATCTTTAAGTCATTGCTGATCTGATAAGGAAATAATGTGGCAAAGAAGTAGCCATTTTCATCAGTTGGATAGCTCAACACCGAGAAAGGTGCGATTTCGTACCCATTCTTTTCCACACCCAAACATGTAACTCTTGTCACAGCTCCTACATTTAATCGTACAAGATCAATACCAGTTCTTTATACTTATGAAGAAACTGATCGGCTGCATAAATTACATACCTTGGATTGGTTCATATTTGTTGCCTGATTTGCATAAAACGATTCCTTGAATGCCTATCGGGAGTGGCTTTTCTTTAATTTCTGAGTTTTGGTAAGTGAGGACTGGTTTTGGGGCATCGCCATAATCAGCCGAAGTGATGGCTGCGAGTGACAAGACAAGCAGCAAGGGTGCCAAAAAGAAAGGGATGCCGGAGCCAACCATTCTATGTTCGAGTACTTGATGTGGTTAACGGCCTACCACCACGCCTTCCTATAAGGATGATAGTCTATCTACATTTCTTGATTTTTAGGGCAAATAAACAGAGTGATTAATTCATTGGTTGCACGATATAAACCAAAATCAATTATAACCCTATCAACGTGAAGAGCATAACTTCAGGTCTATGGGTTTGGCAGTAGAATTGAATTCTATGGAGCACCAACATTTTAATTTTGAATATATTTTAATTTTGAATATATATAATTATTATTATATATTTTTTTTTTTTCTGGTGTGGAACAACTTCTTAATGTCATCATGATATTTACAAAAAATCACATATTTTGTACGCAATCAAAATATCATTTTCTGGTATCTATATGTTGTATTTATATATGTAATATATATATATATATTTTTTTTTTTTCTGGTGTGGAACACTTCTTTAATGTCATTCATGATATTTACAAAACACACATATTTGTATCGCATCAATATCATTTCTGGTATCTATATGTGTATTTATATATGTAGTTTATAGATTGAATTTGAAACACAACCTCTTCCGAATTACTTAATCAATTTTGATTTATTAAATTTATTTTTAAATAAATTAAAAATTTTCAGTTATTGGTTAATCATTCCAATTTCACCAATTATCCACTAACCAGTGTTGCTAAAGTGATTATGATTTGATAATATATAAAAAATCCATTAACTATTTAGTTTTAAATTTATAATGAAACATCAATAAGCACCCTAATCAAGATTCTAATTTTTACTACTTTATTCTTCCTTTCATTGTGTTTGGATTTTGGACCGCATGCTTGATTTATTGGGCTGGGCTTACGACTTCTTGTTATCTTGCTTGATTTATCGGGCCGTTCCTAATTAGAAAAACAGCCACATGCTGCCATGCATATATAATATAATAATAGCCCACGAGTTAAGACATATCCAGCGTGCTTAGCGGTTTTTACTTTTTCACTACTCGACGTAAATTACCGTTATGCCCTATTAATTAATTGATTATACATATAATTATGTTAATATTAGGTTTTGACCTCTATTTTAAAATTGTCTCTACCTGTCTACCAAATATGACATAGCTTATTTATGGCAAGTGGTCTAAAGGTCGAAGTACGAAAATCTTATGCCCAGATTTGCTTGACAAGTTAAATAGTCTTATCCTTTAATTAAAAATTACTTGCGTGCCGGTTAAAAAACATACACTTAGATTCTGTTGCACAAGTTAAAATAATTTCTAATAAATTATTTATTTTCACTTTATGCATTGTATTTTATTTTATTGAATCTATTTAATGACATTTTGAATCAATCAGCTGTGTTTTAATTAGTCTTCTTACTAATACGAGAAGTGTGATGTTTCAAATTTGAATTTTCTCAATTACACGAATTTTTACCAATTTAATGAGTCGAGAAATGTTATATCTATCGTATACTCTACCTGTGTTATTTAGGAAAAAAAATTATTAAAAATTAGGCTAAAAAATTGTCAAAAGTTACTAAAGTAAATTTCTGAAATCACCCTGCATATCCCAACAGTAACCAACTTAGCATTTACTATTTTCCAATAATTTATTTTGTCTGACTCAGCAATTGAAGAATTATAAAAAAATCGTAATTTTTCGAATTTAACCAAGCCCATTGCCACCCTAGCCTAGTCATCCACGCAAAGACCAAAACAAAGACGGTAAAAGATCTTAAAAAATGGAAAGGAAGGCGCATCCGAAGAACCTTCCATAATGCCAACTTGTAACAGCCCCGTCTCATTTCCTCCTCATACATAAACCCCCTCGTCTCTTTCATTTTTACTTACAAGTTACAAATTCTTCACACTTCTCCTTAAACCCTGTTATTATATCAACACCTTAAGCATTTTCTGTACTCTAACCCAAGATTACTTAGCTTTGGTAAAGATGTGTGGCGGTGCTATTATAGCTGATCTCATCCCTCGCAACCGTGGCCGTGGCGTCTCCTCTTCTGACCTCTGGCCTGAATCCGCCTTCTCTAAACTCAATCCCTTCCAGTCTTATCCGAGCTCATTCGGCAACCATGATTCGTTCACTCTTAAAAGATCCCAACCTGCTTCAGGTAATTGACTATGCTCAATTTATGTTCTTTCTCCCATTCTTTGTTTAGGTTTTAGAGAAATTGGTTTTGATTGAGGAAATTATACAAACAGGTGATAGGCAAGTAGAGAAGACACCTAAAAAAAGGCAAAGGAAGAACTTGTACAGAGGTATAAGACAACGACCCTGGGGCAAATGGGCAGCTGAAATTCGTGATCCAAGAAAGGGAGTCCGTGTTTGGCTTGGGACTTTCAACACTGCCGAAGAAGCTGCGAGAGCTTACGATAGAGAAGCGCGTAAAATTCGAGGCAAGAAAGCCAAAGTCAATTTCCCTAATGAGGATGATTCCTACACCATTTCTCAAAATCACCTTAACGGACATAATCATAGAAACAATCCTCCTTTTTATCAGCCTCTCACTTGTAATTTCAACAACACTCCCAAAAGTTATGATTTTGGGTTCGGTTACGATTTAAACCATATTGGATCTTATAATTCAAATGGTATGAACACCGAACCTGTTATCGTTTCTGGCGAAGAGATTTCTGGGTCTGGTTCAGAGGAGGAAGCCTACTCACTGATAGGCAATAATTACATGGGCGAAGTAAAAGTTAAACAGGAAGAAGAGAAAATGGAAGTGGAGAAAGTGAAAAACAGAGAGGTAGTGATAGTGGACTTAGAATCAGAGCAGCAAGAGAGCGAGCTGCAGAAATTATCAGAGGAACTAATGGCTTATGAGAATTACATGAAATTTTATCAGATTCCTTATCTGGATGGGCAGTCAACGGCACCGAATACGGCTCCTCAGGAAAGCGTTGTTGGAAATCTCTGGAACTTCGACGATGATAGTGTTGCTGCTCCGGTAACGTCTTCTGCTCTCTAACAAAGGAGATCGGCGATCGTTTTTGGTTTTGTTATGTTGTTAAATTTATTGTATTTTGGTGGGGCTGGGAATATGTAATTATGGGAAATTATGATTTTTTGCGTTATGCTTTTCATATTGTTTGTGATGCGTAAATTTTATTTTATGTTTTAATGTCTAAACAATTGTATTTATGTAAGCCTCTTTGAAATTCTTCCAATAATAATCAAACTGATCGATTCAGTAAAAAAAAATAATGGTTAATTTTGCAAACTTAAAAAATGGATAAAAATAAATAAATTAATTTAAATAATTATTATTTCTCTCATTCTTTCATTCAACAATTTAAGATCGATAATTCATTTTAAAAAATATTTAAGACCGACAATTGTATTAAATCAGCTTGCTGTAGATGCACATGTGGAAAAAAAAAATAATTTACATAAATTTTCATTTCCATTGATTAAATTGACATTTTATTGTGGTGCGACCCAAAAAAGTAAAATTACAGTGAATTAATTAAGTAATTTGCATCCTTTTAAAAGAAAAATTAAATAATTTGCATAAATTGTCATTTCATTAATTAAAGTAACATGTTATTTTTTATGGATCATTAGTCTTTTAATGAATCTAACATAGCATTTTATTTTTCCTAGTAGAAATATATATATTTTTTTTATAAAGTTTATTTTACTTTATTTTATTATTTGAAGAAATAAAAAGGTCAACAAAATAATTGGAGGCGCTAGTTGGAAATAAATGTAGATCGGAGATAAGGAAGAATTCGTGAGCGCGTGAATAGAAGGTCAAAAATGTCAAAATGAAATACCGACAAGGTAACAACAAAAGTTAGTTGCGGTGCGGTGTGGGGTACCTACCTAAGGAGTAGGAAGCGCAGCCAATTTTGAAACTTGCGACTGCGTTGCTGGTTTCGGGCTTCCATCCGTTGGATTACACAATTCACCGTGGGCGCCCATTGCATGAAAAACTTGTACGTTTCTGATGCGTGGCACAACGCGCTAACGCAATGCAACGTGCAGACTCTACGACAGTATGACTAGTGGGACCTATGGTACTGCAATCTATCCAAACATGTAATGTAACCAATAATAACAAAAAATTCCTCCTTTTTGAATTTTTTAACATTGTCAGCTATGGAGAGAATTGTTGGAGTAAAAAACAGGTTAGATATATGCCCTTCGCAATATTCATATTTTAATTAATTAATTGTAATTCTCTCTATTTAAATTTGATAATTTGTGATTTTTCATAAAAATTAAGAAAATAACTACTAAATCACTTCAATTTAAAAAAAAGAAATTAACTAAATTACTCATTAATTAATATCCGTTTAATTGAAAAAAAAAATTTGAATATCTAAATAAGGGCATAGTTGAAACAAAATAATCAATGTTACTTAAATTTTATAAAAATAAAATAAAAAATAAAAAATTATCAAATCAATATATATAATAAGTATTTTTTTTCCCTAGAAAGTTGACATGTGGCATATCCACTTGGTAGTTTAATTTGACATATGGCATATTTCTATAATTAGGCTTCCACTTGACATGATTTGATTTGAATTTATTTATAATTAGTGTTTTTGGTTTGATCATACAACGTATTAATGTATTGATTTGGATTTATTTTGAGTTAGTGTTTTCGATTTGATTTGATTTGATTATTTAATGCATTGTTTTGGTTTGAATTTGTTTTGAATTAGTCTTTTTAGTTTGATTTGATTTTGTTATTTAATGTATTAACGGCTTTAAATAATTATTATTAATTTTTAATTTTTAAAAAATAATAAAATTTAATAACAAATGTATTAATGACTTCAAATTTGTGAAGTTACCAAAACATTTCAACACTTTATTAGTGTTATTAATGTTTTCAATGTTTAATTTGATTATTTGTGTAGTTTTATTAGTTTTCTATTTATTTTTTTTAATTGTATAGCAATACACTTTTTTAAATTTTTAAATTGTTCACTCTAAAAAAACACTTTAACTTTCTTAAAAATACTATATATATAAATTGTATCGCTATATTCTTATGTATTTTTGACAAAAATGTATTGATCCCTCTTTTTAAATATATTATTCGTTTTTTTTTTTAAAGTTCAAAATTTCTGCATTTCAACTATTTTCACCAATGAGGTAAGTAGTACTTACTCAAACGTTTTTGGTCTCATTTTCTAAAAATTATTTAATATTTTTTTATTGTCTTAAACTATCTAATACAAGTGAAAAGTACGATATAATTGAAAATTTGAATACAAATAGAGATGATTGGAAAATAAAAGTAAGGGTATCACGATTGTGGGATGTGTCTTTGAACAATAGTGGAGATTTTACGAGTACATGTGGTATTGTTGGATGAAAATATTAAATATAATATTTTACATTTTTATTATTTGCATAACCAATTAAAAATAATGCTATCACTTTACGATTTAGTTCCTTTTACATAAATTATCGGTTTTAATTCAGCTGCAAATTAATCTCTTTTTCGAATATTTGTAATTCAATTCTTTTTTATTTTTCTAAGAAAAGCCCAGAATTAAAGTTTATACAACGAAAAAAATAAATATTGTTACTTTAAATTTTTTAAGATGAAAATCAAAAGATAAACAGACAGTTAGATTTGCAAGAACTTTTCATTTTTTACCTTTAACATTTAAATATTTTTAAACTTTAAACCAATATATTGAGGGGTAAATATAAGAATTAATCTTGAATTTAATATTAAAAGCTTTCATTATACAAATTAATTTTTAAAAAAACTAATTAGAATTAAAATTTAATTTCGACAAAATTTATAAAAAAAACCACAATTTAAAAAAACTGGTGCTTAATGCTAGTTTAATATAACGGAGGGAGGGAGCAAGTTAAAAGAATTCTAATTAATTACTATCAACTATTATTTGAAGTTATAAATAACACCAATTGAAGTCACCTTTATGGCTTTAACTAACACTTGAAAGTCAAATATAAGGAATAAAAAAAAATAAAAATTATAAAAATATGAATTATCATACGGTTGGGGATTTCAAATCTCCCAAAATTTTTACATTTTCAAACACTTGATTTCAAAAATAAACTAATAGTAGTAAGTCCATCTATATTAGCAAGTCGAACAATGTTACCAAACAATAGTATATTAGATCTTATCCAGAAATGGATTTATTTGTAGGCTCAGTATTGCCTACTACTGGAAAATTATTATCTTACCAACTTCAACAAACAAAAAAAGAGCAATAAGTAAATAAATAATATAAAGTTCCAATTTTTGCATCAAGAAACCGGAGACGGAGTTAAATCGGTTCAAAATGGTACTCTTTTTGTCTCAAAAAGATAGGTCACTCTCTATTTTCACACAGATTAAAAATGTAGTAATTATTTTAATTAAAGGATAAATTTATTCATATAAGCTTCTTATTATGTCATTTTAAATGACAAATGAGCAATTATTCGAACAATAAATAAAAATTAATGAGGATTGTTGAAAATAAGATAAAATTTAATAAGAATATAATATATAATTTAAGGACAAATTATAATGAAAAAAAAAAAATTATATTTTAGAACAAATAAAAAAAAGAAAGATTATCTATCTTAGGGAGTATTATACTAATTTTGCTCTCACCGCGTTCGTTGGTTCATTACAAATAGGGTGCTATCTGCAAAGACGCCTAAAGCCCAGCATGAGCCCAATCGGATTTTGAGTTTGTCCTTGAAATTTAACTAAACCTGTCCTTTCATCAAAATGAAAATACTAACCTGCGGCTACTCATATGTCTTTACAGAAGATTTTGTTTTTTTTGGAAATTGGAGGAAGGAAAATAATAGGTGAAAATAATACGAAATTGTTAATTTACTTTGTATGTTTTTTTTTTAGAATTATTATTATTATTTTTCACTGTTGTATTTGAATATAATAAATCAAAGAAAATAAATTTTCTTTAAAAAAGAACAAAATTTTAGAGGAAATAAAATGTTATTATTAAAAATTGAAAATTATATTCTCACTTAAATAATGAGGTATTTAAGAAATGCTTAAAATTTATTAATTAATTTGAGGTTATTTTAATAATTTAGTAAAAATAAGTGAAATCTGTTTTCGTCCATCATTTTCTTTACAAATTGACAGATTTAAAATAAATGAAATATTAGCTCTTTCAATATTTTTCTCCTCCATCTAAAATAAGGGAAAATACATTTCCCTAGACATTTTCCATATATAGTTGTTTTCTTTATTTCAAAAAGAAAACTCTGATCCGAACAGAATCATTGATTTGTTCTCTTTAAAGAAGATTTTTTTCGCCAACAGTTCAAAAACTTCCCTAGAATAACGATCAAGGGACAAAAAGAAAAAGTAATCACATGCAAGTGGCTCCACATGTCTACAGTCTACTGTCTGTAGAAATTAGCTAGAAATAGATTGAACACTAACCAAATTCAATCAGCAACCATTGAATTAACACTCCATTAGTAGACATATGCATATATGAAAAGAAACTAGCTAGAAGCTTACGTAACATACTTATTAATTAATTAATTAGGTAAATCTGCAAAGATAATGTACTGCTAACCAGCAATGGCAGCAGATTTTGGCAAAACATCATAATTAATGAGTTACTAATACGCGTAGCGGAAAGTTATAGCCATTGTTATTTTTGCCTAGCGAGACTCCCTCTCTCTCTTCCACTTCTGACTCATTTCGCAAATGGCTTCTTGCAAAGCAGTTACACCTTCAGCTATAAATACACACATTCACATGGAAACTAAGTATATCATTTTTTCTCTCTTCAATATACTTGATTTCTTCTCAAATGGGTACCTTTTGGTCTAGGGTTTTCATTATTTTTTTTCTCCTCTTTATGGCTTCATCGGAAACTGATACTATCCAAACTTTCATTGTTGGTGTTGAAAACGATATGAAACCATTTCAGTACTCTGAGTTGGAGGAATGGTATAGCTCTATCCTCCAAGGCCTGAATTCCAATTCCTTATCCTCAGGTCAAATTACTAATGAAATTCTTCATGTTTATAAGTCGGTCTTTCAAGGGTTCTCGGCTAGGTTAACTCCACAACAAGCACGAGCATTAGAAGAACGTCCTGAAATTCTTAATGTGCTTCCTAATCACGTTTACCAACTTCAAACAACCCATTCACCTCAGTTTCTTGGACTGAGAACCAGTAACAGCCGAAACAGTCTCTCCAGCGAGTCAAAATACGGTGCTAATGTTATCATTGGTATGCTTGACACTGGTATATGGCCAGAACTAGAGAGTTTTAACGATAAAGGCCTCGACCCTATCCCTTCTCGATGGAAAGGAGTATGCCAAGGAGGAGAGGGATTTCCCAAAACATTATGCAACAAAAAGCTGATCGGAGTCCGTGACCTCACTAGGACTGGCTCTGGGAAAAATTCCGTTAGAGACACTGCAGGCCACGGCACACACACGGCCTCCATTGCTGCCGGAAAAGCAGTCAACAACGCCTCGTTTTTTGGCCATGCAAAAGGCACTGCAGTGGGTATTGCACCCAAAGCAAGGCTTGCTGTTTATAAGGTATGTTCAGATGTTGGTTGTCAAAGCGCAGACATTCTTGCTGGCTTTGACAAGGCCGTCGAAGATGGGGTCCACGTGATCTCTATATCCATTGGTCCAACTTCGGCTCTTCCATTGTCTATGGACGTGATAGCGATTGGCTCCTTTGGTGCAATGGAAAATGGGGTAATTGTATCCGCAGCTGCAGGAAATTCAGGTCCATCATATTCTACTGTGACAAATATAGCACCATGGGTGATCACTGTTGGTGCTAGTACCATAGATAGAAAGTTCCCTGCTGATCTATTACTTGAAGATGGTACTACTATCAATGGAATATCTCTCTACACTGGCACTGCCTTTGGCAAGAAGAAATTTCTACCTTTGATTTTTGCAGGAGAATCAGGATCATACTGTTTTGCCGATACGCTAGAAGAGAAACTGGTGCGTGGCAAGATTGTATTATGTTATCGTGGTGGATCAGGTGTTCAAAAAGGGATGCATGTAAAGAAAGCTGGTGGAGTCGGCATTGTTGTGGCCGACTTGCCACATTCTGTTGGGAGTAGTTTAGCTGATCCTCATGTAATTCCTGGATTGGCTATCAACGATTCATCCCGTCAAGTAGTTCTAAAATATATTTCATCTTCTCTGAAACCACGTGCTAAAATGGTGTTTCATGGAACTCAAGTAGGGGTCAAACCAGCACCTATTGTTGCTTTTTTCTCATCTCGTGGCCCCAACGAAAGGTCTAATTATGTGATGAAACCTGATGTGATTGCACCGGGTGTTCAAATTTTAGCAGGTTGGACTAATGCCACGTCTATAACCGAATTGGATGGTGATAAGCGACACAGCGAGTTCAACATAATATCTGGCACGTCAATGGCCTGCCCACACGTGTCGGGTATTGCTGCTCTTTTGAAAGGAGCCCATGGTGATTGGTCACCGGCTATGATCAAATCGGCAATCATGACAACTGCGTATGCAACTGATAATGGTGGAAATCCAATACTAGAAGAAACCCACCACAAAAAGAGTACGGTATGGGACATGGGAGCGGGACATGTCAATCCAGAAAAAGCCCTTGACCCTGGTCTTGTATATGATCTGAATACTGATGATTACCTGAACTTTTTATGTGCGTCAAGTCTGAGGAAAGAAGAAATCAAAGTTATCACCCGAAGATCAGTAAACTGCAAAGGACGTAAGCGCGCTAACCCGTGGGACCTGAATTACCCTGCAATTTCTGTTGCTTTCGACGCATCAAAGAGCACCAAGGAGATTGTGGTTAGTAGAACGGTGACGCACGTCAGCAACGAAGGGGCAACCTACACAGTTAATATAAAAAAACCAGAGGGTGTAATTACAATCGTTCAACCTCAAAAGATGGTATTCAAACGTAAAGGTGAAAAGATGAGCTACAAGGTTCGAATTGTGAAGAAGAAGCATGAAGCCGCAAGCGTGCCAAGCGGGTTTGGGCAGCTTACGTGGACAGATGGGAAACATCTAGTTACTTCACCTTTAGTGGTGACTTGGCTTTGATTACTTAAACTATTTTGTGCCAATACTTCTATTACCAAAATTATAGTCTAATTTAATTATAGATAAATAAAAGTTTTTTTAATAAATTATATTTTGTAGTTTCTCGAATTTTATCTTTTAGTATATGGTGATATAGAAATCAATATGAGTTTTTTGAAAGGTATTACTCATAAAATAATATTTCACCTTATTAATTTTTTACTAAAACAAATAAGTGGACAATTAATTCATAATGTCTATTAATTTTCTATCTAAACATGAACTATTATTCATCTTAAATTTCATAATTAATTGTCAATTTGTATAATAATTAATTTGATCTTTAAAAAAAAAATATTTCAAGGATCACTTGGAAATTGAGAGTGGCCAAATACATTTAAATTTTATTTTTTATAAAAAGTAAATAAGTTATTCCGCACAATTAATTTATGATTTTTATTTATGGTTAGGGCTTTATTGAGTTGAGTATGATGAAATGATTATTTTAATTTTCTCAATTTTAGCATTTTGAACAAATTATATTTGAACTAGTTACTTTTCACCATTTTTTAGAAATTGTTTGTAACTATTATTTTTCAATTTATATATACACTAAGTGCGGTTTGGACTATTAATATTTGTTGAATAAAAATTATGATCAACATGCCTATGTTTTGGTATATGGATAGACTAATACACCAAGCCAGTTGGTTACTCTTTATCGTCTAAGAAAAATTATCATAATTTGTTATTATATCATCCTTTTTGTAGTGAAAAAAACACTACCACACTTATTTATACCAAATGATTTTTTTGAATTGATTTAGTGTGTAGTGCAATTTTTTTGAATTGCTCCAAAGCAAGAAAATTCTACATAGGAATTTAAGAAATTAGCCATTGTAAGACCTCAGGCCCAGAAATGAGTAAACATGGCCTGCCAGATTAGTAACATAGGCCCATTAGAAGGAGAATTATTTTTCAGCCCAATTCATAAAGAGAAGAAATATAAACCCTAAAAGGCCCAAAATGTCTGAAACCCTAGGGATGCAGCGAAGAAGTCTTGTGGTATATATATGCGCTTAACATTTCCTTCTCTTATCTCTCTGCAAATAGCAGCTACCACCAGAGAGGGAGAGAGAGAAAGAGAGAAATGGTTTCGCTGAAGCTCCAAAAGCGGCTTGCCGCGAGCGTTCTCAAGTGTGGGAAAGGGAAGGTATGGCTCGATCCCAATGAAGTCAACGAAATCTCCATGGCCAACTCTCGTGCGTTTCCTACCTCTGTCTCTCTTTTTTTTTTTGTTCCTTCTCTTTCTGTCCATATATCATTTCCCTCCGTTATGGGATTAAGATTTACCTAGTGGATTGTGTGTGTGCGCTTTGCCTGTGTGAATGATGTTTGGCGAAAATGGATTAGGATTTTGCATCGTTGCTGTACAAACTGTTTTGTATTTCTGCCAGTAGCTTGCGATTGGGGCTCGTTTTGATTGATACAGTTGTTGGATTAATGGCTTCATGTTCGAGAAATATATCAAAACTGGTTGGTAAAGTTTGATGTAATGATTAATGTCCATTACCAATAGTGTCAAATTAAGGATCCTAGAAATCTTTCATAATGTATTTCTCAATTAACTTTCCTTCCTCCTACATCACACACACTTAAAACGACCGGGTTGCTTCTAATATTGTTTGCTTTGTGCATTCATATAGCAGAAACCAGCATTTTTCACGAAGTAAATAACCAATAACGTTTGTATTATGTTGAATCTATTACTCAGGTGACAAAGACTGAAGAAATAATTTCCGAGTCTTACAGACTTTGTAGTTGTCAATTAGTTTGATTTTCATGTTTTATACTTTCTGCTCACTGCATTTTGATATTCACTTCATTGCTTTGTTGCTTTGGTTGTTAACCTTCTATACGTGGATGATATTGTTATCTCATTTCGTGAATTATCATTATTATTTTTGTCCTATCCTATATATCAGGACTTCACATCCACTGGCAAATGATTTATCTCCTGCGTTACAATATTGTGTTTAGGTGCATTTGCTTCCTGTTATCTATTTGTTTGTTAATGCCATTTATTGGAACAGCAAATTGAACATCTGTGGGATATGCACAAATTCTGGTTGTATTGGGAAATTTTTTGCCAACTAAACTTTCTTTGCAAAATACAGGCCAAAACATAAGGAAGTTAGTTAAGGATGGTTTCATCATCAGGAAGCCAACAAAGATCCACTCCCGATCTCGGGCACGTCGAATGAAGGAAGCCAAAAGAAAAGGGCGACACTCTGGATATGGTATATTTTCCGCCTGACTAGTATATATTTTAGAAATTGAAATTTGTAAATTATGAATATGTTCTTTGGCCATTTAGTTAGTTATGGGCTGTATTGAGCTATTTTTCAATTCTGAATCAGTTGATATTCAGAAATAATGATACGAGTTGAACTTATTAAGAAATATGCATTGCTGAAGTACATACTGGGAAGTTTACTGGTTTTCATTAGTAGACTTTTCTCATTGTGCATCTATAATATTCATTTCTATAAATTTCCATTAACTGTCAAGCTGCAATGGATAATTCTAGGTAAGCGCAAGGGTACAAGAGAGGCTAGGCTGCCAACAAAGATTCTCTGGATGAGAAGGATGCGTGTTCTCAGGCGTCTGCTCCGCAAGTATAGAGAATCAAAGAAGATTGACAAGCACATGTACCATGACATGTACATGAAGGTGAAGGGTAATGTCTTTAAGAACAAGCGTGTTCTTATGGAAAGTATTCACAAGTCAAAGGCTGAGAAAGCTAGAGAGAAGACTCTGTCTGATCAGTTTGAGGCTAAGAGGGCAAAGAACAAGGCAAGCAGGGAAAGGAAATTTGCGAGGAGGGAGGAACGATTGGCCCAGGGGTATTTGTAGTGGTATTATAAAGATTATCTCACTTTCTAATGACCTAAAGTTCATACTATGATCAAATAGTACTTTTCGAAAAGAGAGAATCAATTCTGTTGGCCTCTCCGCGTGTAATATCAGTCGCCAAGACCTTGTAGTTATGTCATTAGTTTAGTGTTTGTAGTTTTCTCTATGTTTTGTATCTATTATTTTCACTGGGCCTCACTTGCCATTTTGATTATTTCACTTCATTTTGCTTTTGTTGCTTTGGTTGTCTTAACCTTCTATACGTGGAATGATATTAGTTATTATCTCGCGCAATAATTTTCGATATGAAACCATATATCATTATTAACTTTTGTTGAATCCCTTCTATGCCTATATGATGTCAGGATCTCTAAACGCAACTAATCCAACTGGACTATATCCAATCGACATTATATCTCCTGACGATGACTTCAAGTTAAGATTGTTGTGCTTTAGAAGTCCTAGTTGACATTTAAAGTCTTCTCCACCTTGAATTATTACCTTATTGATTTGGTATTTAGTAGCCATTTATTGGAAAACAGCAAAGCTTATGGGCAAGTACTATCCTGTCTTGGTAGATAATTGACACAATAATTTTCTAATTGAGTCATTCCTTTGGAGGGAGGAGAGATTATTTATGCCCAACACATCTCTCCACCATTTCCTTGATCATACACCACTAACATGGTTCTCTGAGAAAAACATAAACCAAAAGAATAATAAGTCCTTAAGTGATTTGTTTTTCTAATCCATTTTCGACTTTCCGAGGAAAAACCCAAAACAACTCAAACGATCTCCCAACCATTTCCTAACCTCCCTGATGTTCATTCGCGCAAAACGGCTCCACAATAATGGAGAGCCAAAAATAGCAAAAAGACGTGCTGTCATCACTCTGTGAGTCATGGGTTAATATTTTTCCGAACCTGGACTAGTGCTCATAAATCATTTATGTAGAACATATTATGTCGAGCCTCGCCAAATTTTGTCATCATAATGTCCATTGTGAATTAGTAGTTTACTTCTTTGGTCCATTACCTCGTCATAATAGTATATGGGAGCCTGTACCCTCGGGCATAATCATTATTCAGCAATTACATTGAAATCAAGATTTCGGCATATATAAATCAACTTACTAATATGATTAATAAGACCGCACCTGGGTTTCAGAATTTTATTGAGAATGTCGGAAATCCACTGGTCCGAAGCTTTGCTCGCGAATTTTAGCTAGCAATGACTGGGGAAGAGTCTCTACCTAAAAGTGTCCTCATTTCATATTCTATGGTCAATGCACTTCTTTCCCCATTTGTTGTTCCTCGTGTACCACCACTGTAAACTTACAAATATTTCAATTTTACCTATATATTATGTTACCATAAACACATGGTTGCCTCATATGGTTGTCAATGTTGCCTACAGCTTTCTTCACATAGTGATCTCAACTGCGCAAGGGTACAAGAGAGGCTAGGCTGCCCAATATTCAATAGACCTATCCTTCTGGTCTAGAGAAGAATGCGTCGGTACTTACAAGGAGGCGATACCAAATGCGAAAGCTTCCCCGGCAGCTTATATTCTTAGACCTAACCCCAATAATGAATGTAGTTCTCAGACCACAGACAGACAAGTAGTGGCATCATAGGCTACTGAGAAAGTTCTCACATTATAGGGACCACTGTACTGCAATCTTTTGGAGATATTGGGGAAAAAATGTCGTCGGTAAATGCAGTCTTTTTCTAAAGAATCATAGAACGGTTTTCTATATTGGCCAGAAAACTGGTGTAATTAACCAGTTCCCACCCTTATATACAACCATAAACGCCGCTCTTGATGGAAATAAGTAGCCTTATAGAGAGTAATTGGAAAGAAGCATCTAGTACACATGGCAATCAGGTCTTATTTGTATCTGTGACACCAATTAAAGAGGGACCAAAAAGTAGCGAAGGCCCAAGAGGCGTACGTTTCACGGAGTAAAATTGATACTCAAGATTATACGCTACCAGTAGGATAAGGGGGAAAAGCTCAAGGGGATTAAACCGTAAGATGTTGAGTTCACCCAGGGTTTCTTGCCATTATATTTAATTTTTTAACCGCACAGAATTATTTCTAACCTTCCTGATTTAGTTTTTTTGCATCTTTCATATTAGTGGGTTCATTGGTTCGCCAGTATATATTTCGTTACAATATTTAAATGAGGCCCTTGGTCTTGCAGAAATATCTGAGTCCGATGGAATTGTAAGAAGCTCTCCTAGGTTTGTATTTAGCTTTGGGATCTTAGACAGCTAAATGGCCATAAATTCTTGATTACATTGTAAAAGAAATCGTTTGACAAAACGACATTTGACTTTTTCAAATTTGATCTCTTTCCAATAATCTTCTCCAATGGCATCAAAAGTTTTTAGGCACAGGCAAGCTGGTTTAAAAACAGTGGGAAAAATAGCTTCCATTGGGTTTATAGTTCTTCTCTTTTGAGGTATTGCATTTCTCCTAGGGAGGTAGGGGAAGAAACCTGATAAACTTGTAGGAACTCTTTGCGGGTCTTCTTCTCGAACTGCTCTTGGGCGGCATAGCAATCTTTGGTTACAATTATTCTTCAAACTTACCACAATTTTGGACTGGGACAACCAGTCGATGTTATGGATTTTGAACGATTCTTTAGTTTGATAGTTAGAGGAAATTTTTGAAAAGCCTTTAGGTGTGGAGAAGTCGGGACTGCCTAGTTAATCCTTGTGGTCGTTTGACATTGCTGATATGTTTTTACCATGTGTAACTTGTTTTGTACTATGGGTGGGGTATCTTTAAAAGAATCCAAGGATATGAAGCGGAATTGCCCAAGAAGGTTCTGACAATTGATAACTGATTGTTTGGAAAGGCGCCAAGGGGAAAAATAATTAATATTTGATAGGGATTATTTTTATGGGGTTGTAGTGGTACTTTCAGTTGTGTTTGCGAGTTTTCTTTAGAATGGAACGTCATTTGGTAATTGAGAGACGATTACCAGTTAATTTTGCTATTAAGTGTATTGGTGGGAAAGGACTAAGGTTTTTTTTAAAAATGAAAACTTGGAAATTGAGCAACTATCGTTAGTGCCCTCTCACGTCCTTTCTCGTATATGTGTCCTTCAGGTGTGGCTTTGATGTATGGGTTTTTAATGCCTCTTGCTCCGGAATTAATATTTTTGAATTTTGATTACCGGTAGATTATGTATTTAATGTGTCTCTTATGCGATTACTTGTACTTCCGAATGCACGTAACCCGGTGGACCGATGAGCATCCGCCCAAAGCAAGCACCGAACCGGAGTAACCATTTTTATCTGCGTAGGATTCTGAAGGCATATTTAGTAGTGAGGTTCTTTCTTTTATGCTCTTAATATCACATACTTCCCCACTACTGTTCTCTTTCTTAACGTGGAATATTGAAGAAAATCCGGTTTAAAAGCCGCATTTTGTGGCACTACCAAAACTATCTTCTCTCCACTTGTAGGAAGGAAATTTATTGTTGTCCTATTTTTAAATCCTCTTTTTCATTTATTGCATTGGCTTTTTTATACAGTAACTTGCTGGATTCAGATTATTGTATCGATAAGGTTCGTAGGCCCGCCAGAATTCCGTTACAGGAGGATATATCTTGGATCAGTAAATCACATGTGATCTCTGGCATCAGGGTGATATGGATGGGTTTTTGGGGGGAACCATCTTTTTTTGCCCATAGAGAAGTGTTTAGCTATACACGTGTAACACTTCACTTATAGTCTGATATCGAGAAGATCTTTTTATCATTATATTTTATTGACGAGAGAGATATGATAGTCATCTCTTTAAATTTTACCTCTTTTTCCTTGATATGTAAAGATTTATATTGAGATTAAAGAATTTACCGTCGGATTAATAAGTGATTAATTCAAAAGAACTGAACATAGAGAGTGGATGATACCTTTTGAATAGATTCCACTTCGATGTAGTAATAGATTCATTAAATGAGAAGTAATTCCCTTTTATTTAGAAAATTTTTCTCGTAATTATTGTATTAATGAATAATTATTAAAGAAAATCGAATTAGATTAATGAAATTTGTTCGACATAATCATTTCATTTTTAATATTGTTTATACGTTAATGCCTGTTGCTACTTGAAAAATTCCTGTATGTTAAATCATCGACGTATCCATTGTTTCAGCTTTTGTGGAGATTGAATTATAATGTTACACTTTTTCTATATACTCTAAAATTCTAAATCTGTTGCGTTAATCTTTGTTTATAATAATCAAACGAGATTATCAAAAAAATATCACCGTTTAATAATGAATTAATAATAATAAGAAAACCTACAAAGACATTATGTTTTTAACTAAATGGTCTCCTTATTATATTCCTCTCGTACAATACGCTCTTCTAATTGCTACCGTTCACCTTATTCCTCGCATAAAAAAGATTCACTTACAAGAGTAAATATTATATCTTAACTTTGCCTATGCAATCTATAGTGACTTTCTATATTATTGTCTTCTAAAAGAGCTCACAAATTGCTTATTGTCTCATGCCAATCATTGCTATGTTTGCGCGTTGTTTCACGCGAGAGCAATATAGCATGAATTTTCAAATAATTACCCGCATTTGAAATAGAATATCATAAATAATCATCAAATAATTTTTGAAATCATTCCATATGAAATAACTCCTAATTCTCAAAGATAATAAATCTTTCACACATTTAAATTTTCAATTACATTTTTTTAAAAACCGTAACAACTTGATTTTATTTTATCGGGGTCTTGTGGGATATTTATAACTATTACTTTGGAAAAATTGGGATGACTGAATTAATGTTCGAATATCAATATTAAATTTACAGCATTCAGAAAATGAATTAAATTTACCATACAATTTACTGAATTTAAGGCGCCCCACAATGCACAAAATAACTTATGAAAAACACGCAATGGATTTGGTCAGTATTTTATCTCACAGTGCGACTCTCTCGGTGGTATTCATTGTCGTAATATTCTTTGGAGTATCTGGGCGTGTTAGCGCATATTGGCTTAATTCTAAATTATAATAAAAGTTAAGACTTCGGACTTAATTAGGAAGGTAAACAGCGATTATTTTTTAATAAAAGATGTTATGCCAATTTAACGTCTCTGGCCTCACCAAATCTTCTAGTACTAATAGCATGGATTATATTAATAGTTCCATTGTAGAAATTCTGCCCCTATCCATTCGCGCGCTTTTTTTGCTACGACATTCTAGAGGTCGGTAGCAACATTTTTGTGAGTAGACGATATATTCCACTATCTCGTGCTCACCCTTGGATTGCTTAGACACAATAGGCCCGAAGATTACTTGACCATTTTTTTATTGGTTATATTAGTGGCGATTTGGGTGGAACCTTAAAATTATATCATAATTTAGTGTACACTTATTCATCTTCCTCTATCAAATACGTTTCCTGGCACTCACTTCCCTAAGACAATTTTAGACTCAAACACAAAACCCTTGGATTAAATTTATTATTGATACAATTAATATTAGTTTGAGGTTGAACACAAGGAAAACAGAATATACATTGAAGGAGTAAATAGTTTGCACATACAAGGCTAAAGGGAATAAACACAATCCTTTACTCTTCTTTTCTCAAACCAGAAAAAAGAACAGGGGAAACAGCCAAAACATAAGGAAGTTAGTTAAGGATGGTTTCATCATCAGGAAGCCAACAAAGATCCACTCCCGATCTCGGGCACGTCGAATGAAGGAAGCCAAAAGAAAAGGGCGACACTCTGGATATGGTATATTTTCCGCCTGACTAGTATATATTTTAGAAATTGAAATTTGTAAATTATGAATATGTTCTTTGGCCATTTAGTTAGTTATGGGCTGTATTGAGCTATTTTTCAATTCTGAATCAGTTGATATTCAGAAATAATGATACGAGTTGAACTTATTAAGAAATATGCATTGCTGAAGTACATACTGGGAAGTTTACTGGTTTTCATTAGTAGACTTTTCTCATTGTGCATCTATAATATTCATTTCTATAAATTTCCATTAACTGTCAAGCTGCAATGGATAATTCTAGGTAAGCGCAAGGGTACAAGAGAGGCTAGGCTGCCAACAAAGATTCTCTGGATGAGAAGGATGCGTGTTCTCAGGCGTCTGCTCCGCAAGTATAGAGAATCAAAGAAGATTGACAAGCACATGTACCATGACATGTACATGAAGGTGAAGGGTAATGTCTTTAAGAACAAGCGTGTTCTTATGGAAAGTATTCACAAGTCAAAGGCTGAGAAAGCTAGAGAGAAGACTCTGTCTGATCAGTTTGAGGCTAAGAGGGCAAAGAACAAGGCAAGCAGGGAAAGGAAATTTGCGAGGAGGGAGGAACGATTGGCCCAGGTATGCTTTTAATTTTAAGCAATTTCTACTCTGTGATTTTGTATATTGAGGTTCATTGCAGTTATTCTTGTATTAAGGGGATTTTGAGATGTGTCATGTTAAAATTCTGTTTAGGGTCCTGGGGGAGAGAAACCTGTAGCTGCTCCGCCTGCTGCTGCATCTCAACCAACTGAGTAAGTACATTTGATAGAATTTTAAACCTGTGAATAAGCCCAGTAATCCTTGTCTGATGTATTTTTTTCCATTTACTTTGTTTTTCAGGGGGTCTAAGAAATCCAAGAAATGAGATCCAGAGGTTCTGACATTCTGTTGTTTGAGCAGAATAGTTTTGTTGATTTGGTGTGGTCTTTTGTTGATTTAGACTATGTTACTTCATATCTTAGATGGAAGAAGTTTAAAATATTGGCACTATGTAGCATCAATTTTCGTTTATATGTTTATGCTTTCGTTATATTTTGATTTGATTCGAGTATTTATTGCTTCATGATATTACGATGAGACGAGTGGGGCTATGAGGACCTGTATGGTGGCTGTTTATTTAATCATCTTTCTCTGTTTTTCTAGACGGCTGGCCTCAAATCTTCTACTGAAAAATTGATAAACCCTGTATATGTTTTAAGATGCATAATCTGGCCAAATTCCAGGAACTGGTTAAATCATTTTGAGGAATGTGTTTTGGCCTCTTTCTCATAAGATTTTATAACACGGAATCTATGTCCTATAAAGATTTTATATTATGAAAAAAGTTTTTAATCTCTTCAAGTTAGATTATAGATTAAAGTTTTGGTAGTGATCAAGACTGAACTGAGTGGGCTAATAGTGTAGAGAGATTGCTTGGAAATTCCCTTCTGAATTTTCCTTTGTGCTAGAAATAAGAAAATCGAATTGATTATGCTTTTGTCGACATCATCTTTATAATGCCTGTCGTGAATTCCTGCTATCCGACTATCCTTTTCAGCTTCTGCTTGTTGAAAAATGCATTTATAATACTGGCTATCTTGTAACAACAAATCAAAATAATATTAAAGTAAAAAAACACAATAATTGTTTAACCGGTCCCATATTCGAACCTCTAATGCTACCACTTCCGTGAAAGATCCTCAGTAAATTTTATGCCTATCAGATCTAGTGCTAATATGTCTAGCACATGCTATGCCAGTGCCAATATCATTTCGTTCGAGCAAAGCACATCATAAACGCTGTAGATATCAAACTCATGAATCATGAACTCCTATCAGAAACTTTCACATTATCATTGTAACCGTACAACTGTATATTCGTCTGTGGAATATACTTTTACTGAAATGTACTATTTTGCCTTCAATATATTCAGGCTTCAAAGAATTAATTCATCAACTTAGCCCCAAACAAGAAATACATATTGTCATTTTCGCGACCTCGGTATCATTGTCGTAATATCTTGATATCTGCTTGCATTGGTATCTAAAGACTTCGCTGGTAACGCGGATTTAAAAGAGCCATCCCGTCACCATCTCTGAATAATGGTTTATGTCCAGAGAAATCTGCACTTCCATGGTTTGCTCGACCTCTAGCTGCAACTTGGTGAGTAGACAAATCACGGTCACCTGGATTGCTGCAAAGCCCAAGTCTGACAATGAATGTCGCATTGGTACCTTTATCAAGGCCTTCACTCTCAATCCATACATGGCCTCCCATTAGACTCACAAACCTGATTAAATTATTTGAAATAGTGTGAACACAAGGAAAACAGATTACATAAGGAAAATGCAATACAAGCAAAGGATAAACACAATCTCTCTCTCAAAAAAAAAAGACAATTTATACTGGTCAAAATATTATATTAAGAATTGGATGCTGTTTATGCAGTGTATTTGGAATATTATTTGTAGCTCTACCGTTTGCAGATGGCAAGTCCAAGTCCTGCACCGCCATTATTTCGGCTTGATCCCTTTCTTGGCTGAGTGAATTTGGTAAAGAGGAGTGGGATATCTTGTGGGGAAACACCACAACCAGAGTCCTTCACCTGCAACAACCAATAGGATAGGGTGAAATAAAAACCATACTTAAATTCAAAGAACCGCAATAACAGCAAACCAATGCTTGCTTGACAAACTAGCTCATATGTAAGAACTTACATATAGATGAGGCTAACATAACTAACCACGACATAAATATAACAGCATAAGCAGACCAGACTGCCACTAAGCTACCAAAATAGAAACAACAAACCAAGAGATACCTTTATATGGATTCTAAGATTATAACAGATTCAAACTAAAATTCCAAGCAAAATTCAAATGCATTGATCAACCTGTACTCTTAGGTAGAAGTGGCCATCAGTTGACATTGGGTAAAATTCTGGAGGTCGCCAGTCTCTTAAAGAATCTGGTTTTGCAACAGAAGCAATAATTGAAACATAGCCCTCTTTTGTGAACTTGACAGCATTACCTACTACATTTAAAATAGTTTGCATAAGACGTTTCTCATCAGCTACAGCACACACAGGCAAATCCGGGCTTATGATCAATGTCATAGACAACTTCTTCAAGGATGCAATAGGCTTTATCAAATTAACAACCTACAAGTTCCAGACAGAGAAAATGAATAACCACACTGTCTCTATATGAAAGAGAGTGGTAAATATATATAACTGTACTAGTAAATATTACAGGAAAAAACCAGAGACTTTCACCTCTCTGAAAACTTCATGAAGATTGAACATCCCAATTTCTAACTCCAGGCTGCCATCTTCAAGTCTAGAAAGATCTAAGACATCATTAGTCAGTGTTGCTAAAAGGTTACTACTCTTTAGTACTGTTTCAATCATTGCTCGTTGTTCTGAAGTTAGCTCAGTCTCCAAAACAAGTGAAGACAATGCAATGATTGCATGCATTGGTGTCCTCATTTCATGGTTCATGACAGCGAGGAAATCATTGCGAGCATGAATTGCCATTTCTGCCTCTCGACGAGCTGATTTCAAGGCAACATTCTGTTCCATGAGCTGATCACGTGCCCTCATAGACTCTTCCAGTATAGCAGCATGTGAAAGAGCAACTGCAACCTATAGGAATATCCAAAAGGATTTCAGAAATGGAAATCTTGTTCTGTTCTCCAAGTTTATATTGAAAGCTTATGCACTTACAATATGTGCAAGTATTGCATGCAAAAGACACATGTGATTCGCATCATTCTTAGTTTCTCACATCTCTCAACATACCATCATATTATCACAGGTAGCAAGAAACATGAATTAAATCTCTAGATTAAACAAATGGATATGGGACAGCAAAATAAAAAGTTATCTGGCAATTCTATTCCGGCTTCGAAATTAAGCAAAGAGCCATGGAAGACCTGGTCTGCAACAACTTCAACTAGGTCCAACTCATGGTCCCGCCATTTTCTAGCACTGTCTGTAGGGAGAATCAGAACCATGACTGCATAACTTTTTGCAGAGAGATCAGGCCAATCGTTGATTTGGAAATTTGAAAGATGTAACAGGGGAACACGAACAGCAACAACCTCCGGTGGTTTGTATCTGCCTACGAGAGGTCTGATCCTAGCCAATGGACAGGTATAAGGTATACAAATTGCTTGGGCACTGTTGAAGACTTCAGTGACCATTGGATGGTTTATCGGCACGGTAGTTCCAACTTGTATTTGGTAGTTTAGGGTATGAGAAAGTTGCAGAGTCAACTCAGACCGCGATGGCATCCACAAAGCACATTCCTCTAGTCCTAAGGTCCTACCCAACTCAACAAGAGTAGTCTTCAATATAGTATGCCTGTCAAGTGTGCTTCTGATTTCATGAGTCAGCATTCTTACATGCCTTCCAGTTTCTTCCTGTGTAAGAATAAGTCCCATCTCCTTGTCAAGTTCTTCAGCCTTGTTCTTAAGAAGTAATTCTCGAGTTTTAACACTCAGTAGATCAGGAATAATGTGAACAAGCATCAAAGCAGTTGCACATGATACAATGGCACAAGAAACTTTTGCAATAGTCATCACCACGGCCACGGCTTTAGAATGCATAGTGAAGGTCCACAAGTTTATGAAGTGGGTTGCCCCACAAAGAACAATAAAAGCACCAAATTGCATGAGCACCCATCTGTATGGGAAGAATGCAGATTTTTGCACAAAATATATGAGCTCAATGGGTATCGAGAAGTATGCAAACGCAATTAAAACATCCGATATATACTGATATTTGACAAGAAGTTCCTCATGATGCCATTGGTTATCAATGCAATCACAGGACTCCATTATTCCCAGATAGCCAGAGTAAATCTGAAAGGCATCACAAAGAAAATGTCATGATAAATCAATCAGAACACGTAGTAATAATAGTACCAGCAGAGCAATGTACGACTTTATAAAGTAAAAATGGCCATTCCCACTTCCAAAAAAAAATTATTAGAGAAAACAAGAGAGCAAGCATGTAGAACTACGACATGAATCTCTTTTCCTTTTCTTTTGTTTTTCCCCTAGCTTGCTTGCTTCATTATTTATGATATGCCTTATTATGTATGTTCAGGATTAGAATCTAATCTGTTACATACAATTCAACGGTGACTGTAACTCCACAAGTGTCTTATACGCAAACAATTTCCATTCATATTCTTTTTTAAGGAGCTAAAAAACCTCAACTGATCCTCAATAAGAAACAAAAAGTCATAACCTTCTCCAGTGTATTCACTATTATTACTGCACGATTGAAATTTAATCAATCATACCAACTTGCTTAGCATCAATTTTAAAAATTTAATCCAAAACCATCCGAATAGTCAAATAAACAAAAACAGATTCGAAGTTGAAAAATAATGATGCTTATAACCAAAGATAGTTGTAGGCAAAACATGATTGAATAAAATTCACAGTTGCAAACAAAGAAAGTCTTGATATTTTCTTTGATATCCTCATAAGCAAAGCCATCAACGTAACAAATAACCAAAATTAATAAAAAAAGATGAAGAAATTCATAAACAGTGAGAACAAAACAAGAAGACAATCTTTACCAGATGTAAGGAAGAAGAAGTGAATGGTGAGAGATGAGTTCTAGAGGTTTAGGCGTTCGATCTGAGCCGTTCATTATCAAATAATGATATTACTCTATCTCAATGTCCGAGTCTGGTAAAAATTTAGGGGAGCCAAAACCAAAAGCCGTGAGAGAAGCAAAGCAAAGCAAGTGGAGACAGAAAGTAAGTAAAGTGGAGGGAGCTGCCTTAAAGCGTCACGGACGATTAAGTTGACACACGAACTCAAAATCAAATTGACACGTGCCAATGTTGGCTCGTTCATGTGATGTTCGCACGTGCAGATCAAGGATTAGGCATCCCAGTTTGGCAGCCAGTTGATTGATAGTGTCCTTTAAGTAGGAAAGTGGGCCATCACCCAACTCCGTAACCTAATTCGTTGGGTAGTTTTTTTTTTTTTAAATAATTAAAAAAAAAAAAGAATGTGAAAACGTTGACTTTGAACTAGAAAAATTCATATTCATGATCCGATGTTGAATCAGATGAATCCATAAATAAATTATAAACATGAGAACGTAAAGCTGGTGTTGAATTAAAGGAATTCATAATTAAAATTTTCAATTTTTTTTAATTTAACATCTTATATTATGAGATATTAAATATTTAATTACTTAGACGCTTTGTTTGTTTTTTAAAATAATTTGCAGGAAAATAATTTGCGGAAAAATATTTTTCAAATAACTTATTTTCTATTGTTTGGTTATAATATTAAAAATTAATCAAAAATATTAAAATTTTTATCTTAAAAGACCATAAAAAATATTAAAAATAATATAAATTTTATAATTTAAAAATTTTATTGTCAAATATCAAAAGAATGCAAAAGAATATATATGAATTATAAAAGCCGCTGATGGCCGGTAGTAATGGTTGGTGGTAAATGATGACTGGTGGTAGTAACTATGATGATTAAAAAATATAAATTTATAAAATTTGTCAATGTTTGAAAAATATTTTACTCTCTTGAAAATGAAAAGTTATTTTTCTTAAAAAAATAACTTAATTTTCTTTAACTAAAAAAATATTTTTCATTGACTTATTTTCCTAGGCGCCCTAAACAACGAAAAATTATAAAAATATTTTCATGTAAATTATTTTAAGAAAACAAACAGACCCTTAATTATTAATTTAAAGATTTTCATAATTGGTTAAGGAAATTAAAACCACTATATGCCATAATAGTGACAAAATAATAATAATAATAATTAGTATGTTTGGTTGAATTATTGGAAGAGAAAAGAAGGGTATATATAGTATAGCAATTAATTAATTATAATAAAAGGTGAGCGGATAAAATTATTTGTGGTCGAGTTTAAAATTGAATTTCCTTGAAATGACATGCAGAAAGTTTGTAAGATAAAAAACAAGAATTTCGATTGAATTTCCGCAAACTCAAATGAAAGAAGCAAACAGGTGGCGACAAAATTGTAATCCATTGTATTACTATTGGCGATGCATCTATGAGAGTTCACGCGCCCATGTTCGGCAGCCATCATTCCTTTGAGATGCATAGAATCGGGTCCAGAAATGACAACAACTGGTACAACTAGCATTGTCATAGACATAGTTGGACAAGCACTGGAGAGCTTTTCTGTTAAGAATTAATCTCAAATAATTCCACAATAACCTAGATCATGCACACCACTAGATTCAACAAAATAGATTGAATAAGAAAAGGTTGCGCAAAATTAATTCCATTCTCCAACAATACACCTAGATCATGCACACAAACTAGATTTCAACAATAAATAGATTGAATAAGAAAAAGGTTGCGTACCTGACATCGTTGTTTCCGTCGATCTATGTATTGTGTAGAATTGGTTTGGCAAGCCTTCCAAGAATTGAAGAGAGTCGGATTTTGCGGAAGCAGTACGAAAGGAAACGTAAACTGAAATCGAGTATTCAACTCCTTCTGGGGACCACGACCTTTATATACCTGTAGGAGTAGTACAATTTAGTACAATTCCTATTTCGGTCCTTTAAAGAAATAGGAATTATATAATGGTCTCTACACTTAATATCTATAATTAGTTGATACCTCAATAGTCAATTATTCACAATCAAGACCGCATTTAAAATTGACTTTATAATTAGACTGCTGTACATATTTAATTTTACATATTAAGCCCACAATAGAAAATTAAATCCAACAATCTCCCACTTGGGCGACATTATGTTAAATAAAATACATACACCAAAATGAGCTCAACAAACGCAGTCATACAAGGTATCCAAAAACAATCTCGTCCATTAATTATATTGATAAAGAACTGAAGAAACATTCGCCATAGATCTCATGACTATAGATTCTCATGACTAAAGTTCCCATCATCACCTACATTTACCAATACCCTAAATGACATAGATTCCAATTAAGAAAGTGGTAGCATGGAAAACTACATGTAAATGTGATCAAATCAATTGTCTGTTTCCAACTGGTCACCAACAAAAGTGAGATCAAGCAAAACAACAATAATAATACAGAGTGTAACCATCAACCAAAATGAGTACTTAATAAAATTTCATAATAAAACATATCCAAGACAAAATAGAGCATTCAAAAACATAATGCATACATAAAGAGCAAACTCCCACTAAAACTAGACAGTCTCAAACAAAACGATACCCATATGAGCGTCATGGAAAAATTTCGATATCACTGCCTTTGTAAGCGGATCCACAATCATAGAGTTTGTTCCAATATGCTCTAAGGATATCTGTCCACTCTATACCCTCTCCTTCACAGCCAAGAACTTAATGCCAAGAACTTAATCTCAATGTCCAAGAACTTAATGTCAATGTGTTTTGATCGAGAAGAGCTCCTGTTGTTGTTGGAGAATAAAACGACTGACCTGCTGTCACAATACAACTTCAGTGGTCTTTCTATTCCACCTACTACACGCAGCCCAGTGACAAGGTTTCTCAACCAAATAGCTTGATTGGATGCCTCATAAGATGCTACAAATTCAGCTTCCATGGTGGAGGTTGCTACAGGTTGCCACTAGAGTTTGTTTCACACTCTTCCAAGAAATAGCACCACCAGCCAATAGAAAAACATAGCCAGATGTGGATTTTCTTCTGTCTTGGCATCCAACGAAATCAGAATCAGTATACCCAATGATCTCAAGCTGATCTGATCTCCTATATGTGAGCATATGTCCCTTAGTCCTCTGAAGATATCTCATAACTCTTTTGGCTGCTTTCCAATAATCCATTCCTGGATTGCTAAGATATCTACCTAACATGCCAACTATAAAAGAAATGTCTGGACGAGTACAAACTTGAACATACATAAGACTTCGAGTACAAACTTTAACATACATAAGACTTCCTATAGCTGACGTATAAGGAACCTTTTGCATTTCCTAAATTTCAAGTTCACTCTTTGGACATTGTTGATTACTAAATTTATCACCTTTTGCAATAGGGGTATCCAATGGTCTCTAGAAATTCTGCATACTAAATAGTCTTGAGCACTTTATCAACATAGCTCTTGTTGTTGAATAATCCAAGAATACCTCGAGAACGGTCTCGATGTATCTAAAATCCCTAAACAAAAGAAGCCTTCACCTAAATCTTTCAATCTCAAAATGACTTTTGAAAGAAAACTTTGGTTTCAATGTAGCAAGACTTATTACAATTAGTCAGACAAGAAGTATGTCATCCACATAATAAGAAACCAAAAAAGATAAACCTACTCCCACTGAAACCTTTTGGTACATACAATTTTCAACAGCATTGCCTCAAACCATTTGCCTCAAAGCCAAACGAGACAATTACTTAGTTGAACTTAAAGTACCATTGACGAGAAGCTCGCTTGAGTCCATAAATGGATTTCTTTAATTTGCATACCAGATGTTTTGGATCTCCAATTACAAAATTTTCTGGTTGCACCATATATATTGTTTCATCAATGTTGCCATTGAGAAACGTAGTCTTAACATCTATTTGATGAAGCTCAAGATCAAGATTTGCAACTAAGTCCATGATTGTCCTAAAAGAATCCTTCGAAGAAACTGGAGAGAAGGTTTCTTTATAGTCAGTCCCTTCCTTTTGAGTAAAGCCTTTTGCTACAAGACGTGCGTTATATCTTTCCACATTACCTTGAGAATCCCTTTTGGTTTTAAATATCCATTTGCAACCAATGGGTTTCTTTCCTTCAGGTAATTGAACAAGATCCCAAGTCAATTGAAAGCAAAGATCATCCAATTGAATTTGTCTTGCATAGACTTATACTCTTCGTTCATTGCCTCAATCCACTTATGAGAGTTAGAACTCTGCATGGCATGATAGAAACTAACTGGATCATCATCTATCATGTTCTACAGTATCCTCATGTTCCTGAAGAAACACTATATAATCATCTGGAATAGCACTTCTTCTTTCCCTAGTAGATCTCCTCAGAGGCATTTGAACAGGCTCTAATTCTTGAGGTTGTTGAATTTGTTCTTGAGGAAGAATAGCATTGTCTTGAATTGGATCTTGAACAGAAGCAACTGGAGTCTGTACGCTATCAGAAACAACAAAAGGAATGAGAATCGAATCATCCTTACTTGATTCCTCTTCAAAGACAATGTTTCTTTCTTTGGTTCCTCTTTAAAGACAATGTTTCTTTCTTTATTTCTCCCTCCAAAATCAACATCCTCAAAAAATGTTGCAATTCTCGTTTCAAAAAAAAGTTCTGGAAGTAGGATTATAAAATTAATAAAATTATGTAACCCCTAGAACCGCTCAGAATATCGCAACAAAGTAGATGACTGGATAGTTTTGGAGTCCAGATGGTTAGTTTCTTCGGAACTTTGTAAGGCATTGCTTCAGCTGGACACCCAAAACATGAAAGATGCTTTAGACTAGGTCCTTACGTCCAAGTCCCAAAGTTCATAAGTAAAATTTGTAACCCTAGAACCGCTCAGGAATATTCCAAAAAGTAGATGCCTGAATAGTATTTTGGGTCACATTTTTTGTTTGCATTCGGACTTGTAAGGCCTTGCTTCAGCACTGGACATCCCAAACATGAAGGATGCTTTTAGACTAGGCTTACGTCCAATCAAGTCATAAGGTGTTTAATAGCAACTGCTTTAGATGGAATCCTATTGAGAAGATAAGCCGTTGTCCTTTAAACGCTTCACTCCACAGAGATCTCTGGTAAAGTAAGAATGAACTAATCATACTCCCTCTACC